TCAGGACCTCTGCATGTGGGAAGCTGTAACCCCTTCCCTCCTCACCTGGGATCCTGTCCCTCACATTGCAGTTAAACTTAAGGGGGGAAGCTCCCATTTGTCTCTCTTTGCCAATAAGCAGGAGGCACATTTGTGCTGGGATCATGGCTGGAGAAGGAAGGGTTAACCATCCCGCTTGCTCCCCTCCATCTACTATGTCTCTAGTGTTGACTTCTTTTAAAAAGCAGGTGTAGCTGCTAATCACATAATCAAAATTACATTTGCTTAGATTCTCATGCAGGCAATCTTCCCAAACCCGCCCACAGGGCTTGTGAATGATGCTAAAGAGCTAACTATACATGCATATTCAGGTTGCAATAACCCAGCACCTGCTTCTTCTAGGGGAAAGGCAGGTTTGGGAGGAGACAAAATGCAGCTGAAATCCATGTGGGTGTGTTGTTGTTAAAGGTAAAGGTACCCCTGACCGTTAGGTCCAGTCACAGACAACTCTGGGGTTGCGGCGCTCATCTCGCTTTATTGGCCGAGGGCGCATACAGCTTCCGAGTCATGTGGCCAGCATGACTAAGCCGCTTCTGGCGAAACCAGAGCGGCGCATGGAAACGCCGTTTACCTTCCCGCCGGAGCGGTACCTATTTATCTACTTGCACTTTGACGTGCTTTTGAACTGCTATGTGGGCAGGAGCTGCCTGAACGAGAGCTCACCCCATTGTGGGGATTCAAACCGCCGACCTTCTGATCAGCAAGCCCTAGGCTCTGTGGTTTAGACCACAGCGCCACCCGCGTCCATCGTATTGTTGTTAGGGGTTGCTTAACCTTTTCCACTGCCCAGTTACTCAAGGGAATAGAGCCTTGGTTGTCAGCCAGGATGCTGTGGCACCTTGGGAAGACTTGAGGAATGTTCATGGGAACCCCAGGGAGCCATCTTTCAATAACTTGCGGCCCAAATCTTTCTACATTATCTCTCTGTCTCTTTCTCTCCTCATTAAGGGGAGCCTGTGGCTTTAACCTACAGTCCAATATCTTCCTGCATCTCTCTCTTTCTCTCTCCCTGGCAGCCTTCCTTCCTTGAGCCCACTCAAAAAAGGGGCAGGGTGGAATGGGACAGAGGCAGAACAGGGGGGCCACAGAAAGAATGTGCTTGGTCAAGGGAGTAATGGACTCAAAAAGGTTGAAGGTTGGAAAGCGCTGGAATAGAGCAACTTCCCTATGAGGAATAGATTTGGGGCTTTTTCATTTAGAGCAGGCATAGGCAAACCCGGCCCTCCAGATGCTTTGGGACTACAACTCCCATCATCCCTGACCACTGGTCCTGATAGCTAGGGGTGATGGGAGTTGTAGTCCCAAAACATCTGGTGGGCCGAGTTTGCCTATGCCTGATTTAGAGGATGGGCGAGCAAGAGAAGACACGACAGAATAAAACTATGCATGGGTTGGAGAAAGTGGAAAGAGGAAAGTTTTTCTCCCTCTCTTAAGACTGGAACTTAAGGACATCTGATGAACCTGAATGTTGGAAGATTCAGGATGGCCAGGACAAGGCATAACTAAATTATGGAACAGGCTCCCACAGGAGGCAGTGATGGCCACCAGCTTGGATGGCTTAAGAAGAGGATTAGACAAATTCATGGAAGGCTACCCATGGCTACTAACCCTGTCGCAGGCAGCGTGCCTCTGAATGTCAATCACTGAGAATCACAGCTGGAGAGAGTGGTGTTGTGCCCAGTTCCTGCTTGCAAGCTTCCCATGGGCATATTGATTGGCCACGATAAGAGTAGATGGACCTTTCAGAGGAGTGGGTGGCGCTGTGGTCTAAACCACTGAGCCTCTTGGGCTTGCTGATCAGAAGGTCGGCGGTTCGAATCCATGCGACGGGGTGAGTGCCCGTTGCTCTGTCTCAGCTTCTGCCAACCTAGCAGTTCGAAAGCATGCCAGTGCAAGTAGATAAATAGGTGCCACTGCAGCGGGAAGGTAAGTGGTGTTTCTGTGCACTGTTGCACTCGTCACAGTGTCCCGTTGCACCAGAAGCGGTTTAGTCATGCTGGCCACATGACCCAGAAAGCTGTCTGTGGACAAACGCCAGCTCCCTTGGCCTGAAAGCGAGATGAGCGCCGCAACCCCATAGTTGTCTTTGACTGGACTTAGTTGTCCAGGGGTTCTTTACCTTTACCTTAGATGGACCTTTGGACTGATCTAGCAGGCCTCTTCCTATGTTCTTATGCCCAGCCACTTTTCCACCAGTGGATTCCAAATGCACGATGGGATTTTGTTGAACACATATGCCTATAACGCATAGTTCAACTCTGTGGCAAGTAAAGGTTTGCTCCAGGAATGCTCTGAGCAGGCACTTGAGGACTTTGTAGCTGATATATGCTTTGCTGCACAGCGTGTACAAAACCAAGCTCTCATTTTGACAGCTAGCTCAAACAAAAGCAAGACGCTTGATTGATAGAAATAAATATAAGCGGTTGGTGACTGCTTAGGGGAGAGAACCCAAAAGTGTGTGATCTTTGAAAGTTTTGAGAAATACAGACCGGGTTCCTTCTTGCATACCTAAAGCGTTAAGAAACAGAAAGGACAAAGGGAAATTATAAACATTAGAAGCACTTACATTGTTAGGTATTTCAAAAGTTATGGTGGTGTTATTGTTAGATGTTTTTCAGGGTGCAATGTGACTGATTAACCTCACCTCAGCTAACCTTCTCAGCAGCCCTGTGAAGCAAGTTGGGAGAGGAGGAGAAGGTCTGTTGTTACACGATCACTCGCCCTAAGACAGTGATTTGCAGACTTTCTACCTTCAGGAAATTCTTTCCACGTTGGTTGCCTGCCAAAGAATTTGAGCGCCTGCTGCATATTCCCTGTGCATAGCAGGGGATCCTGAGGGATGTTCTAGACTCTAGAACGACTGTGTGCTGGAGCGCTGCCTTGCCCCTGCAACAGAGGGTGCCCAGAGCATGCCAACATCACTCATGCATGTCGAGGGGGTGTCCTGTTCTGCCATGCAGACACCCCATGGCCTGCACGTAGAACTGTTTTTATGTTTGCTTTTTATTTGTAAGTTGCTTTGAGCAAGCCCTTTGTGGAAGAGAAGAACATGGGTATACATTTTTATTATTATTATTTTGGGGGGAGAAGGGTGGCATTCAACTAAGCTTTACTCAGAACAGACCCAGTGAAATGAATGAACTTGACTAAACTAGGCTCAGCAGGTCTACTCTGAGTATAACTTAGTTTCATACCATCCTTGGTAAATAATCAATGGAAAGCAAATTAAAGGAGCAGGGGCTAATTTGCCCTTTATGTGGCTAATGTGCAGATGCTTAAATGCAAAATTCATGCTCAGAGCATGAAACTAAGGGTTCTGGGTTCAAGCCCCACGTTGGGCAAAAGACCCCTGGACTAGAAGATCCTCATGGTCCCAAATCTACAAGTCTATGATTGGAACACCTGTATTTCCTAGGCAGGATTTTCTCTTAGTATGTTTCGGGCTGGCATGGGAAAACTCAGCCCTCCAGAAGTTTTGGGGCTACAACTTTCATCATTCCTAACTAACAGAACCAGTGGTCAGGGGTGATGGAAATTGTAGTCCCAAAACATCTGGAGGTCCGAGTTTGCCTATGCCTGGCTTAGGAGTAGTTTTCAGGTCCCTCCATCTGTGGGGAAATCTCAATAGCTACTTTCACAGATGTGCTGCTGATAGCTCAGTCGGTAGAGCAGGCGTAGGCAAACTCGGCCCTCCAGATGTTTTGGGACTACAACTCCCATCATCCCTAGTTAACAGGACCAGTGGTCAGGGATGATGGGAGTTGTAGTCCCTAAACGTCTTGGGAGCCGAGTTTGCCTATGCCTGCGATAGGGCATGAGACTCTTAATCTCAGGTTTAAGGGTTTGCGCCCCATACTGGGCAGAAGATCCCTGAACTGCAGAGGGTTGGACTAGATGGCCCTTGCGGTCCCTTACAATTCTATGATTCTATGTACATAACTGTTCTTGAGTACTCGAAGCTACTGTTGGTGGAGGGAGTCCACAGTTCCATGGAGAATCAGGGATGGGGAACCTCAGGCATTGGGAGCAAAAGGTGTCCACCCCGCAGGTATTTCAATGGTTCCTCAGAAGCCTCAACATGCTTTTGCCTGTCTGGAGTGTGTTCCTGGCTATTGCTTGCTACAATGGAGAGTAGAGAGGAGTTTATGCAGAAATTATCCCACAAAAGCAAATTTTAAATTTGCTGCTCTGCATGCACTCCCTCCCATGCACCCACCTAAATCTCCTTCCAGGGAAGCAAGAGGCATTTATCAGAGCTTGAAGGACACACTCCAGACAGTCAAAAACACTCCGGGCGGCAGAAAAGCAAGGTCAGTAGCAGGTGCGGCCTGGGAAGACTTACAAGGGCCAGACAGAAAGGCTTTGAGGGCCGCATTTGGCTCCCAGGCCTCAGGTTACCCACCCCTTAGTTACAGTTGAGTAACAGCTGCACCAACAACTCAGCCTGTGATGGAGTGTCTTACTGGATACCTGGGAGCCGTGGGTTCAAATCCCCACTGAGCCATGAAGCTCACTGGGTGGCCTTGGGCCAGCCTCTCGGCCTACCCTACGTCACAGGGTTGTTGTGGAGGACCAAAAACGAGGTGGAACAGAGCCCTGCCTTGCCCTCCTTGGAGGAAGAAGGTCGAACACAACAAGCACAATTAATGCATATTCCTACCCTTTACTTCTGCTGGGGGCCTTTGCTGTTGTTCTGTGGGGTTGTTTTTTTTTACTTGGCTCGGGGACCCTATAAATAAACCGAAGCGGGGCAGCTGAGAGAGGGGACCCCGACGCCAGGGCACAAATTTCCATTTCCAGGGATTGCGCAACAGGCAAGGAGCAGCCCGAGCAACAACCGCCGCTCCTCCCGAGGAAAGAGCGCAGCAATAAACAAAGCCACGTGTCTCTCCTCCCTCCCTCCCCAGGCGAGAGGCGGAGCTTGCAGGCGCTCTTCCGGCAACAAAGAGCCCCTGCAGCCCGCAGATAAATACGGAGGCGGCCGGAGCGAGGGCAGAGACAAGGATCGGAGTGGCGGAGCAAGGGCGAAGGAGATCATAGTAGAGGAGGGGGAGAGCAAAGAATAATAGTAACAATTTCTGTGTAGTCCTTTGGCTAGGGACATTTCGCTTCCTAGGTATCTTCGCTTGGGAGAAGAAGGCGAAAGGGAGCGCAAAGACAACTTTGGTTGCTGGATTTCTTTGGCTGGCGAGGATGCCTTTTCTGGGCCAGGACTGGCGCTCCCCGGGGCAGAACTGGGTGAAGACGGCGGATGGTTGGACGAGGTTTCTGGCCGAGAGGGAGAACAGCAGCGGCAGCTTCGCCAGCGAGCGGAACAGGTGAGACCGGCGCGGAGAGACCCGGGTGCCTTGCGCGCTGCGTGCGCCTTTGGAGAGGCTTGCCCCACTTGCAGGTGGGGTGTCGTCCCCCCAACCCCGGACATAGTTGCTAGCAAATGCTGCCGCTGTTGTTGTTCTTGGGGCTGCCGAGTGGTAGCAGGCAGAGAGATACGTGGCGTATCACACAAACACACCAGTTTGCATCTTTGCAAAAAAAGAAAATTTGGCAAGCCTTGCTTTTTGCAAAGAACGCGCAGACATGGCGGTTGTTTTCTTAACGAGGCCGTTGTTTCCCCGAGTGCATCTCTGCCCGTGCGAGGCTGCAACGCCTCGGTTTGTGTTGTTCTTGGGGTTGTGGCGTCATTGCGGGAAGGAGGATCATCTGGCGAGCTAAACCCTCTCCAGGAACCCGGAGGCGGAGGCAGGAGCGAGAGCGCAGCGCCCACCTCCTGCGGCGCTACCAGGAACGTGCCGCTTCCAGCTCTCCAGATGTGACTCTCGGCCCGTTAAATGCGTTCGCGCATTTGCTCCGGATTTCTTAAAAGCTAAATGTCCGTCTTGCCCACCCATCTATTATATTTGGGGTTGGTTGGAGAGTGGAAGCAAATCTGTGGGATTGTGGGTCGGAGAACCACCATTTTATTATCGCGATATGGAGGGAGTGGAGGGCTGTATCTTAAGGTTGGTCCTACTCGGAGCAGACCTGTTAAAAATAATGGGCATTACTAATCTTGGGTCCATTAACTTCATTGGGCTTCTCTGAGTATAGTTGGATGGAACTCTGTGGGTGGGTTCATATATGTCCCCAAGAACAATTTGATATTAAGTGATCAGGAGTAGGACTGGGTGTTTCCAGAAATCCCGAGCCCTAAAAAGTCTCCAGAAATCTTCAGTTGTCCTAGAGGCATATTCTGGCAAAAGCAACAACGGCTTTTTAAAAAGCAGGCATAAACCTTCATCAGTTCTGTTTGGCCCTCTTCTCTCATCTTCTCCCATTCTTTCCATGAGGTTGCCACCCACCCAGAATTTTTATTGGGCCAGTTTGAATTTGATCATCGGAAATGTGAGACTCAAAGCTGGACAATAAGCCCTTGCCGGACAGTTATTGTTGTTAGTGATCTTAGGTGTCACCTGTTCTGGTTGTATCTTTGGCACCATGTCACAACTTTTGTGCCTTCCAAAGCAGGTATGTTGTGAACCTAAGTGCATGCATATGTCCTCTGTTGCTGTTTCGAACTCTGCCCCTTGATAAGAGGATGATGGAGGTGGTTGATTGCAGTTGGTTTGCATTCTGTGGCTCTGTCATTGTGTGTGTGTTTTTCTCCTAGCTGCTGTGCAAGCACACCAGCCACCCCAGAACCTCGGCCTCTCTCCCCCATGGCCTTCTGCCAGCCCTCATCTGCCTACCTTCTTACGAGCATCCAACCCAGGGGGTTCTAGTGCTCATCAATTTCCTCCTCCTCAGCCTCAGGTTGTCCTTGCAGAACTCAGCAGGGAGGAGGATGGGGACAGAAGAACTAGAGTGAACTACATTGCCACTCATTGGCTCTGGCACCACCTAATGTTCGTCTCCCTTCCCTCCACTCTATCAGTCGCAGTGGGTATCAGACACCACCTGCTTGCCCTTGTGCGCTAGGTCAGGCATCCCCAAACTCAGCCCTCCAGATGTTTTGGGACTACAATTCCCATCATCCCTGACCACTGGTCCTATTAGCTAGCGATGATGGGAGTTGTAGTCCCAAACATCTGGAGGGCCGACTTTGAGATGACCTAGAGCAGGCATCCCCAATCTTCTGGTCTCTGGATGTTGCTGGACTACAACTCCCATCATGCCTGACCATTGGCAAGGCTGGCTGGGGCTGATGGGAGTTGGTGTCCAATAACACCTGGAGGTTTTCAGGCTGCTTTGCAACAGGGATCTCATGGGACCACTACCAGCAGATGGTGCAACACCAGATTCCAAAGCACAGCAGGACAGACTGTTTCTGAACAGGCAAGGAAGCATTCCCTTTGGGAAAATAATTCTGTGCATGCTCAGAGACACTCAGCCTTAAAGTACCTTTTAAAAATAAGTACCAGTTCTGTCCCACCTCCACCCATTTCCCCACCTCTCATACTCTATCCAACCTTTGTCTTCTCCCCCAGGTTTTGTCCAGGATGCTGCTAAGTCTCTCCATGTTCCTGGAGACTGTTTGGTCTGATGCAGCACACGCACACACACACACACACACACACACACAGAGTTTGTGCTGCTCTGCCTCCATCCCTACCCAAAGTCCCTCAGTCACAGCATACAGCTGGGCAAAAGTGCTTGAAAGTCTAATATTCTCAAAATGTTGTTGCTTTGGTTCAGGGAAGCGAACAATCCTGCAAATTGCTTTCCTCGAAAACCAACTCCTCCTAGAACTTAATGAGAAACTTAAATAATAAATTGGCACACCAAAGAACAGAGGAGTTGGAACAGCAACAGATAGCAACAGATAGTTTTCCTGCTTGGCAGGGGGTTGGACTCGATGGCCCTTGTGGTCTCTTCCAACTCTATGATTCTATGATTCTAGTATGTCAGTTACTGAGGAAGCAGGTTATCTGCTAAGCATGAATGCTGGATAGCTCAGTTGGTAAAGCATTAGGCTCTCAGGAATCTCAGGTTCCTGGGTTCGAGCCCCACATTGGGCACAAGATTTCTGCAATGTAGGGGGTTGGAGTAGATGACCCTCGTGGTCCCTTCCAACTCTACAATTCTACGATTTGTATGAATTTTATTCATGAATTAAAACACCCACCAGCCCCCATAGCCCATCAGTGAGGATTCTTTTGATGGAAGCTTGTGCATGTTACATTATGCAGTTCACGGTGAGAATTTTGCTTGACACACAGATATTTCCCCCCTGCTTCTGCCTAAAATGCGCAGCAAACCAGGATTTTAGATGGATGGTTTCTGCATGAGAGCCAGATTTTTTGTTATTAGGGTTTTGGAGCTTCTTGGATGGGTTCGCTGAGCAAGCAAGAAAATGAAGAGAAAACAGATACAACCCAGTCTGCAGCCTAGTTAGGCCACAACGTTTGGATTTAAACTGACACAAATCCCCTTCCATTTAATGGGGTTGCAATCCTTTGCACGCCAACCTGCCTGTAGATCCCACTGAACACAGTGGAGTTTACTTCTGAGTAAGGGATAGAATTGGACTGCCAAAGTTGCTCATTTGGGTAGCTAGGCTTGCTGAATTTATTTTGGAATACCTGCTTTTTGGAAACAGAGTTGCAAAACTAAATGCAAGCCCTGAATTTAGTCGGACTTTCAAATTAGCATTACATTATCTGGGAAGGAAGCATGTCAGATCTAACTAGGCAATATAGATTGAGACTCCTGCCTGATAATTTTGGAAGGCTTGTTTCCTGTAACTTCTGTTTATGCTTTCCAGGAAAACATCAGTTTGAGTAATGTATGGGTTAGTTTTGCAAAATCCTTGGTGGGTGGTTCTTTTGTTGAAACATAAATTTGTGGCAGCGGGAACACTGCGTCCCCATTAGCGGGGTTGTGCTTCAAAACTTTCGCTCAGACGGGTATCTGTTTAATTACAAGAAATCAATACTGACAGTTCAAGTGGCCTCAGAACATGCAGTAGTTAAGATGTGGAACTTAACAAAATGGGTTGAGTCTATTTTTAAACTCGGAGCTCTCTTGGTTTACTGTGTTTAGTTAACAAAAGCCTTGGCTATGGCAGGGCATTCTGGTTTATTTTGTTTGGCATCTAACAGAATGTTGGCCACTTAAGCAGAGGCCTGTATTTGTTGCATATTAAAGGCTTCTGCCCGAAAAAATGAAATGTTGTTAAGCAATGGGCCATCGAGTTCCGGTATCCTGTCTTCAGCAGGGACCGATACTGAAATGCCACAGAGCAGCTGTTTACATTCTCCCACGAAACTAGTGGCAACTGTGAACAAGATTCATGATAGATTTGGTTGGACCAACTATTGGTTTTAGGATCTTTCACTTTGCTTGTGCAGCTTGCAGGGGATTTCACAACCAAATTAAAAACAATTCTACTGTTAGTAAGCTGTAGCCCAAACTTTTTTGTCTAGGCTGCTCATTTTGCTAAAAGTTTGCATTGCTCAATATTACTACCTCTACTGAGAAAGTGAACCCAGGTTTTTTGTTTTTAATTCCTGGCTTTTGAAACTGCAAAGGCAAAACTAAAAGCAACCACTTTTGGATTAGACGTGAGTGGCAACAGTATGACATAGCACATGGGAACGGTGCCCTGATCATTTCTTTGTCATTCGCTTGGCATCTCTCACTGCTTAAACATGCCATCTGTCAAAGCATGCCTTGACACACCAGTCTTTGAGCCCTTGTGTGATGCTCCACCGACTCCTTGTGCAACAGTAGCTCATCCATATGAAATAGACTGGAAGGAAAAGCCTTGCCTTGGGGCTGTGCTGATTTTCACAGTTTGAAAAAGAAAACTGGCTAGATGTGGGCTCTTGCACAACAAGAGAAGTTAGGTGCACAGCTGCCAAAGTATTAAATCTCTATATCAAAGTTAGAGTGCATTGCGGTGGCATTGCTAGGGATGAGGAAGGAATTATGGCTGGCTGTTTGGAGAGACCACTGCTTGGCCCTGGTTCTAACCCTCCTGTAGGAAGAGGCAGCAGAACCGTAGCTAGGTGATCTTGCGCCCCTGGCAGAACCGTCCAGATTGCGCCTCCTAGGTAATGCGGCACAGAAAAAAAATAGGGGAAAACAGGGCCCCTGCATAACATATACTGTAAGGTAAAGGGACCCCTGACGATTAGGTCCAGTCGTGGACAACTCTGGGGTTGCGGCGCTCATCTCGGTTTACTGGCCGAGGGAGCCGGTGTACAGCTTCCGGGTCATGTGGCCAGCATGACTAAGCCGCTTCTGGTGAACCAGAGCAGCGCACAGAAACAGTGTTTACCTTCCCGCCAGAGCGATACCTATTTATCTACTTGCACTTTGACGTGCTTTCGAACTGCTAGGTTGGCAGGAGCAGGGACTGAGCAACGGGAGCTCACCCCTTCGCGGGGATTCGAACCGCCAACCTTCTGATTGGCAAGTCCTAGGCTCAGTGGTTTAACCCACAGCACCACCCGTGTCCCAACATATACTGTGAAGACCCTCTATTTAAAACCTTTTTCTTATGAGGCAATAATTGATATTTTTATTTATAGACATATTTAGGGAAATATTTTCAGCAGATATTGCATCCCCTCCTTGTCTGTGCCCCTGGAGGGGGGTCTTCCTCGCCTGCCCGGCCCTGAGAGGCAGGATTGCCACTTTGGAAATATAGCGGAAGGAACTGTGGCTTGTGGGGTGGCTAGAGCACATGCTGCATGCAGAAAACCACAGTTTCAAAGCCTGGCATCTGCAGCTCAAGGAATCAGGTGACATTTATTGGGAAAGAGCTCTCCAGAGTTGCTGCAAACCCAAGTAAGCAACCCTGGGGTAATTGATAGACACTGCTCAGTCTGCTTCTCGTGATTCAAGTTGCTTCCCTGCGCGTTGAAATCTCTGTAGAAACCTTCTCCGTAACCTCTGCGGCATAAATTTGCCCCTGGCACCTCAAGATGGGACTGTTAACAAGTTCCAGGTCACATCACATGACATTGGGCAATAAAGCGCTGTTGAATCATCTGATCCGGTGACATTTCTATGTCCTAGTAACGTAGCCCAGTAAACAGAGATACAGTTTCTACTGAAGATAAGGAGTGGGTGACGTTTGCTTTGGGGAAAACACAAAGAGATGAGAAGGGGATGGGGGTAGGGTGAGGGTTCCTTGGACAACGCAGCAGAACTGTAGCTCCTTCGGGTTTCAAATAGCACCTGTTCTCTTCAATTGTTCTCTATTGCTGCACCATCAGTTTATAAGCCAAGCCAAACAGTATATTACTGGACACTTCCATAAATACCTCTGCTTTCTGGGCATTTTCTGAGGAGCTGTCTGAAAACCGTGCCTTTCTGGATTAGCCAGAATCAATTCTTCACACCTGTGGTGTTAGGAATTTCCCTGTGCATACGCATAGACCTGGTCAATTCCCCACACCTGTGGCGTTAGGTATTTTCTGTTCTGTATTTGATCCGATAATTTGATTCCTCCTGCGATTGCATAAACGAAGGGCTGGAAATAACCCTAAACACTTTATACAGTAGTACCTTGGTTTATGAACTTAATCCATTTCGGAAGTCCGTTCTTAAACCAAGGCTTGCTTTCCCATAGCAGCAGGGGACTCAATTTACAAATGGAACATACTCAACAGGAAGCGAAACATGTTCTGCTTCCAAGGCAAATTTCACAAACCAAAACACCTACTTCCGGGTTTGCAGCGTTCTTAATCCAAGTTGTTCATAAACTAAGCTGTTCTTAAACCAAAGTACCACTGTACTGTGATTTGCAGATCAGGCTCTTTCAAGTAAGGAAGCAGTCTTAAGTCTGTTACTACAAGAATAACAGAGTCTTGATTTGAAAGACCAGTGGGTTTATTGTGACATAAACTTTTGTGGAATTGGAGCCCATGAAAATATATTGGTCTCTGGCACCTAAGAACAGAGGTGCACATCTAGTTGGGTACACGGGTCAGGGATCTCTGCTATAAACCCACAGTTCCGCCTTCCAGCAGAACAGTTGAGCTACAACCAAATTATATAAAGTCGTACCTTGGAAGTTGAACGGAATCCGTTCAACTTCCAAAATGTCTGAAAACCAAAGTGCGGCTTCTGATTGGCTGCAGGAAGCTCCTGCAGCCAATGGGAAGCCACGGAAGCCCCATCTCACGTTCGGCTTCCAAAAATAGTTCACAAACCAGAACAGTCACTTCTGGGTTTGCAGCGTTTAGGAGCCAAAACGTTTTTTCTGACCACTAGAAATCCAGCTCAGCCCTCCTTCCCAACCAGGAATGTCTTCTGAGATTTACATTTCATTCCTTTTTTCTTCTTCAGCCTTAAGGACTAGAAGAAACTGGGCAGGGTGGGGGTGAGGAGCTGGATTTTACACAGAGTATACCTTCTTCTGAATTTACACCTTGCAGTTACAGAGCTTCAAGGCACCCTGCTGACCACATTGTGTCCCACAGTGTCATTTTTAATATGCACATGGCTGCATCAACACAAGTTTGAATCCCATGCTTCACTGGAAGCCAGTACCAAAAGTGCTGATCCCATGCAGTTAAGAGTTTCACTAGTTTAATGCAGAAGTGGACAACCTGTGGCCCTCTCGATATTGTTGGGCCCCAACTCCGGTCAGCCCCAGCCAGAATGGCCAGTACTCCGGAATGATGGGAGTTGAAATCCACAAAATCTGCACAGCCACAGGTTGCGCACCTCTGCCTTAAAAAGAGCGTGGCTGAAAATCTAGTTGCGCCATAGGTTTGTATAACAGCATTATGAAATTGGTAGCTTTATTTATAGTTCCCTTCCTATTGATCCCTAGCAGAGCATTCACCTTTTTCACAGCTGCCACACACTGGGTCAATATATTCACTACTACGACCCCAAGGTCTTGTTCCTGGTGAGTTGCTGTACACTTCAGACCCCATGAGCGCATATGTGAAATTAAGATTATTCAGTTGTTGCCAAAACAAGCAAGATCTTCAGTATTAGGTGACTGATCTCTGTTATGCTGTACGTTAGTAAAGGACCAAGTCGTTTTCTTTGGGTATTTGTTTGTATTACTTTGAGGCAGTCAAGAATGAAATTTAATATAAAACTCCAGCTCTGGCCAGGAGATTCTGCAGTAGAGGCAGCTGTCTAAAGATGACTCTGAACAGGATCTTGTTACAAATACAAGAAGGAATGTGATATCTTTCTGCAGCAGAGCATTATTTTGTTGTACTTCCCGCTCCCCCGTTCTCCATTTAGACAAGTTTTTAAAATAGTTTACGACCCAAGCATTAAGCATGCTGTAATGAAACAGATTGCTATGCAAATAAGTACAACTTGTGCATGTAGTTGTAGAATTGTAGATAGAACTGCAATGTGGTTACCCTGATGTAATTATTCCACTCCACTGGAAAGAAAAGCCATTGTGGGGGTGCTGGGGGTGTGTGTGTACATGGACACACATTTTGCAGGTGGTTTACTGAAATCCTTGGGAGCAATGCTGCAGTCAAGGGTGTGTTGAAACTTTCAGTTCTGTCACTTTATTGGCTGAACCCAACTTCCATTTCAGGGACGCGGGTGGCACTGTGGGTTAAACCACAGAGCCTAGGACTTGCCGATCAGAAGGTCGACGGTTCAAATCCCCGTTACGGGGTGAGCTCCCGTTGCTCGGTCCCTGCTCCTGCCAACCTAGCAGTTCGAAAGCACATCAAAGTGCAAGTAGATAAATAGGTACCGCTCTGGCGGGAAGGTAAACGGCGTTTCCGTGTGCTGCTCTGGTTCGCCAGAAGCGGCTTAGTCATGCTGGCCACATGACCCAGAAGCTGTACGCCGGCTCCCTCGGCCAAGAAAGCGAGATGAGCGCCGCAACGCCAGAGTTGGTCATGACTGGACCTAATGGTCAGGGGCCCCTTTACCTTTACTTTAACTTCCATTTCAGAGCAATTCTTCACTGGCTTTGTAGTATAAAGTAATAAATTGTAATGGAAGAGCGATGTGAACTATGGGCGACTGTCTGCCCCCTTGTAACATTAATCTACAGCAGGCATAGGCAAATTCAGCCCTCCAGATGTTTCGGGACTACAACTCCCATCACCCCTAGCTGACAGGACTGGTGGTCAGGGATGTTGGGAACTGTAGTCCCAAAACATCTGGAAGGCCGAGTTTGCCTATGCCTGATCTACGGGGACTCCAAAGGGTGTGGAGGTCTAAGAAAAGGACATTAGATTGAGATCTGCTGATTGATAATCTCCCCCCCCCAATAGATGATCAGCCACAGATTGGGAAAGATTGCAGACTCCCCAATTGTTCAACATTTAGCAGCAACAAACAAAATCTTCCTGCCCCACAACCATCTGGCAAACAATAGCTCGAAATCCTTAACTGTAGTCTCCCAGATGTAGATTTGTACTGTGAACCTTCATTTTGCATTTGGCTAACCTGTGTACAACCTTGCTTTTGGTTCTGACTCGCGTTGGCCCTCAGGGTGTGAGCTTGGCAGGATGTTTAAGACAACCATTCTAGGCTAGATTCAAAGGGGCAATTCAACCCCACAACAGACTTGTGAATAGAGAGGACCATTCCTAAATTGCCTTGTGGCCAAGTGAGATAGACCTGTATAGAAAAATGGTTTGGAAACTGCAGCCTTAAAGTTGTTCTACAAGTGCAGTTCAGCTTGTAGTACAGAGATCTCTGTCAGAATCACTTTAGGCTGAAAATGGAAATAGTATGTTTTTAGTGTTTCCCATAGGGAATAAACTCCCTGCGATTAGAAAAAAGTAGCACAGCGGGTAGAAGACTACACCAGAACATTTCTTCCTCGCATCCAAGTTCCGTTTGGGCGTTGAGCATTTTTTATCTTCGTATCCCTTGCAGTGTATAGAACTTTTCATATTCCCACATTGCTCTCCTTAGCTATCCTTGACCTGCTGAAGCTCCTCTCCCGACACAGTATTATTTGCAGGCCTTGCAAAATAGGTCTGACAATAGACAGATGCCTGTAACCTGCGTGTGTCCCTGCCTGAGGACATCTCATGGCACAAGCAGGAAGCGATGACATCAGGTGAGCAGGAGGAGGTTAAAGAAAGGGCACTGATGTTGCACCCAGGTCACGAGGTTCGTTATGCAACTGCTACTTAATTATGGGTGTAATTGCCTCCTCGTTCCATTTTTCATCAGGACAGTCTATAAAAGTGTCACTGGAGCTTGTCCTGAAAGTGAGAACTCCTGGTACATTTCCTGAACGTGCAAGGGTGTGTACAGGAAAGGAAGTTTGCTCTACGGTTCATCTTGTTTATATAAAAGAGCATTTAAATAAAATTCTTTCAGATGTGTAGGACACGGTTGGTGCCAACACCTAGTAGACTGAATCAGATTTGGAGCAGACTTAATTTCCTATAGAAATCTATTTGGTCCCTTGAGGTCCAATGTGCCAACTTAAAAACTGTGTACAGTCATACCTCATGTTGCGTCCGCTTCAGGTTATGTGTTTTCGTGTTGTGTCCCATGGCAAGTACCGGAATGGGTTACTTCTGGGTTTCACTGCTCACGCATGTGAGAAGCGATAAATCATGTCGCGCGTGTGCACAGATGCAGCTATTCAGCTTGCGTCAGTTCCTTGTTATGGACGGGCCTCTGGAACGGATCCCGTCCGTAACATGAGGTTCTACTGTATGTTGCAGTAGCTGCCCAGAAGCTATTTCTCTTCTTCCAATTCGGCCCCAATAACATTTACTTACCAACTAAGTGTCAGGAGCTCATCCTACACTTGAGTAGGACCCTGGCAGAGACACATGCCTGACTGGCATGTTCTCTCCCTCCTAGTCATTCGTTTGGGAGCTTCACAAGCTTTCTTCTGCCCAAACATCACAGCAACCGATGCCAACAGACATTGGCACACTTAGGGATCCGCAGAGTGTGCACAGTTCACATACAGACCTCAGCAACTCAGCATTTTGGCTAATCTACTTTATTTACATATAAACACACACAGAGCACTGCAACATGGCTCCCTCTCTCTCTAGCATCAGACAGCAAAGAGCGAGAACAAAGGACAATAGTCCCACTTCATGGAACACAGTGACGCAAACATCCTGTCTCCGTCACTTCCCACTCTGTGGAGTCAAAACATACACCATCATGTGATAGACAACAATCCCATGACTGCAATCACGGAACAGGAATTCTAACAATAAGTTTCTGAGATAATCTCTAGGAACATCTTTGGGTGTCTTCCTGGATTGGTGAGACTTGCCTAATGGCAATACAAAATTGAGCCTTCTGCCTTATGGCCCAGTCTTGTGGAAAGCTCTTCCAACAGATTCAGCCAGTATCTTCAGTTCTTTCCCCAGTAATTTACCCAGACCCTCTTTTTTCCCTCGACCCTCAATGTGTATATATTAGGACCCACCTTATTTCTATGATTGTTAGTTGTTTTAAACTGCTTTTAGTACTGTGTTTTAATGCTGTGAGCGTAGGGTGAGAGATGGATAAATATCAACAACAACAGCAACAACAACTTCTAAACATTTGGTGGGAAGCCTCCTTGAATTGGGGGGTCATCTTCTGAAGTGGGAAGCCTCTTGCACTCAATGGAGGTCCTATTGGTGTGAACCCTGAAAGGACCTAGTCCTAAATCACACAGAGAGACTGAACCTTTTGTGGGCGAGGGAGCGGAGAGCAGCGCAGAGTGTCCTTCTTGCCCTTCTTCCTATTTGCATGTTGCTTTTACACAGGAGTAGAACTTAAGAAGTTAGTGGCCTAAGTTGTGGTTAACTCAACCTACTGATTTCAAAAGGACAGAAGTTCAGTTAACTTGGACAGGGTCCAATCCATTATCTCAGGATAATGGCTCAGGACCGCAATACCTCAAGCACTGCCTCTTTCCATATGAACCTCCCCGGACCCTAAGATCATCTTCTGAGGCCCTCCTTCGTGTGCCTCCTCCTTGAGAGGTGCAGAGGGTGACAACACGAGAATGGGCCTTCTCTGCAGTGGCTCCCCACCTGTGGAATGCTCTCCCTAGGGAAGTTTGCCTGGCGCCTTCATTACACACCTTTAGGCGCTAGGCAAAAACATTTCTTTTTAACCAGGCCTTTGGTTGATCGGTTTGGCATCCTATACCCTTTTAAAATGTGTCTTTTTTCTGGGGAGGGGTGTTATTGGGTTGTTGTTATTCTGATTGTATATGTTGTGATCTTTTCTATGAACCACCCTGAGACCTCCAGGTCTAGGGCGGTATATAAACTCGATAAATAAATAATAATAATAATAATAAAATATCAAACTGGCAGAGGGAAGCATAGGGCAAGGTAGCCTCTCTGGGTGTTCTAAGTGGGGAATTCCCAGAGAGCAGTTGACGTCGGACATTACAAGGCTGCTGCTGCTCACTGCCTTTGATGATCTCACCCACATAAGTGACTGGACCACAAACCAGAGCCTCACATGATATTCTTAAGGTGTGGGAGTGTTCATGAAGGAGGAGCTGTTTCCTCGAGTATTCAAAACCCAAGTTTTAGGGAAAGGATCTGTTCTTCCTGGTGTTGCTGGACTGCAACTCCTGCCAGCAATATAGGAGCAGTGGTCCAGAAATTTCTGGACGGCTACCTGGAGAAATGGTCGAATTTGTCCATTTTGGTTTCTCTGGGTTTCCTCATTTTTCCCAGTCTTAAATTCGGTTCTTCACATTTCTGCATCAACTTGCACTTTTTTTTAAAAAAAGAAACCTGTTTGAAAATTCACCAGCGTTTTAGAGTGACTCTCTCCTTCACATAGGCAGGTTTGTGTGCAATTTTGCCTACTAGACACATTTTGGCAAAAGCCATTTCCCCGAACGGAATACATTTTTGTATGTTAAATTGCACTAATGTGTGCATTTTGATGTACACTTCCCCCCCCCCCAGCATATGCATTATTGCACACATTACTTTGCTGGAAAACCACGCTGCAAAATTCAGAGAACTGTGAATCTTGGAAACTGGTTCTGTTGTGCTTCTCGTATTGTTTCAGAAAATGTGAATTGGGTAGAGCCAGCTTTCAATGTGAACTGGATCGAATTTCTCCTCCATCCCTCCCGCAGGTTCCCCATCCCTGCTTTTAGGAACTAGATCTCTTTGAAACAGACCCAAAAGTTAATAGGCTGCTGAGGCAATCTTGTCTCATATATTGACTTAACTGTTGGTGTTTGTATTCCAGACTCCTCTTAATGGAGCTGGGGAAGAGATAAGTCTGATTGCAGAAGAGATTAAACCTTTCTCCTTCATTTTCTGGTGTCATCCCCAGTTACTGCCGAAAAGACGACTACAATAAGGAGAATATTTTGAATAGCATGAACTGTGATGTTGCTGTGAAGAAGAGAAAGAAGGACCAGCTGAACAACAAGACAAAGATTCAGTGTAAGGCTGGGTAGATACTTTTATTTTAATAACAATAAACAGCTGTGTTTGGAGAGGGGGCGGGAGAAAACCCAAACTTCTCGCTCCGTGAATTGACCTCTGACCCTGGAGAGGCTTTTCACTTATGCTTTGACCCTTAGCCGGAGAACTTGGATCCGTTGCAATGTAGAATCTTATGCCTGGGATCTTTGCTCTGTGTTTATCACTTGTATTTGGCAGAGGGGGAAGCGATCTGTTTCCAACTTCTCCCTCCCCCCAGCCCACTTGGCAGGTACATAACCCCACAGCTTGAACCAGTCCCCTTCCCCAATGTTCTTTAAACATGCACCCCCGAAACCACAAGATGGTGTCTAAAACCAGATGGGGGAGAGGGAATAAAACCATTCACTTGAACCCTTTCAAAGTGGGGGACTCTCTGTCTAATCAGACTGCCTAGAGCAGCCTTTCTCAACCTGTGGGTCCCCAGATGTTGTTGAACTACAACTCCCATCACCCCTAGCTAGCAATGCCAGAGCTCAGGGATGATGGGAGTTCTAGTCCAACAACATCTGGGGACCCACAGGTTGCGAACCGCTGTCCTAGAGTCTTATTTAATGGCTCGTATCCAGTTGCAGTGCTGTGCAAGGATCCCCACTTGCGCAATGGGACTTTCCTCCCACTCTCCTTGCCCCCACATCCTCCCCAAATCTCCCAGGGGTTGGGGGAATTCCAGAAAATATGATGGGGGATGTATTTGAGGAGAAGAGACGAGATGGCCTCTTGTGGAAGCGGGAATCCTTGTGCTGGCGGTATGATTTAGTGCTGTGTTGGATATGCGCCAGTGTCTCTGCAATTCCTGAGAGAGCTAAATATCTTCCAGCTTTGAGCTTGGCTTAGGGAGGGTTGACTCACCATGGAGGTCAAAGCTTTTGCGCCTACAACCCAGAGTGGGTTCCCAACACACCATGCCCAAAGAAAAAGTGCTTCCAAAGGCTCATGGTCTGCCCTTGAGGAATCCCAAAGCCCCGCCACCTCTCCTGTTCATTATTATTATTATTATTTTGTTCTTGTTAAAATGTAAGCACCGATGGAAATTCTGCAGCTAAGGTGTTGCCACAGGGAATTCCAGGCCACTGCTCCTCTCCAAATTTTGAGGGCAGGGGAACTATCAAGAAGGCCCTCTGCCAATCTAAACACCCGAGAGGGTCTGTGTGGAAGTATGTGGTGGTGTATTAAACTCATTCGTCCATGAGGCCTGATGCAAACCAGGATGGTGGTGGCTGTTGGCAAGCAATGACAGACTGAAGCAAATTGGGGCGAGGGTCATAACTTGCATGGTTTTAAATCAAGAAAATGTGGTTTCATTTCCACAGATTTTCACCAAGAAAAGTGGATTTACGTGCACAAAGGAAGCACGAAAGAGGTGAGTATCCCTTATTACGTGAAACATAGTAGCTTTGCTCAAAATTGTTATTTAAAACTGCCTAAAATAGCCCATTTACCATAACCAAAATGGCTTAGGGCTGAGTCAACAATCGTTCTTGGCATGTTCTGGGTCATTTCTCAACCAACCTAAGTATGAGTAAAGGTAGAAGTGAACGTGGCCTGTTGCATCGTATTTTGACTTTTGACTTGGCATATCCAGAGAACTACCCACTGCAAGAAGATCGCAACTTTACCAGTTCAGCCCAGAAACGCATTATTCTCTTGGCGCCTCTGGATTGCCTTTTTTTTATCCTATTTGCTAAAATTATAGATAATCTGTTTAAGGGTTCGTCTGCACCTCCTGCTTGACCCATGCAAGGGGTTTCCTCCCTGTCATGCTCCTTTCCCAGTGAAAACCCGCTCTTGAGCTCTATATTGGAGCAATCGTCAATCCAGAGAAACCCCAAATTGCTGTTTGCTCCAATTGAGCACTAAAGAGTGGTTTTCCCCAGGAAGGGAGCAGAGGAACAAGAGGAAGTGTGGATATGCCTTAAGTTCATGGACACTAGAGGCTGATGTGATGGCACCATAGCTCAGTTGAAGAGCCACGTGATCTGCTTGCAGAAGGCCATGGGTTCAAATCCTGCAGTCTCCAGTTAAATGAATGTGTAGAAGGTTATGCAAAAGATCATTCAGTATCTGAGATCCTGGACGGCCGTTTCCAGTCAGAATGAAAGATACTGGGCTAAGAGGACAAATAATGTCACCCGTTATAAGGTAGCTTCTATTTGTGGTTTGACTCAGAGAAGATAAGCCCGCTGGTTTATATCCAATTGCTCCAGATGTGGAGCTTGAAAGAATATCTCTGCCCTAGGAATTCTTGAACCATATTAAGGTGTTGGGAGGCGGGAAAGGGAATCACAAGCGCTTGGTCAATCTCTGGTGAGGGCAAGCAAGGAATCCAGTTCCTTTGGAATCCAAACTCGGCCTGTAGTTTTAAGAGCATGCCGCTGCTGCCTGTGTTCCAGATCCTGAGTACAAATGAATCACTTGTGTTATTCCTCTCTTTCCCCACCCACCCTCCTCTCAGCGACATGGCTATTGCACTCTTGGAGAAGCGTTCAATAGGCTGGATTTCTCAAGCGCCATCTTAGACTCGAGGAGATTCAACTACGTCGTACGGGTGAGTGTTCACCAACGACTTGCACTGCTGAATTGTTAAATCTAGCTGCGGCTTTCAGGTAATCCAGGGGTGAGACAGAAAACAACCTGTGTCTGCATAGCATAGCCTTTTAAATTGTGTTTTTCTTTTTAAGAGTAGTCTCGTTGATTTTTGTGGACATCATCCTCGATTTAAGATCACCAGTGTGCGCTTCAGACAAACTTCGCATGTGTTGAGTCTTAACTGAATTGCCACAGGCTACAATAAAAAAAAAATCCATTGCCACTTAACTCCACCCTTTTTTACACTGGGGGTTAAACCACAGAGCCACTGCTTTTTTACCCTGTGGGTTAAACCACTGAGCCTAGGACTTGCTGATCAGAAGGTCGGCGGTTTGAATCCCCGTGACAGGGTGAGCTCCCGTTGCTCGGTCCCAGCTCCTTCCAACCTAGCAGTTCGAAAGCACATCAAAGTGCAAGTAGATAAATAGGTACCCCTCCGGTGGGAAGGTAAACGGTGTTTCCGTGCGCTGCTCTGGTTCGCCAGAAGCGACTTAATCATGCTGGCCACATGACCCGGAAGCTGTACGTCGGCTCCCTTGGCCAACAAAGCGAGATGAGCGCCGCAACCCCAGAGTCGGTCACGACTTGACCTAATGGTCAGGGGTCCCTTTACCTTAGTATGTACTTAGTAGCTGAGGGTCAAACTCCATGCATCTCATGAAGTAGGTTCTAGTTAACAAAAGCTTTTGGCCGTAAGAAACTGTGTTACTCCTTAAGGTCCACAAGACTCTCTCTCGCCTTTTGCTGCAACAAACTTAACATGGCTACCTCCTGGAATTTTTAAAAAATATTCCTTTCTTTTTGTGTGTTGCGTGAACACAACAAAGTTGCTTACAGTGGAGAACTGCACAATATATACCAAGCAGGCAATTTGCTCCCCCCTTGTCTGACTCACCACCTGGAAACTTGCCACGATCCATCTTGGTGTCACTCTGACTCCTAACTCTTCAGTTCAACTACTGCCCTTTTTCACTGACATGTGATCTTTTTAAAAATGGAGTTGGCAGAACAACAGGAAGGGCATGGCGTTTTAGGAAACAGCCTGCCCTCCACCTGCTTTTCAGATCAGAATTGAGCAGAGAAGATTGGCTTTGGTGTAATAAGGGAACACACCAGCCTTTCCCAACCTGGTGCCCTCTGGATGTGTTGGACTGCAACTCCTATCAGCCAGCAAAGCAATAATCTTGCCTTACATGTCTGTCTGTCTCTGTCTCTGCAATACCGTGGTACCTCGGGTTAAGTACTTAATTCATTCCGGAGGTCCGTTCTTAACCTGAAACTGTTCTTAACCTGAAGCACCACTTTAGCTAATGGGGCCTCCTGCTGCCACCGCGCCGCCAGAGCCCGATTTCTGTTCTTATCCTGAAGCAAAGTTCTTAACCTGAAGCACTATTTCTGGGTTAGCGGAGTGTGTAACCTGAAGCGTATGTAACCTGAAGCGTATGTAACCCGAGGTACCACTGTAATAATAATAATTAATAATTATTTATACCCCGCCCATCTGGTTGAGTTTCCCCAGCCACTCTGGGCAGCTTCCAACCGAATATTAAAAACAATACAGTGTCAGACATTAAAAACTTTCCTAAACAGGGCTGCCTTCAGTTGTCTTTTAAAAGTAAAACAGTTGCTTATCTCCTTGACATCTATCTGGTAGGGGGGCGTTCCACAGGGCAGGCACCACTACCGAGAAGGCCCTCTGCCTGGTTCCCTGTAACCTCACTTCTTGCAGCAAGGGAACCGCTAGAAGGCCCTTGGCGCTGGACCTCAGTGTCCGGGCTGGATGATGGGGGTGGAGACATTCCTTCAGGTATACAGGACCGAGGCCGTTTAGGGCTTTAAAGGTCAGCACCAACACTGTCTCTGTCTCTGTCTCTGTGTCTCTCTCTCTCTCTCTCTCTCTCTCTCTCACACACACACACACACACACACACACACACACACACTACTTCCACTGCAGTTTGAATCCAGTTTCTTAATTCTCCAGAAGATTAATTTCTCTGTACAGTGGCACCTTGGTTCTTGAACTTAATCTGTTCCAGGAGTCCATTCAACTCCCGAAACCGTTCGAAAACCAAGGTGCGGCTTCCGATTAGCTGCAGGAGCTTCCTGCACACAAGTGGAAGCCGCGTCTGAAGTCTGGCTTCCGAAAAACGTTCGCAAACTGGAACACTTACTTTCGGGTTTGCAGCATTCAGGAGCCAAGCCGTTCGAGTACCAAGGTGCCACTGTATTCAAATGTATAAAGATAAAAGAGCCCTCAAAATGGCTTAGAAAACAATTTCTAAAAAATATTAAATCAGCAGTTATAAGAAACAGAATAATATAGCAATAGATAAAAATTAAACTGCAGGGGAAAGTTCAAACAAAATTAAAAAATAAAATTGAGGACAATATTAGCAGCATGTAATGTGTGGAATGGATCTTCGTTCTTTAGGCCATTTCCGAAGTCCTTTATTTTTCTCTGCACTAAGATTAATACATGTAGAAATTGCAGCATTTAAGAATTCACAAAAGCGTGTGTTTCTCCAGCCAATCCTCTAACTTCCTGGAGCCTCGGATACTGAGTGGTACCTAGAAGTTGAAAACTCTCTAATTCAAACTGGCTGTCGGTTTGGCAGAGAGAAAACGAAACCTTCCATCCCAGCACCGCAACTCAAACAAGAACACTGTGTTAAAAATGAATTGATCCTATCAGCCAAGTCCCTGGTGAATAATAGCTCACGTCATAGATACCACATAAATGGCTGAGCAGGGTGTGTGTGTGTGTGTGTGTGTGTGTGTGTGTGTGGAAAACCTCTGCTATGCCTGGAGTCATTCACTTGCAAGGCAGAAGAAGCAGCAAATGACTGCTGTTTTGTGACTAACCCTCCTATGGCTCAAGCCGTGTCTATGGGACTGGCAGGCTGGCTTTAGCTGTTGGGCCAGAGGGTTTTTTTGGCCGGGGGGGGGGGGGAGGCAAAGTTTAAAAAAGAGCAAAGTTCTGGCACTTTTCCAGTGCTTCTGGTGCAATTTGGATAAGGAGTATAATTTGGAGGAATGCAAATGGTTGGTGGGTTTATCTTTTTGCAAACCACTTTGAAATTTTTTTCTCTTTTCTTTTTAAACTATCAAGTAATGCATAAATTTTATGAAATAAATACATTCCCCACCCACCCCACAACTAGAAGCTGCTTCTATATATCTATATCTGTATCTATATCTATATCTGCATACTTAGAGTTCATGTTTGTTGAGCAGAGCAATAGAGAACAGTCCATACAAGATTTTACCACTTCAAACATGTGTCCGTCAAGTTGCATGCTTAAAAGCATTCTTACACAATTTCCCTGTGCATTAATAGCAAACGTATAGCTTAAAAGGCCATATTGCAGGTGTTAATATTGTGCAGCTTGAAGCAGCTGGATGCATGAAAACTGACTCCTTTTGGAAGAAAACTTTGTCCAGACCCATTAGATATTACTCAAAGCTTTACTTGCAGAACTTTCTTCAAAAGAGAACAAAAGCAATCAAAGATATTTGCAAATAATTCCATTGGACACGTGCCTTCCAAGGCACAGGTTCAGCATCTTCCTAGGAATAAAATAACGTATAATCAGAGCTGAGAAACATAGCTCTCTTTCACACAGGTGCCATTAGCCTGCATTCCAGCCCCAAGGCTGTTGAGCTCCTGGAGTGATTCATTTGCACCTCCTTTTCCCACGGAGCCCGGGAACAAAAGACAAAAACCAGCTCCCCAAGATGGTGATTTGCAATTCAATGCCTCTCATGTGATCTAAGGTTAAACACTCACGTGTTAGCTAGCAGAGAACAACAGTAGTTAATTATCAAACTATCTAGGAGCTCAGAGAGCTTAATGGAAAATCCACATGTTGAAGCCTTCAGTAATACACACAGTCATGCTCCATTTCAGTATGAATTGAGCAATTATACTTAACAGGCCGGACTATAAGATGAAAGCCTATTTGGCGAGGTAATCACACCTCCATAGGTGCCTCTCCTGTTTTGAGTCCTAGAAATAAAGCCAGTTAGCTAGAATGGAAGCCACTTTATTTAAACCTGAGCCCGAGTGTATCCTTTTCTTTCCTCCCCCCACCCCCTGCCCTGCAAAACTGTCCCATTTCAGACAGCTTTGCTTGCTGTCTGGGGTGTTATGTACAGGCAGATGACAGTGACAGATTCCTTACTCCAGAAGAATTTGCCGTGTGATGCGCTCTTAAGCAATGTTCTGCAAGCGCTCACTCGCCCGCACCGCAAAAGCGGGAGAAAGAATGTGTGTCTTAATTTACAAGGGGAAATCCAACGGAACTTATTCCAGAGGAGTTGTGTTACGGGGAGAAAGTCCTGGCTCTCTTTTTGTTTACACGCAGGCTAACACCATTCGCTGGAGGCTCCAGCCACATATCCTGGGATCCTGTGGGCCAAATAGGCTTCTACAGTTTTAGAACAACAGTGGCAGAGAGCCTTTTCCATAACAAGGCTCACATTCCCATTTGGACAACTTTCTGGGCACCATGTACCAGTGGGGCCAGAGGCATGGCTGGGGCCAGAGGCAAAAGAAGACAATGTATGGGGTCTTTATCTAGCAGAACACAATATTTGCTGCAATGATCATACAGGATATAAAAAGGTAAAGGGACCCCTGACCATTAGGTCCATTCGTGGCCGACTCTGGGGTTGCAGCACTCATCTCGCTTTATTGGCCGAGGGAGCCGGCGTACAGCTTCCGGGTCATGTGGCCAGCATGACTAAGCCACTTCTGGCGAACCAGAGCAGCGCACAGAAACGCCGTTTACCTTCCTGCCGGAGTGGTACCTATTTATCTACTTGCACTGTCTGCTTTCGAACTGCTAGTTTGGCAGGAGCTGGGACCGAGCAACGGGAGCTCACTCCGTCGTGGGGATTCGAACCGCCAACCTTCTGATCGGCAAGTCCTAGGCTCTGTGGTTTAACCCACAGTGCCGCCTGCGTCCCCATACAGGATATAAGATGGAATAAAAATGTTGTTTTCATAGAATCAAAGAATGATAGTTGGAAGGGACCACGAAGGTCATCTAGTACAACCCCCCCTGCAATGCAGGAATCATTTGCCCAGTGTGGAACTTGAACTCACAACCCTGTGATTAAGAGATTCATGCTCTACTGACTTTTGTTTAAGGTACCCCTTTATCCTCTCTTGGGATTCGGTGAACTTGGAAGTCTTGTGTCTTAAGAAAGTAATTTTTTTTAAAAAAAAAATAAACCTAAAAAATTTATTAGTAAAATATCCACGAGTAGCAGCAGAAAAAAACATTAAAAGGTCTGAGCAAATTTAGAGATCTTTGTGTGATATGCAAAAGTAATCGGGAAGGCTCCCCTTCAAAGGTAGGCTGCCATGGCTAAAAAAAGCTCACTTTTGTTTTACTGCTCACCTAACTTCTGATAGCTGTGTACCTGGAGAAGGACCTCAGGTGGTGATCTTGGGGCTTATCTACACCTCCCTTTTGCAGTAATCTTTCTAGGCACAGGTCTGTGCTTTAAATCTCCTTGTCTGAGCACCGCCCCCTTTTTTTTCCTTTTTGCTCCGGAGCTTTCCCCACAAAAAAACTGCTCTTTAAAGCTGAAACGGAGCAAACAGCAATTTGGTTTTTCCATGACTTGCCGTTTCCTCCGATTCAGGTGTAAAGAGGGGATTTTCACAGGGAAAGCTCTGGAGTGAAAACGGAAAAAAAGAGTGAGCACTTGGGACAAGAAGCGTCAACTAGGCCTGGAAAGAGCAGAGAAAATGTAAGTGTGAATAAGCTCTTAGAAACCCAGGCATGTTTGTGTGGGGTCAGGATATCCAAGCCATATAGGACATTTCCCCACCCCACAATCTTAAGGTCTCAAAGCTTAATTAAAAAACACCACCACAACACCACCATTCTTGGAGCAGCTTCAAATCCCAAGCAGGCCATGTACCACAGTTCCCCAGGACTTTTTGTTGATTTCATAAAACGTATACACCGCCAGATTGTCAAAAATCCTCAGTTTACAAAAAAGGCTAAGCAATAAAATTAATGGCTAAGCAAAATTAACAACAATCTAAAACATTCGAAAAGTAAAAATGGCAATAGACTTAAGAAACAGATTAAGATTCTCATCAGCTTTCTAAACATCCAGGTAGTCTTGTGTTTTCAAAATGTTTTTAGGCAGTGCATACAAATGAAGGCAATACAAATGATATCAATAGGCAGGGTGTAAAAGCGTAGCTGCCGCATCAGCTCCTTACAGACGCAGAACAGGTGTTGTGTGGCACCTGTAATAGTGCGGATTCCTCTGATCAAGGAAGTTGATTGGGCATGCATGGGGTGAGGCAGTCGCGCAGGTAAACAGGCCCCAAGTTGTGAAGGGCTGTACCACACGAAAATGTGACTTTGTGTTTGAAAGCCTCTCAATGTCATGCGCTTGTGTATCACTCCGCTTGTCGTGTCTGTGTGTACGATTAGTTGGCACATCAGGAGCTATTTGAAAAATGCACACCTGTGTGCGTATGCATGTGTTTTTTTATTTTTAACTTCCCCTGAATGGTGAGTCATAGAAATGAAGGCGATTAGCCGGGGTTAGACGGCTTAGCAAATTAGCCAGGGCTCCTTCCCCACCCCGGTCTCCCTTGGTTTTTCTACCAGTCATGTGGCCACACGCAAGGTATTAATAGAACGCTCACGTAGGAGAGCCATCTGTTGGCATTCGAAGTTGGCCGGGGAGATAAACAGACGGGTGGATCAGTCACCCTCGGCCACTTCCCCGCCTTGAGCTGATAGTCACACGGTGGTGACAGCGCTGTGTAAGAGGAGAGAGCAGCTGAAGCCATCTCTTTCTCCTGTTCTTCCCCTCACCCCCCTTTTCCTCCTTGTCCCATGTGTTCTGGCTTTATAGAAAGGCGTTGATAAGTGCAAACAAATTCTTATCATTCTTCCCACTGGGCAAAGCACTTTTCAACCCATGACTTGATGTGTTTTATCATTATAACATGGTCAGAATTTCATGGCCGGGTTCATGACGAGTCCAAACTGCCTGGTGGTGGTGGTGTTGTTCCAACGACGGAGAGCAAGGTGACAATTCATGAACAGGACATGGGGTTTTGGGGGGCGTGAAGGTATATTGCATCTGTACATGCAGGTTCCTTTTAGCTCTTGCAGCAGAGATCTTGCATGTTTGACACTGGCTCAAATCCTGAGTTACGTTAACATGGGGAGGTTCAAGGAAGGAAACTTACCTGTTCTCTGTTTTCCACTGCAACTACCTGTGCCTGCAGTAGCATCTCTAGAGGGTTAGAAAAGAGGGGAAATCCCTTCTCACTAGGGATAAGTGAATCGGTCAAGTACATTTTCTCATTTTTCTAATCGTAGGTTCATATCTCCACACTTCCAAACGAGTTTGTGAGTTTTGTTTTCCTTTCCTTTAAAAGGTCCTTGTGGAAATTCACCAGCATTGTTTAGTGTCTTACACAGCTCAGGATCTCAATACCTTAAGGACTGCCTCTCTCTATACAAACTGACCCAGGCCCTGCTCTTCTCATCCAAGGCCCCTTCCCGAGGGGTTCAGAGGGTGACAACATGAGAATGGGCCTTTTCTGTGGTGGCTCCCCATCAGTGGAATGCTCTCCCCAGAGAGGCCCGCCTGGTGCCATTGTTACATTCAGGTGCCAGGCAAAAACATTTCTCTCTACCTAGGCCTTTAGCCATTGAATAACCTATGGCCAGGTTGAAGGTGTTGGGAGGGGCTGTTATTTTCAAAGTGTTGATGCTGACCTTTAAAGCCCTAAACGGCCTTGGTCCTGTATACCTGAAGGAGCATCTCCACCTCCATCGTTCTGCCTGGACACTGAGGTCCAGCTCCGAGGGCCTTCTGGCAGTTCTCTCACTACGAGAAGCCAAGTTACAGGGAACCAGGCAGAGGGCCTTCTCGGTAGTGGCACCCACCCTGTGGAACACTCTCCCATCAGATGTCAAAGAGAAAAATAAGTACCAAACTTTTAGAAGACATCTGAAGGCAGCCCTGTTTAGGGAAGCTTTTAATGTTTAATAGGTTATTGTATTTTAGTGTTCTGTTGGAAGCCGCCCAGAGTGGCTGAGAAAACCCAGCCAGATGGGTGGGGTATAAATAAATTATTATTATTATTATTATATTATTATTTTATTTTATTTTATTTCATTTTATCATATTGCTGTCCATTACTATGCTTTGTTTTATGTTTTTGTTATGTTCCATAAAACGTTTTTAATGTTGTACACCACCCTGAAATATTTTATTAAAAGGTGGTGTATAAATGTTGTTGTTGTTAACGTTGTGGATTTCTCCCAATGGGCACACTTTTTAATGCAGTTTGGGCCAATACACACATTATTGCACACTCCCTGTGTCACAAGACAAATGAGAGGACCTATCACCATCTATGTTGTGCAGACCTGAATGGGGACGGCAGACACCAGCAACGTATCTGCATCTGATCTGTGCTGGCAATGTGTGCATGCCCTGCTGAATCAGGACCAGTAACTTCCATTGCCTTGGAAGACTGACTACCCCCTTAGTCCTCCAACTGTTTTTACATATTATGTCACCGCATTTGCTCATAGCAATCCATTGCTACACTTTTACTCCCTCCACATCCTGTTGCATTTCCTGCTATGAAATTCAGATTGCAAGCTCCCAGGGGGCAGGGACCCTGGTCTGCATGAAGTTATGCTTAGTGCTATAGCAAATATGAAAGGATGTTTCGGAAATGAGTGTGTCCCCCAAGTTTTTTTTATGTAGCTGCCCTTGGAGGCTGCAGCTGAACCTCGAAATATAGTTGCTTGCTGTAGCAAAAGCAATTGCCCACATCGCTCTTTGTGGTTAAGATGCTCCCATGTTCAGCAAAGCAGCTTAGATGACCACAATCTATTTTTCTCCTCTGCTGTCAGTTTTAATGACTTGGCTTAGTAATTAAGCCAACGAGAAGAGGCAGAAAGATTGCTATCGCTTAAGCTGCTGCATCTGTCTTTCCTTTCTGGCTCTCTTGTCTATCCATTCCCACCCTCCCTCCTCCAAAAGAGAGAGAGAGAGAGAGAGAGAGAGAGAGAGAGAGAGTGTCAAGCAACAAACAAGCTTCTGAACTGTTTTACTGTGCATCACATGACCAGGAAGCTAAGATTAGAAAACTGCCTTTGTGCTCTTTAAGGCTGAATGTCTTTATTTTTATCCACAGCTGTTGGAGCTGATAGCAAAGTCTCAGCTAACGTCACTGAGCGGAATTGCCCAGAAAAACTTTATGAACATCTTGGAAAAAGTAGTGCAGAAAGGTAAAGGCAACAGGCGGGGAGGTGCAAACCTAAGGTTACCAACTTCACAAGCAATAGGCTGTGGGTTCCTCCAGATAAGCTGTTTGTTGAACATTTGATTTGTTCAAATAGAGGTCATTCAATGATGAACATTCGTCCTGGTTTCTTCGTGCGATGGCTATGTCTTCCCTTATTCATCCCACACTTCTCAGTGCATTTCCGCAGACCCAGAGTGTTGGATGATGACCTGAGAGACCACGGTTCAAATCCCCATTGGCAGTGTTAGAAATTAGCCGGGAGCCAGGCATTTTTTGCACCTGGCGCAGGTCCAGTTTGCGACCATGTGGAGATCTCGGGGTGCCTGTTTGGCGACTGGGGAAAGCAAAATGTCAGAGAGGGATCTGAAATATTTTCCTTGAAGCTTGAGTTTGTTTTGTCTGGATGGTTTTGTTTGACGTTTCAATGTGTTGTAAACTGCTTTGAGATAAAACGGGGTAGAAATTAGATGGATAATGGTCATCATCATCATCATGGTGGTGATTCAACCTAGGTTTAAAATGCCATTTGGCAATTAGATTATATATCTGAGTTTCAAATGCTGCCATTCAGCCATGAAGCTCATTGGGTGTCCTTGGGCCATTTGCCATCTCGTAGCCTAACCTACTTCACAGGGTTGTTGTGAGGGTGAACTGGGGAGGGGGAGGAGAGCCATGTACACCACATTGAGCTCCTTCGAAGAAAAGATGGCATATGATTATAATAAATAAAAATAAAATAAATTTCCTAACTCTGGAAAAGTCCAGTACAGTGGACACTCGGGTTGTAACGTGATTCGTGCGGGAGGCACATTCGCAACCTGCAGCGCCACATCTGTGCATGCGCGGGTCGCGGTTCAGCGCTTCTGCGCATACACAAAGCGCCAAAACCTGGAAGTAACCCGTTCTGGTATTTCCGGGTTCGGTGCAGTGCACAACCTGAAGTGTCCGTAACCCGAGGTATGACTGTATTTGTTGAGCTAGGGCAACGGAACACTTTTGTCCACTTCAGATGGGGTCCTTACTTAGTGCTGGTACCTACACTACAGGCTCGCTTAGGATGTTCAAGGCCATAAGTGTGGGATGCACAACTTGTGTTTTTCATGGACAAGGGATTTAGGAGGAATGGCTTTGGAATAGCCATCCCCTGCTGTCTGAGGTGGAGCCACATCTTGCTGGAGTCAAAGGACAATAAGCCAAGGGTCGGCAAGGCTTACTGAGCATGGGCCAGATCACTCCCACAGAGATCCTCTGTGGGCCGGACCAGCGCAGCGCGACGCTGGAAATCATGTCTGCGCATGTCCGCAGTGCCTGAAATTGCTTCTGCGCATGCTCAGATGCCGAAAATTGCACCCTCACAGAAGCAATTTCCGGCACCGCGGACATGCACAGACATGATTTCCGGCGTCTTGGCATGCACAGAAACAACAGAGCTGTGGAAGAGAGTCCCCGTGCCGTGCTGCACCGGTTTAGCGCACCGCGCGGGGACTTGCCAAGCAGGCGTCTCAGTTCAGGGGCTGGTTAGACGGCCTTCGGGGGCAGCTTCCGGCCCATGGGCCTTAGGTTGCTGGCCCCTGCAATAAGCAAACATGGTCTCACTGCTAAGAATATAATGCGTGCTTCTTTAGCATTTTTCGTCTTCTTTGTGTCTCATTTCATTCCTTCTCTTTTCCTATTCAAAAAGTCTTGGAGGATCAGCAGAATATCCGTCTAATCAGGGAATTGCTGCAGACTCTGTATCTGTCTCTGTGCACTTTGGTCCAAAGCGTTGGCAAGTCTGTCCTGGTTGGCAACATCAACATGTGGGTCCATAGGATGGAGACAATTCTTCACTGGCAGCAGCAGCTGAACAATATCCAAATCACCAGGGTGAGTGGAGTATTCTGCTTTGTTTGTTTTCGTGTCGAAAATGTTGCTTCTTTGCTCTTTCACGAAGCTCTTTTCACACCTTATTTTTTTTGCATGCTCTGTCTTTTCCCTCCCAGCCTGCCTTTAAGGGCTTGACTTTCACAGACCTGCCCTTGTGTTTGCAACTGAACATCATGCAACGCCTGACAGATGGAAGAGACCTTGTGAGCCTTGGGCAAGTAGCTCCAAGTCTTCAGGTGCTCAGTGAGGACCGGCTGCTGTGGAAAAAGCTTTGTCACTACCATTTCACAGACAGACAGGTAATAATAATAGGCTGTTGTAATCTTGAAACTATGGGGAGAGTGATGATCACAGAAGCAGCAGAAATACTGAAAATAAGACCAGGGTTTTGTTTAGTTTTATTGCCCAGTCGTGAAGCAGGATAAATTAGGCGTTTAAAGGCGAACCTGTGTAACTCAGTTTCTGAAACAATACATGAACCATCTTTCAAAAATCACACTGTTCTGAAGTTTGCTGTTCAGCTCGTCAACCAAACAAATGTTTGCAGAAATGAATGTGTTAGTGATGGTAACATGCAGAGTTGCATTGCATTAGTAAAAAACTGCTTTGCAAAAAAAGTGTCAATGAGTCAAAATTGCAGATAAAAATATGTGTGTTAGGCGAAATTAGCACTTACATGCTGATGGATTTTCAGGAGGACTTTAAAACACACACACACACGAGTAAACTTTAATGTGAATAACTAAATTTAAGACTGGAAATATGAGCAACCTAACTTGACAGATTAGTCCATCCATACTGCCCAGACCAGTCTTGGGTCTTGAAGGTACTTGCCAGCTTTCTGCAAAATTCCTGAGAGTATGCCTGTACCATTCTTAAGTCCTACGGTGGGGATCCAAAGAAACAAGATATCTGCATTTTCTGCCACCAAAAAGACAAGACCCCACTCATTTGAAAAAGCGGCTTGCTCCAGAACTCACCATGAAAAACTCCTGAATTTCTTATAACCTATGCTGAACAACTCTCAGCATTTAGCAGGCAGCAATCCTGGTTTTATCGATCTGAATTTATGTAAATTTACTACTATTCCTGTCTCCTACTTATGCCACACTAGGGTGTTTAATTTGCTTGGTTGTGGCGTATATTCTCTCTGGGGTGGTCTTGGATTTGCCTGATCCTCGTTTCACTGTTGTGTGGCTCATAGGAGAATAGGAAACTGCCATATACAGAGTCAGATCATTGAGATCCGTATTGCCTATGAGGATTGCCAACAGCTCTTCGTGGGGCTTCATTCAGGGTCTCCCCCTAGCCAAATCTGGAGATGCCAAGGATTTGAACCTAGGACTTTCCGCATGCAGAACAGGGGCTCTCTCACTCGAGTTGCAGCAGCTGCCTTAAACTAGCCAGTCTTTGGACAAATTTCCCAGGCCTGTGATTCCATTGTGGGACTCTCTTACATTTCAGATTCGTAAACGGCTAATCATGTCGGAGAAGGGGCATTTGGATTGGAAGAAGATGTATTTCAAGCTTGTGAGGTGCTACCCAAGGAAGGAGCAGTACGGCGATTCTTTGCAGCTCTGTAGACACTGCCATATCTTGTCTTGGAAGGTAGGTGGCCAGTCCCAAATCCTCTTGATGGCTGGAGGTTTAAGCTTGGGGCAGAGGATATATTGCATGGACTGCAATTGCAGCATCTCGCTTGAAGGGTCTTAAAGCTTGAGCTCTTGGACTCTGGGTGGAATTCAGTGCTACACTCTCCCAGCTGTTCTGCTTGCTAGATGACACAATCTCCCCTCTCCTCCTCCATGCATTGTTCTGAAGGTTCTCCTGACTTCCACCAGAGCCAGTTTCATGGAGGTGCAAGAGCCCCACTGCATGAGCATAAGTCCTTGCACAGGGGCTGGTTAGGTGACTCCTGTCCTCTGGTTTCTTTGCCTAGTCCGCAAGATGTCAGTCGCTTTCACGAACCACTCCTTGGTGTTACAACGGTGGAAGCGTTTCTGTTGAGTGGAGATCTCAGCCATGCAATAAACTGAAAGCTTGACAGATCAGTGTGAGCTAGCAATCCCTGCCTTGAAATTCTACTCCATATTGATCTAGAGTAGATTCCAATGTATAGTTAGCAGAGTAAAAACTTAAACACGTTGCAGGACTCCCAAAAAATAGACAATTAATATTTCATCCAGCAGAGCTTTACTGCTACTGAAGGCAAATGAACATCATGGTCACAAATCCAATACATTCAGGTTTGGCACTGTCCATAAGAAATCCACTTGCAGCAGACTTAAGTTAAACTTACAATAACTTATAGTAAGTCTAAACCTTAACACTAAGCATACTATGTACAGAACACCACACCAGAAGGAAAAGAGAAAGTGAAACCAGGCTCCTTCTGGCCTTACAGTGGTGCCTCGCAAGACGAAAAGAATCCGTTCTGGGAGTCTCTTCGTCTAGCGGTTTTTTCGTCTTGCGAAGCAAGCCCATTGACGGATTAGCGGATTAGCGCTATTAGCGGCTTTTAGCGGCTTTTAGCAGCTTATCGGATAAGCAGATAAGCGGCTTAGCGACTTAGAAAAAGAGGGGGGAAAGGAAAAAAAAAACCCAGGAACTCGCAAGACATTTTCGTCTTGCGAAGCAAGCCCATAGCAGATTCGTTTTGCGAGGCACCTCCAAAACGGAAAACTCTTTCGTCTAGCGAGTTTTCCGTCTTGCGAGGCATTCGTCTTGCGGGGCACCACTGTACTTTGATAGTCAGCATGACCTTGACAGAAAGAGATAAGAGAACTACAGTGGTACCTCGTGTTACAGACAGGATCCGTTCCAGAGGCCCGCCCGTAATGTGAAAAGCCCGCAACTCGAAGCGCCACGTCTGTGCAGGCACACGGCGAGATTTAGCGCTTCTGCACATGCGCAAGCGGCAAACCTGGAAGTAACCCATTCTGGTACTTCTGGGTTGCCACGGGATGCAGGACGAAAACACGCAACCTGAAGCGGACGTAGCATGAGGTATGACTGTAGTTTAAGGTCTGCTGGTTTCTCTCAGACAGAAAAGCTTCCAGAACCCTCTTGAATGAAGTAGAATAGGAAGGATCGCCACACATCAAATCAATACTTTCTGCACTAAGAAATGCAAACTGACCGTCCCCACCATACATTTAAGCAGTCTTATAACACTTTAACAGTCATGGCATCCTCCAAATAATCCTGAGAACTGTAGTTTATCAGGGGTGCTGGGAATTGTAGCTCTCCGAGGGGTTTCCTGACTCCTCTCAGCATCCTTAAACCCATGTTTGTTGCTGTGATGTGAGTGGAATAGCCCACAATGACAAGTTTTGGTGCACTTCCTAAAACTTAAAGACCATGGTGGGGAAAAGGGAAGCTGTGGTTGGACTCCATGTCCCATCAGCCCTGGCCAACATGGCCAATGGTCTGGGATGATGATGATGATGATATAAATAAATTAAAAATTTATTTATATCCCACTTGCCCTGGCCAGGGCCGGGCTCAGGGCGGCTAACACCAAATATAAATTATAATAAAACGTAATAGAAAAACAACAACAACCAGTTAATTAAAATACGACTTAAAATACAGCTTAAAATGCAGCCTCATTTTAGTAAGGTAAAGGTAAAGGGACCCCTGACCATTAGGTCCAGTCGTGGCCGACTCGGGGGTTGTGGCGCTCATCTTGCTCTATAGGCCAAGGGAGCCGGCGGAGAGCTTCCAGGTCATGTGGCCAGCATGACTAAGCCGCTTCTGGTGAACCAGAGCAGCACACGGAAACGCCATTTACCTTCCCGCCGGAGTGGTACCTATTTATCTACTTGCACTTTGATGTGCTTTCAAACTGCTAGGTTGGCAGGAGCAGGGACCGAGCAACGGGAGCTCATCCCGACATGGGGATTCGAACCGCCGAACTTCTGATCGGCAAGTCCTAGGCTCTGTGGTTTAACCCACAGCGCCACCCGCGTCCCCCCTCATTTTAGTAGTAGCCCATAAATCAGGAAAATAAAGGGAAGAAACATCAGATATTCACCCGAGCCAGCTATCCATGCTGGTCCTACATGGGCCAGCAAAAAAGCTAAGGGAAAATTTGCATACCAAATCCCATATAAGGGGTCAGAGTGAGTCTAAGCTGAAGGCCAGGCGGAACAGCTCCGTCTTGCAGGCCCTGCGGAAAGATGTCAAATCCTGCAGGGCCCTAGTCTCTTGTGACAGAGCGTTCCACCAAGTCGGGGCCAGTGCTGAAAAGGCCCTGGCCCTAGTTGAAACCAATCTAACCTCCTTGAGGCTTGGGACCTCCAAAGTGGTGGTGGTTATGGACCTTAAGGTCCTCCGAGGGGCATACCAGGAGAGGTGGTCCCATAGGTACGAGGGTCCTAATTGTAGCTCCGAGGTTCCAAGTTCCCCATATCTGATGCATGTGGCCCAACAGCCACTTGTACTACGTTGACGGCATGAGTGACTTGGCTGAGCTTGCAGCTTGTGCCTCCAGCAGCAGCAGCAAAACTCCCCTTGCTGCAAGTAAGCTGTTTTATTGTTGCTAAGCTACCTACAGATATGCCATCAACATTGGTACCATCTCTATACAACCAGATTTTCTTCCTTTTCAGGGCACCGATCATCCATGCACGGCTAACAACCCAGAAGGCTGCTTGACTTCTCTTTCACCCCAGGACTTCATCAACTTGTTCAGATTTTGAATCCCCAAGTAATTTCACTGTGTAAATATTTTGCTACTCTGATGGGACACTTTATACTGCCAAACAGGCTCGCTCAACCTGTATATTGTGTGTAAATATTACGGCTTTGGAGTTCCTGAGTCAAGAGGACAAGAGGATTTTAGGAGGCGAAGGGAGTCATTATTCAGTGGCATTGAACTCTTTTTGAGAATATGGCCTTCCAACTGAACTGATAAATGTGTAAACACTGTAAATATATGATGCTTTGTAAGAATCTGAGTGCAAGCAACTGGGGAGAATCCTTATTCTGCTTAGGAAATTCAAATTTGTTTTGTTTTTGTTTTTTTGCATCCGTTTGAAATGTCTCTGGTTTCAAAGCCTAGAGAAATTAAAACACCATGCTTAGGCTAAAGCTGTTGAACTACTTCCCGCTCTGGGTTTTGTTTACAATAGATATTTATACAGAAGACATTTTTAGAATCGGTAGCTTACAGGGGCATAGCCCTTTATCCTTTAAGATAAAATAAAAATCAATGTAAAATGTACACACCACACCATTTTCTACCTCTGAAAAGCTTTGCAGCCAACCCGATATGCAATGTGAAGTGTTTGTACTTTGTAGAGATTTAAAGGGGGAAGTTGATGGCAAAAGTAGACTTAACTCCTTTTTATTACTGCTTAAGAGTCTGCTTGCTCTTTTGTTCGAAAAGCCTGGTTCTCAGAAATTTGGAAAGGCTCCAGCAGAACAGTGGGCCTGTTGTGATTGCTGGTAAAACAACAAACACGAAGAAGAATTAATGATGGAGATTCTAGTTGGTGTGTCACATCACATCGGCCCTGCATATTTTCTAGAGGCCTGCTGTTGTTGTTGCTGTCAGTCTCTCTCCAATACAGTGCCCAAATTCACATGTCACACTGAGCCCAAACTGGCTTAGCATGAATGCTTGGGTGTGGGAACGGAGATCGCAGCCACATTGCTCCTCTGGAGTCATTCAGCTACTGTGCTGAACTAAACCACAGTTTGGATTAGCATGTCTTCCAAACCTAGTCTTATGGCTAAGCTCTGTCCAGACCAGGCATAGGCAAATTCGCTCGCCAGATGTTTTGGGACTACAACTCCCATCATCCCTAGCTAACAGGACCAGTGGTCAGGGGTGATGGGACTTGTAGTCCCAAAACATCTGGAGCGATGAGTTTGCCTGTGGTTAGTCCAGACTAACCACAAGCTGTACCCTAAGGTCTGCCCTGTGGTTTACAGCTTACGGGTTGTGTGGAAGATCTATACCACAAGCCCGGGTTCAAGCAACATGCGCAAGCAAGCCATGGCTTAGCTCTCAGCGCGATGGAGCAGCAGAATGACCAGGGAGGAACGAAGGAGCTGCAATGTTGCCTCCAGGACTGGTTGACTTTGCATACGTACAAATACATTGTGCTGTGAAAGTGGTGTAGCAAGCCTTGCTTTTTGCAACGAGACGTCGCTTGTCTGTTCTCGGGCAAGCTCTAATGTGCAATACATTCTGCTATGTAGGCTTTAAGCTCTGTGGAGCTTGAATGTGGAAGATCCACTCTTTGGCCGGTGCCTGTGTGACATGAACCCACCTCCTCCTTCCCACACACCCCCAGAACAATTTTGCAACTTCCACATCACCCGCTCTCAAACTGTAGAACCCGCTGGGATGGGATTAAACCTGAGGCTTTCTGTTTGCAAAGTGGATGCTCCTACCGCTGCCTTTCTCCTTCCTTGCAGAACCGGCCCAGTATTAAATTAATTGCAGGGGAAACACTAAAACTCCACCAAAGGTGGAGGACTCGCTTCTGTCCCCTAAATAAGTGTCAATGTTGGATTCTGAGAAGTGTGTGGCCTAGAGAACTGTAGAAGAGCTATTACCTTTTGCTTGAATAAGACCACAGGCAGGTGTGTGCATTAAGAATGTCTAAACCCCCATGAGGCACATGTATCTGTGCTTAGCCTATGTTGGTACCACACATGGTCTAATAAAGGGTACAGCTGCACTCAAACAAGCTACATTATCCAAAGAACCAACATGATGAAAGTTGCCCTGTGTCGTGTGAAAACGTTTCTCCTTTGGAGCTGCTGCTCCTATATACTGTATCGGGTTTGGTGCTGAAACACAGAAATTCAATGCACAGGGATGTAAAAGATTTCAAATAATCACGATCATTTTATTGGTATTATTCAAAGCAGTAAACCAAAACAAAGGTACAGTCTGACATCAGGGTACGTGCATAAAATACCCTTTTTTGGGGGCTAAGATTTAATATAGAAGCACAGGTTTTCAACGACGCTAAGGGTTGTTTAGGGGCATTGCTGGAGCCAGCAAGTTGCGGAAATGAAGTGAAGTTGGAACAGGGAAGTGAGAGCAGAGGCGTTGGTGGTGGTTGACGTGAGGAGTTGGTATAACTTGTTATGGAACTGATGTATTTGCCATGTGGTTGTGTCTTTCAGGAAATGAATTTAGCAGCCTATATAGTTTAGGAGAGTAGATGATGGGTCTGAGTGTAAGCAGAAAGTGGCTTTTGGTGTTTAGACGATGCGTGAATGAAAGAGGGAGGAGATTCAGTGGTCCCTTAGATTGAATGGGATGTTGTCCCACCAACAATCCTGTCTTCCCTCTGCCAATTCCAACTCCTTTCTTACTTGCATCCACTAGCTATCGGCTTCCTCCTCCATGGTCTCAGCACTGCCATGATAGAACTTGGTAGCTGGGAGGATGGGGGCAAACCTAGAATGAGTTGGCTGTGCCTGTCATGGGCTCTGGCGCCACCTACTCTTGGCCTCCCTGCCTTCTGCCCTACCAGTACCAATGGGTGCCAGCGACCACTAAAGGGACTGCTTACATGTATGTGCCGACTCGTTTTTATTATGAAGCCCATTAAAATAAAAATAAAAATGGTAGGGTAACATTTCTGGACCTATCGAGCATTTCCTACATCCAAACTAGCCTCTGGCAAACAAATTCTCCTGGTTTATATTAGGATAGGACTTTTTTTTTATTTTTACGAAATGTGTGAGTTTTATACTAGAGAAGCACTTATTCCACCCGTTGTTAGGGGGAGTTTTGTATGCACCTTGTATATATTATTGTTTAGCTATTGGATGAATCAGAATCTCTTTCATGTGCCGAAAAACATGCATGCAGGTGACCAAAAACCCTCAATGGTGCCTCAGGTCATTTTGGGAGCAGTTTGGTTGGCAAGTATGGACTCTTTGTATGACATAAAATCAGATGCTGGGGCACCTGTAGGATGGATACCTGTGGATATGTAGTACTGTACAACTTCAGACACCAAACTCCTCCTTGAGGGCATCCCAACAGTTAACTAACTTTGCCTCCTTACCAGATTTATCTGACCCTGGATGGCTTAAGCTGAAACAAACCAGGATCCTTCCAAGTGCAGTTAAGTCTCTCGCAAAACTGACGAGATGTTCCTGGGCTTGAAACTTGTTGTACGGGCGGGCGAAGGGGGAAATGTTGGCACAGATTTCCGTGCAACCTGTCGCAAGGCTCATTTTAACGACCCTTCTTGCATCTTGCCATAAACCCGTCTATTTAATTGAAACCACTCCTCTCGCTAGCTGACTCGTTGGCGAAAACAATGAGTTGCTGTCAATGTGATGCCTTTATGACTTAAAGTCATGCTCCCTTTTTTTTTTTACAGATGAAGTTAGCTCTTTCCCCCTCCACCCCTATTTTAGAAAAATTGTTAAGCATCCTGGAGTTCTGCCTGTGACATACGTGAGGCAAAATACTGACCAGGTTGTTTTTTGAACCCTTTTTTTTAAATGTAACTGCAGTCATAAAGACGTTTTCCAACTGGAAGTGACAAAGAGCTCCTTTAGCTTTCAGATGCTGTTGTGTCTGGAAAATGCCCCCTTCTCATTCCATCGTCAGAACCCAGTCTTATGTCATTTGTACAGGTTTTATGTCCAACGAACATACAATTGCTGGATTTTCACCCATTGAACAATCTCCATCTATAGCGTCTTAACTCTGGGAATTTGCACTTGGAGGAGTACTGCTGCAAAATGTGAATGTAGTGTAGGGAAAACCTCTTGAAGGCAATGGGCTTGATCCTGATGAACTAAAGGCCCGTTGATTTCAGGGTTAACAAACTTGGGTGCACAATCCTATGGTTCCTCGTAGTGTCCCAAGGGCCATACAATATGGCCGATCTTGTATTCTGTGGGCAGAGAGGGAAATCTGCCCTCGTATGGGGGGGAGGTTCCTCCCAGCCACCGTGGAAAGAACTGGTGCTATTGCGGGCATAGGCAAACTCGGCCCTCCCAATGTTTTGGGACTACAACTCCCATCGTCCCTAATGGCACCAGTGGTCAAGGATGATGGGAGTTGTAGTCTCAGAACATCTGGAGGGCCGGGTTTGCCTATGCCTGTGCTATTGCTTCCCCTTCCCCCAAATTGGAGCTCTGATGGTGAAGAGGACGAAAAGGCAGAGGCGAATTAGAGGAGGGGTGCCATGGGTCATTTTCCTGACATGACCTTGGGACGGTGATGAATGTTCACTGGCCCTTAACTGGCTTTTCTTCTTATTGGAATCAATGGATATGGTTTGTTCTCTTTGAGAGGATAAAACCATAGGTTTCCCTTCTGTAGAACATCCAGCAAATAGAATGACAATCTCAGTACACTTCCACAAATCGCTCCCAAAAGAATTCTCTCCCTGTTCCAGACATATTTTCCAGGCATTTCCGCCCCCCCCCCAATTAATTGCAGCCAGGAATTGGGGAGCAATTCGATCCAGTTAGCATTTAAAGGCAAATTTGCCCCATATCTTGAAGCAATACGTGAACCGGAAAAAAGCCATCTTTGGAAATTTGCACTTTTCTGAAATTTTGCAGCTCGATTCTCCAGTCAAGCGAGGTGTGCGAAAATACATTCTCTAAGAGGAAATTGATTTTTGGGGCTTGGGGTGTATGCATCTATTAGGAGAAATTAGCATGGAAATGCTGGTGAGTTTTCATGAGGGTTTTTTTAAAAAAGAATTGCAAAATGTTGTGGAAGGGCGGAGAACTGAATTTGAGGGGTTTTTAAAAAAATAAAATAAAGAAAACTTGGGAGAACCGAAATGGATAGATTTCTTCATCCCTGACAGGATGGAGAACAACAATCTGAAGATACAGCCATAAGACCCTTGTAGCATTCCTACATCCAGGGGCCTCCATCCTTACGTTCAATGGATCTCTGAGTTTGGGATTAGTAGTATGTGCCACATTGGGGAAAGCCCTCAGAACCCTTTACTCCAGAATGACCTTGTTGGTTACCATCAGATCTTCTCCAGAGTACTTTGGCTGGGATTTGTGGCTGTACACCAGAGATGAGGAACCTGTTGTCTTTCAGCATGTCAAGGATGATCCAAAATGTCCTGAAGGACCACTGGTTGTCCATCTTTGCGCTGCACCAAAGATGCCATGACAAAGTATGTTGGCATCAGCGGAGTTCAGCTGCAGCCTCTGTAAAGCAGTGGTGGTAAAAGCTCTCCGCCGTTGCCTTGTAGAAATGAGAATCGTTCCATTCATTCAGAATCGTTCATTGTTTGGAAACTGGGGGAAAGGGAGAGGCATCCGTTTGGCCCTCCGGCTCCTTCAGCCCTTTTCCCTCTCACGTACTGTCTTGACAGAAAAAAGTTATATTTCACTCTACATCATGCCAATAGGCCAGCTCAAGAATGAATTATTTTCTTTTTTTTAAAAAAAAAGAAAATCAAGTTTTTTTTAAAGAACTCCATTGCCATTAATAATATATAGCTGCCTATATTTGTCTAAAAGTGGAAACTTTACTTGTTTAAAGGAGGTTTACTTTCATGTAGCTCAATAGGGTGGTTCAGAGGTTGAAAAGCATACCTTGTTGTGTAATTGAAACCCTTTTTGTGTATAATGGGGTGCTTGAAAATCTTTTCATATAAATGTCGCACATTCTTTTCTTGCATGTTCAGCCGTTTTTGATTTTTACAACTGTTTGGAACAAGCAGCGATGTAAAAAGATTTTTTGTAAACTTTTTTGACACTGAATTATAAATAAAATGTTCAGAAATTATGAATGTTGTATTTTCCCCCTGTCTTTGTTTGACTCAAACTTGCCCTTTTGCTTCAGTCCCTTTTATCTCTCTCTGTTCTCCCCCCTGCCATGCTCACCCAGCTATGGGGACAACTTAAATGTATTGTGTCTCTCCATTCTTCCGAATTTTATTTAAGTCATTCCTCCCCAATCACAATATCCATAGGAATCTGATTGGCCACTGTGAGAACAGGATGCTGGACTAGATGGGCTTTTGACATGATCCGCCAAGGGTCTTCTCATGTTCTTACATAACATTTTACAGTTTTAGATAAGATGAAAATCTCTTAATGTTGCTCTTCTGCATTTTTTTTTAAAAAAACAAAACCCTTTTTGCTGTTAAGCTGCTTGCTTTCATGCTTATAAAGAAATGTTTGAAGAGCTAGATCTGTCCCCAAATGTGTGAAACACTAAAAACATGCATTATTATTATTATTTATTTAATTGGTTACAGTGGTACCTCGGGCTACAGACGCTTCAGGTTACAGATTCTGCTAACCCAGAAATAGTACCTCAGGTTAAGAACTTTGCTTCAGGATGAGAACAGAAATCGAGTGGCGGCAGCGGGAGGCCCCATTAGCTGTAGTGGTACCTCAGGTTAAGAACAGTTTCAGGTTAAGAACGGACCTCCAGAACGAATTAAGTTCTTAACCTGAGGTACCACTGTATTTTTAAACATCTAACAATTCTCTCTGGGATTTCCTCCCTAAAATTACTTGTTTTCAATACAAGTTTTACCAGCTCTTTTATTCACGCAAGAGGGGAGGGATTTCTGTCAATTTCCCCATCCTTCAGCAGTCCGCAACTCCTATGAATTTGTGGGGGCTACAGAGTGAAAAGCAGAGATTGGAAGCCCTAATTAGGAAGAGAAATTAGGATAGAAGCTCTGTAGCTTCAAAGGTAACCTATTGGCATTTGCCAACTGCATTTCACATTCTGCAACCCTTAAGTCAGAGTTGGGGCTGTGTTATATGCGATATTTCTGCACTTGTACAAAACGCATATGCATTGTGTCAGATGTGAAGTGCACTCTTGGGAGTTAGAGTGCGTGCGTGTGTGTGTGTGTGTGTGTGTGTGTGTGTGTGTTTTAATCATTGTCCAAACCAATGCCTAAGATGAATTGCCCCACCCTGAAAAGTGTCAACTGAATCAAGACTTTTGGTGCAGATGTGATTTAATCCAGAGTAACTATATTGGACCATAAGGAAGGCTGATAGCCAAAGAATTGATGCTTTTGAATTATGGTGCTGGAGGAGATTCTTGAGAGTCCCATGGACTGCAAGAAGATCAAACCTATCCATTCTGAAGGAAATCAGCCCTGAGTGCTCACTGGAACGACAGATCGTGAAGCTGAGGCTCCAATACTTTGGCCACCTCATGAGAAGAGATGACTCCCTGGAAAAGACCCTGATGCTGGGAAAGATGGAGGGCACAAGGAGAAGGGGACAACAGAGGACGAGATGGTTGGACAGTGTTCTCGAGGCCACTAACATGAGGTTGACCAAGCTGCGGGAGGCAGTGGAAGACAGGAGTGCCTGGCATGATCTGGTCCCTGGGGTCACGCAGAGTCAGACACGACTAAACAACAGCAACTTTATTCCACAATTCTAATCGCTCTCCTGCTGAAATATCTCATTTTGCAACCTCAGTGTCAACGAGGCATGCTTTGCTGCACTCATTTCAGAATTTCCTCAAGTCCCTTTTTTTTTTTTGCAAATTAAATGTTTCTTTCCTCAAAATAGCTGGCTTGTGGGGTACCGAAGCGCAACCTACCATTTTCCCGTCACCGCAAGCTTTATGCTTATACATCCGCTATTTTTAACACGACGACGGGACTCAGGGTTAATGGTAGTTTGGAGATGCGTCTAGACAGTTGTGATGGAGTGGGGGAGATCGAGGGAATTACAGGAAATACCCAGCATTGTAGAATGAGTGGAGATATAAACCTTCTCTTTCTGCTGAGTCCACAGCCGACTTGAGCAGCGTTTTGTTTTTGAGTTGTATTTGGAAGTTGCAGGAAATATCAAACACACACACACACCAAAGGAATGCAGTCTGCAACATGTTTACTTAAGAAAGGGCTCACTAAAGGGAAGAGTAAGTGGGTTGCTGCTGCCAAAATAATGACATTTCTGCAATGCACAGAGGGATTTCACATACGAACACACATTTCTGTTTTCTACTGCTGCTCCCACATGCTAATTCCTGTACTCTGGTCCCCGTGGGAAAGCTCCACTTCACTTAATTTTATTCAGTTTTTGATAACCGAAATGTCCAAACGCATGATATGGTATTGTCACATGGGAGTTCCAGGCACCCACTAAGCAGACTCCAGTAAAACAATAAAAAAGGGAAGATGATGGTTCATTGCTGGTATTACTTATTGTTAATAAACAAATTGAATATTCTGTTTAATTTGCATACAATTTTCTTTGTAGATTGAACGTACACCACTCATTTATTTTTCTGCATGTAATAATTCATGGGTTTTATCCACTGCCATGACAGTGCTCAAATCATGTACGTGAGGAATGGACAGCTTTATGCTTAAGAGTCCCACTGGTGTCCAAACGTTTTTCAAAGAGGGCCAGATTTGATGAAGTGAAGGGCTGTGGGGGCCGACCAAAGTTGTTGAGCTTTTAGGATTGAAGTTGTTGAGGTTTTTTTAGGATTTTCTCCCAGGAAATAAACTGCCACACGGGCCGGATCAAGCCCCCGAAACAGACTTTGGACATGCCTGGCTTAGACCTTTGTTCTTTCAATAGGAGACAAACTGCAAACAGTGACACCTAGTGACAGAACACAGTATTAGTCTTCCCATCGAGAAGCTACAGGAGCCCTTCAAAAACAGCCACTTCCCAGAATTATCTATGGCAGGGAGTCTGGTTTTTTGTGTGTGTGTTTTTTGCTTGAGGGTTGCATTCACCCTAAACCAACCCTCTGGGGGCCACATGCCAATCAGTTGCCCCTGGAACCCTTTAAGCTGGAGCAGCACTGGATAGCTCAGTTGGTTAGTGCCTAGTGCGGATAATGCCAAGGTTGCAGGTTCGATCCCTGTATGGGACAGTTACATATTCCTGTACTGGACTAGATGATCCTCGAGGTCCTTTCCAACTCTAAAATTCTATGAATCCAACACTTCTAGTCTTCAGAGGTGTACTGCAACACCGCTTAACCGGGGTGTCCGAACTTTTTAAAAAGAGGGCCAGATTTGATGAAGTGAACATGCATGAGGGCCGACCAAAGCTTTTTTTTTTTTACAAGTTTACCCCAAAGTTGTTGACCTTTTTAGGGATTTAACCCAAAAGTTGTTGAGCGTTTTTTAGGATTGGAGTTGTTGAGCTTAAGTTGCTAAGCTTTTTTTAAAATTTTACCCCAAAGTTGTTGAGCATTTTTTAGGATTTTACCCCAGGACATATACTGCCTTGGGGGCCGGATTAAATTGACCGGCAGGCCATCCAAGCCTCTGAAAATCTTAGAAACTGCGCTGCCCTTTGTCCAATGCTAAAAGCACACTCTGCTGGCTAAAGGTAGATCTGCACCCAGAGAAAATTCCAAGTTGCATTCAAAATGTTAATTGCATTCAATAATAATAAAACAATTATTACCTCTACAGACATCCAATTCATGGTGCAGCTCAATATGCAACACATTTTACGTATGTATGAAAATAAACAGCCTCTTTTCCAGCTTTGGGGTGTAAATGGTAATAAAAGAGCTCCCGGGTTCTGGTTAAGAACATTCAGATCTAAATGAGAATATCATTTGGCTATTATCAATTTGTGCTGGCTTAGGTGAGATCATTTATCCCACTAAACAAGGCAGCCGGTGGGTGCACAGTTTGGAATTACTGGCATCGTTTTTCTACCGATATCTTGACCCATTATTTTTTTGCAATTTGCTAAATTCTTTGCCACAAACATGAGTCTGACCAAACTGCGGGAGACAGTGGAAGACAGAAGTGCCTGGCGTGCTCTGATCCATGGGGTCACGAAGAGTCGGACACGACTAAACGACTAAACAACAACAAATTCTTTGCCACAGCATTTGCCTTCATAGAAAGGAGCTTCGTAGCTCAGCTTTCCACATACAGTGGTACCTCGGGTTACAGACGCTTCAGGTTACAGACTCCGCTAACCCAGAAATAGTACCTCGGGTTAAGAACTTTGCTTCAGGATGAGAACAGAAATCTCACAGCAGCAGCAGCTGGAGGCCCCATTAGCTAAAGTGGTGCTTCAGGTTAAGAACAGTTTCAGGTTAAGAACGGACCTCTGAAACGAATTAAGTTCTTAACCCTAGGTACCACTGTACTTACCTCCCAATTTTAGGCAGAATCTGCTGATCTGGGTGTTCTAAGCAGTTGTTTTATATCTCCCCCTTCTCACACGCCTCTCAAAGCATCCTTACCCATCTACCTATTGCCCACCCCTGAGCGGCTTCATTTGTGTCCTGCAGGGGGCTCCACTGCCGGTAGAAGATAGAACAATCTAGAACATGAAGGATTTCACAAGAAAAATGGCATAACGTACCAGTAGAGTATGCAGAGGTTCCCGGAGTCAAACACTGGCCTGTCTGAGAGCTCCTAGTCTGAAACCCTGGAGAGTTGTTGCCAGTCAGGGTAGACAATACTGAGTTAAATGGACCAACAATCTAGTCTTCCTATGTTATTTTGGCTCCTCTCAATATATATAAATCTATTTAATTTTATTTTTTAAAAAAAAGGTTTTATTCCATTCAGTACATTTTCTTTTATTCCCCCCCGCCTAAATGCAACCAGTACGATTAGTCCAACTTTAAACATCTGAATACAATAAATAGGAATGGCGCTCATCAAAAGGATTTCTTCGCCGTGAGTCAAAAATCAGTTCTGGCTGCCGAACCCTTGCACAAATTCAGGGAGAGACAGCACAGATCCCCATCCAACATCTGGATTCATACTGATGAAGTCATCCAGGTTCATCTTGAAGTCTTTTTTTTCAAAAAAGAGAGAGAGAGAGAAATAAATTATTATTATTATTATTATTATTATTATTATTAGTGCCCTGCCCATCTGAATGGGTTTCCCCAGCCACTCTGGGCGGCTTCCAACAAAGATTAAAAATACATCAAAATGTCACACATTAAAAACTTCCAGGGCTGCCTTCAGATGGCTTCTAAATGTCAGGTAGTTGTTTATCTCTTTGACATCTGATGGGAGGGCATTCCACAGGGCGGGCGCCACTACTGAGAAGGCCCTCTGCCTGGTTCCCTGTAGCTTTGTTTCTCTCAGGAGGGAACCGCCAGAAGGCCCTCAGCGCTGGACCTCAGCGTCCAGGCAGAACGATGGAGGTGGAGACGCTCCTTCAGGTATACTGGACTGAGGCCATTTAGGGCTTTAAAGGTCAACACCAATGATGTCAAGAGTACATTTGAGTGTCCCAGAAAGTTGTCTGGGAGATGATACATAATGAAATGGGGAAAAAAATGTTGAAAATAACTTTTGTTAAGAAACCTGAAGCCTTTTTATTAGTAATTACAGGTACCGATCTACCAAAGGAGCAGAAAAGACTTTTTTATGTCTGGAACAACAGCTACCCAGGTGTTATTAGCTCAGAGTTGAAAAGAAGATAAAGTCCCTAGCAGAGAAGAATGGCAAACTAAGATGATGGACTATGCCGAGATGGCAAAGCTGACAGGAAAACTCAGGAACCAAGAGGGTAAAAACTTAATAAAAGAATGGGAAAAACTTATAAGCTATCTAGGAGACCAGTGTAAGCAGATGGAAACAAGAGCAGGATTTTGACTCACTTGTAGTATAAAAAAATACAATGGACAATATGGTTTGATATAAAAATTGGAGTTATATATGAATATGCAGTTGCAGATTCTTAAAATGAGACCCCATTTTGGGGGGGGGGGGGTCCCGAGATTCAGAGAATCTCTTTATACAGATATATCTTTACTAGTTTGTGTTTATTTGTACTCTGTATTTGTAAAACCAATAAAAATGATTTAAAAAATAAATAAATAAATAGTATATTTGAGTGGTGGAGGTTCCTAAACAGACCCCTAAAACACCTCTAGGCAATTCGGCATCTGACAAGAGCATCTGTCCACGCTCAAGACCCTTGTCTGCACACCTGGAGAGACACTGCCATGCTGAGCTAGGTATGACCAATGGTCTAGAGGTAGACACGGACAGGTGCGCCGGCAGGCATCGGGTCTATGTTCTGGACAGGCTTAAACCAGCAAATCTGGAGGCAAAGAGGGTGGGCTGTTAAAAAGAAGGGAAGACTTAAGAGGGAAATTTCAGCAATAACTGACTCAAAAAAGGTTGTACATGTTGCAGCCATGGGAAAACTCAATCATCTCTACGTGCGGCAGGAAACCGAAGAGCTCTTGGAAGATTTTGCAGGGGTATTTCATGGAACTTTATGGCATATCTTAATAATCACCCCTATCTCAATATAAAATCCCCCTCAAAGTATGGCTCCATCTGAAAGCAGTTTTAAGTAGCACTGTCCATTTGTTTTCTGGTCCATGGGGTCACGAAGAGCTGGACACAACTAAACAACAACAACAAACGGGACTGAGAGTGTCCTAACAGTGTCTAAGACTACGGTTCTCAGGATACTTTGGTGGGAGCCAGGACTGTTTAAACTGGTGTGATACTGCTTTGGCTGTGTAATGCAGATGCGTCCATGCTGTCAAATGTATGAAATGCTTTGAGCCTGCAAAGGGAATGTTAAGACAGCAGATGTAGCGGGTGTCTAAAACAACTTCTTACCTGCGGTCTCGATGCACGGGTATAATGGAGGCGGCTTTTGCCAGTTCCCGCTGGCATCTTTCATGTGGGATCGGTCAGAAGCAAACGTCTTCAGGTACACGTCGGCTCGAACCAATCGGACTTTTCTAAACAAGCCAAACACTTATGTGACGGGGATTGCATAGTCCGCAATGGAAACATCAGGGCTGACTCTGCTCCTAGTATTTTCAGCTACAGCTGGACCAAACATGGATCGTTAGGCATCAAACTCCTCAAATGTAGTTAACCGTGAACTGTTTTAAAAGGAAATCCACTTTAAACACGCAAATTACATTTTTGAAGTATGGTTTAAATCGCAATGCAATGGGGCTTAACTTTCAGGTTAAGGGAGTGCACCCTAGGGCCGCAGAGCCCTATATGAGAATAAAGCCCCACTGATCACTGTTGGGCTTACGTCCAAGTAGAAATCATAGAATTGACCTGGAAGCAAAAGAAACCATGAGACTCTCTCTCGGTGGCACTTTAAAAGACTAACAAGTGAACTGCTGCAAATGTTTTTGTAGGCAAAAGCCTGCTTTATCATTGTATAGTTCCTGAAGGAGCATCTCCACTCACACCGTTCAGCCCGGACACTGAAGTCCACCTCCAAGGGCCTTCTGGAGGTTCCCTCCCTGTGACAAGCCAAGTTACAGGGAACCAGGCAGAGGGCCTTCTCAGTAGTGGCGCTCACCCTGTCGAACGCCCTCCCATCAGATGTCAAGGAAATAAACAACTACCTGACTTTTAGAAGACATCTGAAGGCAGACCTGTTTAGGGAAGTTTTTAATGTTTGATGTTTTATCATGCTTTTAATATCGTGTTTGAAGCTGCCCACAGTGGGTGGGGTATAAATAATATATTATTATTATTTTATTTTACTGTCAAAACAGGAGCATCTAAATCTGTTGGTGCCTTAGAATGTTTTATGGTAGGCATAGGCAAACTCCAGCCCTCCAGATGTTTGGGACTACAATTCCCATTATCCCTAGCTAACAGGACCAGTGGTCAGGGATGATGGGAACTGTAGTCCCAAACATCTGGAGGGCCGGAGTTCGCCTATGCCTGCTTTATGGTTATGGAAGGTATCCCATTCTTCCTTTGCCACCAAATTGTTTACATCCACAATCTACAAAAATGATGAACAGAAATATAAAAAGAGGAAAAACAAAAACACTTTATGACAATTCCACTTACCTGTATAGCATTTATGCAAACTGTAGTTTGCTAAGGGAGCTGACAGTTGTTAGGAGACCCCCTGTTCTCTCCACAGAGCTATAATTCCCAGAGTTCCCTGAGAAGAGGCTGTTAAAAACCTGGGAACTGTAGGATCGGGAGGAGAATAGGGGGTGCCTAATAACCATGGACACCCTTAACAGACTAGTTCCCAGGGTTTTTTGGGGGGGAAGCCATGATGATTTAGAGTGGTATGATACTGCCTGAAATACAAAGTGCAGAAGTTCAGCAGAGGCCAACTAAACCTGTAACGTGCCATGCCAGTTTTGAGTAGGCCAAAATCTTGGTTGTTACTACAGTTGCACAGGCAATGTCTGCCCTCACCTTTGAAATTCTGGATGAATAACGCTGTCTGATTTAAAAGCCTTTTCAATATAGGTGTCGATGGGGCAAGGGAAAGGCAGCAAAGTATCGAGGTCGTAAATGAAATTCTGGTCTCCGCTGGCCACATGAAGCAAAACAACATGATAGTCCTGTAAGTAGACAGTATTACAACTTCTTAACTGTAAGAATCTGTGACAAATGGCTGAGAGAAGTCTTCATCTAGGAATAAAACAATTCAAAAACATATACAATCAAATTTTTTAAAAATATTTTTTATATGAAAAAAAAAAACTTATTGCATTTTTTCCCCTCCAAGAAATCGAGTTGGTGTAGTACACACTTTGAGCCCTGTGGTCTAAACCACCGAGCCTCTTGGGTTTGCCAATTGGAAGGTCGGCGGTTCGAAGCCGCATGACGGGGTGAGCTTCTGCCAACCTAGCAGTTCGAAAGCATACCAGCACAAGTAGATAAATAGGTACCACTGTGGCAGGAAGGTAAACGGCGTTTCCGTGCGCTCTGGCCCTCGTCATGGTCAGCAGTTTTTAGTCATGCTGGCCACATGACCCAGAAAGCTGGCTGTGGACAAACACCGGCTCCCTCGGCCTGAAAAGCGAGATGAGCGCCGCAACCCCATAGTCACCTTTGACTGGACTTAACCGTCCAGGAGTCCTTTACCTTCTCCCTCTCTTCATTTTATCCTCACAACAACCCTGACAGGTAGGTTAGGATGAAAGGCAGTAGTCAGAAGGGACTCCAAGGGTCATCCATTCCAACCCCCTGCAATGCAGGAATCTCAGCTATTGAATACCACCCAGTGGTGTCAGAATATACATTTACCTAGAAATATTACCGGACGCTGTTGAACTCCAGCTCCCATCAGTCCCAGCTATGGCCAGGCATGATGGGAGTTGTAGTCTTAGCAACATCCGAAGGTCCACAAGTTTCCCACCTCTGGCTCATATCATACTACATTGGTTTGTGTGTTGGACATGGACACACAAGACATATATTTAAATTCCTGGCAAGGCTATATTTCATTGACTGGCCTAGCGCATGTCACATATTTGAATGAGGAGCAGCCATCTTTAGACTGGGCGAATTGCATTAGAATTAAGTGCTTTAAAACAGGCCTCTAGCCTAATACTGGGTAAAATCTAGACATATCTACAGCTTTTTAACTGTGGGTTATGCAGGGAGGTTGAAATGGGCTCACAGAATTCACTTTCTCTAGAGCGACACCTTTTTTTAACGCAATGGGTGCATTTAAAAAGAAAATAAAAGTAGCAGTAACAGTCGTTAGCAGAGGGACCAGGATAAAGCAGACGGAGTCCAGAGAGAGAGAAGAAACAGGTAATACTTTACCGAGGTAAATGGTACAAAAACAGCATATGAGAAGGGACATTTGTCCTTCTTAGGTCAGGCTTACACAGGGGGGAAACTCCTTCAAAACTCCATTTCCAGCAACAGTGGAAGGGGCAATTGTAACATTAAACTAAGAAAGGAAGCTCTGAATTTCCTCACCCAAATCACAGGTTGACCAACCATGCCTGCTTGCTGCTCCCAAAGGGGCACCTGTGGATTACAGAGAACAGGTGACTGCATTTCAGTACAGTAAACCAACATAAAAGAGTTCAGATTGCCATTGAGTTAGGCTTTAAAAAAATATTATCTGATGCAGCTAAGATTTTTTTTCATCGGAATACAGGATGAGACCCAAATATCCCCATGCCGAGTGCCTGAAAAGCTCTTGAAGACCCATGGAAGATTTGCTCCTAACAGGAACGTAGTTTAGCCATTTCAAGTTTAGCATTTCGCGGCGAACCTCAGACTCACGCCCTCCCCTCTCCACCTCTGGGGTGGCCGTGATGAGCCGATCGAAAGCTAATAATATCATAATTTATTTATACCCCGCCCATCCGGCTGGGTTTCCCCAGCCACTCTGGGCGGCTTCCAACAGAACACTAAAATAAAGTAACCTATTAAACATTAAAAGCTTCCCTAAACAGGGCTGCCTTCAGATGTCTTCTAAAATTTTCTGCTCCCACTTAGATTGAGCTCATTTTAGCATGTTGTCCAAAACCCTAAACTGCGGTTTGTACGTTCAAGCAAGCTGGTTTCATCATCCATGCTCTGAAACTGGCTGACCTGAACAAATCATAGTCAATATCAACTAAAACACTGACTTGGTTTGAACATAGGGCGCATAGGTGAACTGTTGCTCCCACAAGATGGGAGCGATTGATACCAACTTGGGTGGCTTTAAAAAGAGAACTGGACAAATTCATGAAGGATAAGGCTATCCATGCCTACTAATCCTGATGGATGTATTCTGTTTTCATGGCATAAATGCTCCCGAATACCAGTTGCTGGGAAACCCACAGGTCTGGAGAATGCTATTCCGTTCAGATCCTGTTTGCATCTGTCATAGGTGCTTTAGCTGAGATACGTGCATTCCAGGGGGTTGGACTAGATGATAATAATAATAATGATGATAATAATAATAATAATAAAAATTCATACCCCGCCCTCCCCGGCCAGAGCCGGGCTCAGGGTGGCTAACACCAATAAAATTTCAGTAAAAACATAATGGGGTGGGGGGAGAGAAAGAAACAATTTAAAATACGGGTTAAAATGCAATTTAAAATTCAGCCTCATTTTAAAAGTCAAAACCATAAGGGGAGGGATGTTAGGATATTTCCGTTCCACCTTAAAAAGGGAGCAGGTTGTTGTGTCACAGTCTGCGTATTTCCTGTTCACAGGATGTTTCTGTTTTTTGTATATAGCTGTTGTTGTCTCTCTCTGTGCCTCGACACGCAGGCAGGCAGTCATGTTTTTCCTTTGTTCTGACCAACGCTGAATAAAGTTGTAAATAATGCTCTCCTGGGTGCATCTTTTGTTGTGCGAACTCTGCTGAAAGGGCGTGCACGAGCCCTGGATTGTGGCAAGCTACAGTGGTGCCCCGCAAGACGAATGCCTCGCAAGACGAAAAACTCGCTAGACGAAAGGGTTTTGCGTTTTTTGAGTCGTTCCGCAAGACGAATTTCCCTATGGTCTTGCGAGTTCTTGAGAGTTTGTTTCCTTTTTCTTAAAGCCGCTAAGCCGTTAATAGCCGCTAAGCCGCTAATAGCCGTGCTTCGCAAGACGAAGAGACTCGCGGAACGGATTAATTTCGTCTTGCGAGGCACCACTGTATTTCTGAGGCTCGTGTAGCTAATTGACTGATACTGTATCTACGGGAGATCGATGGATCGTCTGGAATTGACGTGGAGGCATGATGGCCTTTGTCTCCCTGGCAGTATCCCAACAACCAAGTCCAAGTCCAAACCAAAGGCCAGGCGGAACAGCTCTGTCTTACAGGCCCTGCGGAAAGATGTCAAGTCCCGCAGGGCCCTAGTCTCTTGTGATAGAGCGTTCCACCAAGTCGGGGCCAGTACTGAAAAGGCCCTGGCCTTAGTTGAGACCAACCTAACCACCTTGTGACTTGGGACCTCCAAAATGTTGTCATTTGTGGACCTTAAGGTCCTCCGCGGGGCATACCAGGAGAGGCGGTCTCATAGGTATGTGGGTCCTAGGCCGCATAGGGCTTGTGGTCCCATCCAAGTCTACAATTCTATGATTCTATCCGGTTGGCCACTAAGAAAACAGGAGGCAGGAGTAATGGTCATGGGCCTGATCTTCATTGTCTTTCAAACCCTGTCTACTCAGAAGAAAGTCCCCTTGATTTCAGGTAGGCTTACCCCCAAGAGAAGTAGGTATAGGATTGCAACCTAAAACAACTACCAGGATCCTATTCTGCATGCAATAGCAAATAAGCCACTTAAGCTATCACATATATTCCATAGAACCCAGCTTCTGATGCTGCCGTGGCAAATGTCATTTCGCATTTCAGAATCAGTTCAAAATGCCACAACTCACCATCCTCCTGTCATTGGAAATGAAAACCGCATAAAATTCTTCTAAAGGGTATAGATTCTGGTTTCGGATGTATTCACAAAGCTTCCACACATTTTCCTCACTGTAACAGAGAAAACAGAGAAACACAACCTACTACATTTCCATTCCACGTTCTCCCCAGTAATAAAATTTCAATATTGCATGCATTCACTGACTTTATGTTGTTTTTTAAATAGGGAACCTTTCCCAGCCTGAGAGACCCACACTCGCTTCCGGACAACATTCTGAGGTCCACTTGCTAGTGGGGTGTTTGGGTTCAGAGGCAAAAGTGTATGCGACAAGAGCCGCGAGAGTTTCAATAGCACAAGGATGGAATACTGAAAAAACCCCAACTAAAGAATCATGGCAAGAAAAATTGATGGACGATACAGAACTGGCAAAACTGACATATAAGCTACGGGACAAGGATAACTGTGACTTTAAAGATGAATGGGAACCCTTTACAAAGTATTTGAAGACGCAACAAAGCGAATTGGACTCCTTGGCTGGCTTTGAATAAACATTCACAAACTTTTTATTGATAATAATCAGCTAAATAGTTTGAGGATCTATACAACTGTGTAACATGCAGAAAACAGCATTTTTAGAGGAAGACTGGAACTGAGGGAAGTCGGGGGGGGTGGGAGTGGGTGGGTTCTGTGGGGGGAGGGAGGAGGAGGGAGGAAAAATGGGGGGGGAAATAAGGATGATATATTTCTGGATAATATGTTTTGTTTTAATTTTGAATAAAAAGTTATTAAAAAAAAAACAGAGGCAAAAGTGGTCTAAGCAATGAATGTAAGATTTTCTTTTATACAGTAGGCTAGTTTCCACATATAAACCCCCACCTCTATCCTCCATTCAGGCAAGCAGGATGCACTATCAGGGTTCAAAGAAACATTCTGACCAGGCCAAAACATTTGGGATGAGAAGCATGAGCAGTGAGGGAGAGTTTCAGGGATCAGACTGAGGACAGCAATTGTCCCCTCAGGGCAATCGAGAGCCACAATTGCCCCAGGGTTCTTGGGATTTCCCACCCATTCTTTACAGGGTTTATTCCTCATTCCACTTTCATGTCCCACTCTGAAAAGCTTGATCCAATCGCTTTTAAAAGCATGTGTTTAATGTAATCAGCAGATTTTTTTCTGGAGCCCTTCTTATTTCTCCCAGAATCTATGCCCACTCCAAACACACACCTTTGATCCCAGGTATGCTGATGGACACCTGCTTCTTGGGAGAAAAGCAGTGACAAACCTAGATAGCATCTTAAAAAGCAGAGACATCACCTTGCCAACAAAGGTCCGTATGGTAAAAGCTATGGTTTTCCCAGTAGTGATGTATGGAGGTGAGAGCTGGACCATAAAGAAGGCTGATCGCCAAAGAATTGATGCTTTTGAATCATGGTGCTGGAGGAGACTCTTGAGAGTCCCATGGACTGCAAGAAGATCAAACCTCTCCATTCTGAAGGAAATCAGCCCTGAGTGCTCACTGGAAGGACAGATCCTGAAGCTGAGGCTCCAATACTTTGGCCACCTCATGAGAAGAGAAGACTCCTGGAAAAGACCCTGATGTTGGGAAAGATGGAGGGCACAAGGAGAAGGGGACGACAGAGGACGAGGTGGTTGGACAGTGTTCTCGAAGCTACCAGCATGAGTCTGACCAAACTGCGGGAGGCAGTGGAAGACAGGAGTGCCTGGCGTGCTCTGGTCCATGGGGTCACGAAGAGTCGGACACGACTAAATGACAACAATGCTGATGGAAGTTCATAACTTCCCAATGAAATGTGGGGTGTTTTCATGCAGTGATCAGGTAACCTCAAGGAGAGTGAACCTATGTCAGCAAGGAAGGTCTTGTCATCTGGAGAGGTAATTTCGGTGCTATTAATGCAGCAGTTTGACTTCACCCCCAGAGGCGTGCTCCTTTGTCTCTCAAGATAGACAGATGCCAGCATCAATCAACTACAATTTCCACAACCTCCGGCCACTAGCTGTCTCAACTTCCTGCACTGGCGTTAAGGGGAAGATTTCTGCGGAAGCAATTCTCCAGGAATCAACTTCGGAGGGGCTTCTAATATTTTGGAGAGCTCCCGATATTCTGGAAAAGGTTGCAGCAGCTGCTGCGATCCTCTCCAGAGCTGCGATGCTCTAGAATTAAGTGGTCCTTATGTCCTATTCTATTAGGAGCATTGCAGCAATCGCCTCCTCTCCCCCCGTGTTGCATGCTTTCTTACCAGTAGCAGCCGGTGTAGACGCAACCGGGCCGAGCAGGCACCGCGGGCTCATAGCCAGCCGGCGCTGCAGCTGCCGCATCTGCAAGACCCGGCTCTGCCTGATCCATTCGGACCCTCACTCAGCTAGCAAGGGGGAAGGTTGTGCGGGGCTCATTTCCCGAAGAAAGGCTTGGTGCATTTCGGCGCCGCTGCAGCTGCTTAGACCCGGGAAGCACCGCGCGGCTTGTGTTGCAAGCAAGTCCTTCCCCGGGAAACGCGGCAGCGTTGCAAAGATTGGAAATCCCAGGGAAGCGAAGCTGTGCACGGAAGGGGGAAGCCTCAAGCAAAAGCTGGTGGGAGGTTTCAGCAAAACCACCTTGGCCTTGCTAACCCCGAGCCTTGATTTGCATGCATGCTGTTGCTCGGGGGCCCGCCCCAAATAAATTCGTCACCAAAACTACCGTAATCTGTATGAAACTGCCTCTCAAAGATACAGTACTGCGCCCCAGGCTGCTGCCTAGCCAGTCTAGTGAGAACACCAGCTCCGGATGCAGGGCTGCAATCCTGCACAATTGCACAAAGCAAGTCTCGCTTCCGATGCAATGTTTCCCCCCAAAAATGTATTTATTTATTTATTTATTCATTCATTCATTCCCCGGCCAGAGGGGAATTCCCCGGCTCAGGGCGGCTAACACCAATAAAATTTCAGTAAAAACATAATGGGGGGGTAATAATTTAAAATACAGGTTAAAATGCAATTTAAAATGCAGTCTCATTTTAAAAGTCAAAACCACAAGGGGACGGAAGCATAAGGGTCAGACTGAGTCCAAAGCAAAGGTCTGTCTTGCATGCCCGGCGGAAAGATGTCAAGTCCCACAGGGCTATAGTCTTTTGTGACAGAGCATTCCTCCAAGTTGGGGCCAGTACTGAAAAGGCCCTCGCCCTAGTTGAGACCAACCTAACCACCCTGGGACTTGGGACCTCCAAAACGTTGTCATTTGTGGACCTTAAGGTCCTCTGCGGACCTGTTGAGAAGCGCAACAACGCACCATGGGAACTCAAGGCTGTGTGCGGGTCAGCGGCTGCAGAAACAACAGAAAAGCCTTATGTGGCCCTTCCCTCTACATTGCACGGCATTGGACTAGATGACCCAAGGGATTTCTTCCCCCTCTACAATGATGTGATTCTAAATGGACTGTGGTCCAATCCAGGAAACCCAATTCCGTCCTGAATTTGCCAGCTTTTAAGATTCAGCTGGGCTGTTCTCATTTCTGCCATTTTCAGATGTGTGCCCAATGTTTATTCACAATGCATGATCCTTCGTTTAAGTACGCCTGGCTAAAAGGGCGTTCAGTACGCTTGCATTTCTACCTTCTCATTAATCACTGAGTTTTATTGGTGCTTTTACTGCTAATTTTAGAGGGATGGAGTTGTACATATTCAACTGAGGATATGATTTCCTACTGCTGTTTTGTACGCTGCCTTATGAGAAAACTTGTGCTGCAATATTTTAATAAATAACAACACATACATTTGTATTGTGGAGCCCAGTTTCATGGGGGAGGGGTAAAGACCCACTTTATCAAATAGGCACGAGACTATTAATGGAGAGCAAACTTTTTATCATGAATAAAGGGAAGTGTGTGTTGTGTCCTAGTATTTTTAGGAAGCGGGGCCAAAACTGCAGGAATGAACAGCACAAATTAATCCAGTTAAATGCATAAGATCCAATCAGCGTGGATGTGGCCCATTCTGAAAGGGAGGAATATGCAGAGCATGTCAGTACCCTTAAGTGCTTTAATATATAAGAGGTCAAATTCTTAGTCGATAAAAAGGTGAGGAAAACCCCGCCCTCTTCCTTAAGGGAGCGAAAATATTGCAGGTCTTGTCTGGGGACTTGACCTGAGACCTGACTCGGGGCTGGAGAGAAGAGGCTGGTTTTTCATCCAGGAGAGGCGAGCATCTCCATTTGGCATCTGCTCCGAAAGTTACCTGGGATCTTACCGGTGAGAAAAGTCTTTTAATACGCTTTTGGGCAGGGCGTCCTTCGTGTTAAAGTCTAGGGCAACAGGGATGAAGGAAATGCAAGATTCCTGGGAAGAGCCACGTTTGGAAGAGCCTGCAGGATCAGGCCAATGGCCCATCACAATCCGATGCCCATGAGAAACCCAAAACAAGGCCTGAGCCCATGAGCCTCTCCTGCGGTTTCCAGCCACTGGTAATAAGCGTTAGGGCAACTTGTTCTCCAAGAATTTGTCTCACCTTTTAAAAGCCACCCAAGTTGGAGCCCCTCTTATAGGCCTGCATGTTTTATGACGGCGAGCATGCATTGCACATGCTTTTTTCCTATGTGCGTGCATGTTGTTGGCTTGGAAGCAAGTCTCGCTTTGCTCCAAGGAGCTTACTCGCGGGCAAGCGGAATGGGGGGAAAAGGGCGCTGGTAGTGCTGCTAGGCAGGGTTTTCTCTGCAGAAAAGCAACCGCCTCTTATTTACAGAAAAACGTTTGTTTTCTTGCACTCCCTCATTTGCCAGCAGCTTACTTCGTAGTAGTTGGCGGCGGATCGCTCCCACCCGGACAGGATCTTTTAAAAAGGAGCCTGTTGGCTGTGAAAAAATACCACCCGTCTTTGCTCTGCTCTGTCTCTCCAATGTGCGGTTCCTGCCCACCGAGGTGACCGCTTTAAGGCTTGACGTCGCAATGCACTTAATTAGGATATGCAATACTTTGGGCCGGTGTTTGCGTTGCTGCAGGACAGATACCCTTCCAGCAAAAAATGTTTAGTGGCGAGTACAGATATAACATGCAATATAAAAAAATAAAAAATCGGGCAACGCGTTGCATTTCCAACAAGGGCTGCGCGCCCTCCTAGTTATTGCACAATGTTTATTTTGTTAATATTTTTTCAAGTTTGGCCCCTCCAAACCCACACACTGCGCCGCCTCTGCAAACTGGCCTCGGGAAGGCGCGGGATTTGAAGCGGGGTGGGGGTGGGGGTGGGAGGAGCCTGCGAGGCAGAGTCGCGCGCGCCGGGCCCCGCCAGCCAATCGCGGCGCAGCAGCCGCAGCAGGACTAGCGGGCTCTCAAAACAACTTCGCGCGCGCCAAAACTCCGTAGGAGAAACACAGCGAAGAGAGCGCCGTGTCCCTCCGCCGGTTTGGGACTACTTGTCCAGCGGCGAACTCACTAACCTTAGGCTTTTTCTTAAAAAGTGTTGTGTAGTAAAAATAGGGAAGGAAGGGGAAGTAGTTCAGAGCCTATGAGATTTGGCAGGGGTCTTGTATTTTCCTTTCCTGCCGTGTGGTTGAGAAGCAAGCGCTGAGGTGCGGAGGATTTCGAATGGCGGTTGGGTGAAGCGGCTCCTCCCGGTTTGTGGCGCCAGAATTCGTCGGCGGCGAAGGAGCCTCGTCTGTGGCGGCCAAGGCCTCGTCCAGCTGTCAGGGCGACGCGACGGGAGGGCCATGGTGATGCTCCGAAGCGGCTCGGGCGGCCCTAGCCGTCCAGGCCCGGGCGGCGCTCCCGCCGGCAGCAGCAACTCAGGCGGCGGCCGACGGGGCGCAACGCCGGCGTCGCCTTACGACGCGATGGAGACGAGCTCCGAGTTTCTCTCATTGGAGCTCCCGTCGGCTTCCTCGGCAGCGGCCGGCGGAGACAAGGCCCGGAGAGCCGTCGCGGTGAGGAGAAAAGCGGCGGCGGGGGGGGGGAAAGGCTCACCTTTTACTTTTATTAAGTCCCTTAGGGAGATTCAGGCTCCTCCCCCAGGCGGCAGAGACTGTTTTATGTGTAATGAATTCATTATTATTACTATTTTTTAAAGTTGCTGGCTGCTGCTCCTTGCCACTAGAGGCTTTGGAAGCAGCTGCCCAGAAAAACCGGAGCGCGCGATAAAACCAACTCCAAAACAACGCAGCTGGGCAGCAAAAGTTTCATAACAAGCGGCGAAACGCTGCGTAAAAATCTTGAAAGTTGCAGCCAAAAACAAAACAACCATTTTGTATGTGGGGTTTTTTGGGGGGGAGACCCAGAAGCTGGGAAGTCGTTGTTTTGTAAATAGTATTTATTGCTTTTTCCACACACCAGAAGCTACGAAGTCTTAAGCGTAGGGAGAACGGCTCTGGATTAGAAACCGAAGTTGCCCATTCTAGTTCGTCATCCTTGTCCCCACTCAGCCTGATGTTGATAAGCACAGGGAACCCAAAGCGCACAGCCATTAGTTAGACGGGGTTTGGGGGGGCCAAGCTTAATAATTCCCCTTTTGCCCGCCTCAATCGCCCATATTGCATGGTAGCGAGTGCCACGAGTTTGGAACTATGTGTCCCGAAACTCGCTCTAAGATTTAGCTCCGTTGCATGACAATGCCTTCCAGCAAATTGAGCAATCCGCCTCCTCGAGCTTGTCTTGGAAGCGGTTTTTTTAACAGCAGGCTGTGGGCTTGACTTGCCCAGAGGGTATATCATTGCCCTGTTCGTTTCCTTTGTCATGCAGAGTGCCTTTCTAAACATCTCTCCAAGTTGGGCAGTGGCCCTGTCCCTCCCCCCTTTCTCTGATTCTAGCTATCTTTCATTGCCTTTACTCACCTTGGCACTCAATTGCTCCTTTAGAGTCTTTCAAACATGCAAACACACACAGTTGCTCACATTGATCAAACTACGAGTGGCTAATTGGCTGTTGGTTGGGAGTGTAGCCAAGTCAATTCCACTGTGAGCAGACGTACCTGAAATCAATGAATCTAAGTTGGTAATGCCTATTACTTTTAGTGGGTCTATTGTGAGTTAAGGTTACCAGATGTCCCCGTTTCCCGGATTTACAAATCAGTCCCCTGACAAAATCCTATCATTCCTACTGAAGTTGAAAAGTGTCCCCGGATTCATTGAAAAAAATTTGGTAACCTTATTCTGAGTAGAACATAATACAGCCCATGACCTAGCATTCAGGCAGGAGTGGTCTTGAGTACCAGTGAGTACCTACCTACCAACAACCTGCCTTGTCTGAATTGAATCTGTTTATTTGACTTCATCCTGCCTGGTGGTTTTGCATTTCCTGGGTATCTTGGCTCAGATGTAATGGAGAAATAGTTCTTGACTTTAAACCTCCAAACTATCACACACTTGTATTTTAATGTAGATATCATAAGGGACAGAATAGAACTGTGTGGGTCATGCCATGACTATAGTGGAGAACAGACCCAATTTTTCATTGGAACTTCGGGATGTATGTGTGTATCTAACTAACTATATATCTAACTACTTGTAAACATGGCTTTTTACTATTTGTGTACAGTTGAAGAGCATTTGTTGAATGCTTTCATCTCTTAATTTTCAGTTGATGTTTCATGCTCTTGTTAGTTGCCTTAATAATCCTTCCGATTTTACATACACCATGGGTGATCCAAAAGTATCCTTCCAGTTCAGTTTTTCTATCGTAAACTAGTTAGTTTAATTTAGGCAGTACATTTAAAACATCATGTGTGATCTTTGGAGTGCCAGTCACATCCTTTTCAGTTAATGTAAATGAGGAGCTGATATGCAACTACTAATCACAAAATATGGAGAGGTTTTTGTCAGTTGTTAATTTATATACCACTTACATGTCAAATTGGCTTTTAAGTGGCTTACAACTATTCAAACATCCATAATTATTTAAAATACACAATAATATTAAAGCATCCTTAATTAAAATATACAATAATACAAAAAAATTAAAAGCAAATAGTACAATGTGCATGTTCCTAATTGGTTTTTACTTCTTCAGGAGTTTTCTTCAGATAAAGAATGTGAACATTTACATTCCTTAAGATCTATGAGGAAAAATAATCAACATTATTCAGACTCTAGTTTTGACAAAAGCGTGACAATGCTGAGTGAGAATGGTATTAACAGGAAACATTTTACAAGGTAATAACTTTTTCTACTTCTTGCAGATATGTTTGTAAGATCATTTTATGTTCTACCTGTATTACTTGTAGCCTAGTTTATTAAGTCCTACACTCTTAAGTACCAGAGTTTTTTTATACACGTGCTGTGCTCCCCGCAGAGTAAATTAGTGCTTACAAATCTGACTGCATGTAGAGCACCTCACATTGCCAGAACTTAAGTGGGCCCAGTTATGCTGATTGCTATTTGTATTCCATGCCTTGGAAATTGTCTTCTTGAGTGAATTTGTCCTTTGGTCATTGTTAGAGAAAATTGTGGTGTAGAAACTACAGCTTTTCTGAGGTGGATTTCAACTAAAGTTCTTGGTTGAATTGCTTGAGGATGGTGGCACAGGCTTCTATACTTTAAGATTTAAATATCGTATTTTTCACCCTATAGGACGCACTTTTTCCCCTCCAAAAATGAAGGGGAAATGTGTGTGCGTCCTATGGGGCGAGTGCAGGGTTTTGCTGAAGCCTGGCGAGCGAGAGGGGTCGGTCCGCACCGACCCCTCTCACTCTCCAGGCTTCAGAAAGCTATCCGCAAGCCGTGGGAGAGCTGCGTGAAGTCGCGCAGCTCTCCCACGGCTAGCGGAGAGCTTGCCGGCACCCAGAAACTTGGTGCGCGCTGAGCTCAGCACGCCCCAGGCTTCCAGCTTCACGTAGCTCTCCGCTAGCCGTGGGAGAGCTGCATGAAGTCTCACAGCTCTCCCACGGCTTGCGGATAGCAGCCTGTTCGGGGGTTGGGGGAAGCTCGGGCTTCCCCAGCCCCGCACCTGGGGGGAAAATATTTTTTTTCTCTTTATTTCCCCCCCCCCCCCAAAAAAAACTAGGTGCGTCCTATGGGGCGAAAAATAAGGTATTCACAACTTGGACTTCTTGAATGATCATACGTTTCTACTATCATCATGTGAAAAGATTATCTCTTTTAGGGTTTCCTGTTAACTAAGTATTGTGTATATGACATACATATCTGGACAGGCAGTCACTCCATTGACATATGGTGGGCCTTGGCTTATGATGCACCAGTGAATTGTGCCCCATTTTGCTCCTCCCAGCTAGCACTGAAAAGTAACCACAATCCATGGTGAAGTTAGGATTGTTGTTTGTTTCAATGCAACAAACCACATTCAGTAAGCCCAAGAACAAATTTTTGCTACAGAATGTGTTCAAACATAATTCTAAGCCAGAGATGGTGGTTTGTTTCGTAAAGCCAGGAGAAGCGATTGACTTGATTCATTCATGCGGTAAGCAATGGTTTATGACTATCACATGAGAATTTGACCAATGCCAAGCAAATTGACTGTAAGCAATATGAACTAGAACATGTATTTATTTAAAATATTTCACTTTTCAGTGGCCAATCAATATTTTCCAAGTAGTTTACTAAATAGTAAAAAGTGCAAATGTGAAAGAAATAAAACATAAGAGCACAGGATAAAAACTTGCCGTATCTTAGAAGAAATAAAAAATTAGGTTTAAAAGCCTGAAGGAAGGGGAGGTTGTTGTCTGGTACTAAACTTACAGCAAAGTAGGAGCTAGGCAAGCTTCAGGTTATCTCCTGTTTGCCACTCACCTTGCTTCCAGTGGTGAGGGTATCTGGAGAAAGGTATCAGGTCTAATTCTTGACACACAGGCAGATGGATCCAGGAATAGACTTCTTAGTAGATACTGGTTTGTTAGTTGGGTAGAGCTTTTAAATAAGTACCTTGCACTTTGAAGTTTTATGTAATAGGGAGCAAATTCAAACTGTGATTATTATCCTACCTCCTGGTTTCTTTTAGCAGTCTTTAACAGCTGTGTCCTCCACTAACTGGAACTTTCAGATGTCTTCAAAGGCCCCATAAAAGAGCATGTTGCAGTAAATCATATCTGGAATTTACTGGAGAATTAATAACTGAGGCCAAGATGTATCTACTCTGGAGAGTCTGTAACTGGTGCTGTCCAAAATACTGTACTTTACATGCCACTGGAGCATTGGATGGCAATAATGGATTTATAATCATCCTCAAACTGCACACCTGATTCTAGTGGAATAGGGCAACCCACTCTAGAACTGAATGAACACAGTCTCTCTGAACATATGAACCAGCCACCAATAGTTCCTACACCTTGGCAGAATAGAACTTCATTGAAAAGAAATTGCAGTGTAGCTATTATATCAGTGAAAACTATTAAAATGTTTTACATTTAAAATGCATTATTTATGTACTAAATACCCCAGAATTATACTGCAGCTTGTGGAGGGCAATCCACAGTTAACACAGAAATGTAGTAAGACTGGAAAAATACAAATAATTTTGGTACTAGCGTGCAAAGCGCTAAACATCTTAGGACCAGGGTATCTTAAAGAGCACCTCACTCCCTATAGGCTGCCTAGGTCATAGAGCTTCAGGGCTGACCTTTTGGTGGTGGATCCCGCTCTAGATATCAGATTTATTTTTACTCAGAAGATAGCATTTAGCATAGTAGCCCATGCATTATGCTACCCTTCTAGCAGAGGCAAGACTCATTGGTGGAGGTGAGAAGATTCTGACACTGGGTTTTGGCATACCATAAAAACATTTTTATTTGAAGCATTTCTGGGGTGTTAATTTTATCTGATTAATTTTAATATTCTGTGTTTTTAATGTTCGCTTTTCTACTAATGTAGAGATCTATGGTTATAAGCAATTTTAAAAACTCACTTTTTTTTTTAAAAAAAGAAAGGCTTAGTGTCCAAGCAACATTACATTTTAAAATGATTTTGGCACTACCTTTTGTTAACTTGAGCTTTTAGAATTGATCTTTTTATAACTGAAAATTGAACAAATAAAAAGGATTTCATAAACTAAGCAAATTCAAATTCTCAAGAGCACCAGTCCTTATGAAGCTAAAACATTCCCTCAAGCTTTGCATAAGTACAAATTTTCCTTTTGGTTGGTGGGAGAGAACAAAAATATCCTACTGTGAACTGAGCTGGTGGATGGGTGAAAATGGGAGTATTCTGGAAAAAGAACATATTTGGAACCCTAAAGAGTTGCAGGTCCCAGAGTTCAACTCAGTTCCAGTGCTGAGCCAAATGAAAATTGGTGAAGTCTTAACTTTGAATCTATTTGTTTCTGTGCAGGCAGCTGGCTAGACAACAAGCAGATAAAAAGAATGAAGATTGTGAATATGGTAAATCTAGTAAAATACAAATCTTGTGAATTATAGAAATGTAGAGTTGTAAAATGATCCAGTGCACCACTGATACCATTCAACCTCCTAGCCTGGGGAAGGTTGACATTTGTGTACCTTTGCAGTGGAAGGACATTCCATAGCTTTCATCGGCACTGTGTTCAGCTGTAGCAAGAACGATCTGACCTAAAACTATGCCACTTATCAATACCTATTGCTCCTTTTGTATTTTTAGAGATAGGGTAAATGAATGTGTCCCGCCAGGCACCATTTCAGAGGACCCCTCTACCATTGGTAGAGGGTGGCTTGCAGAGGTGACAGGGCAGCTGTAACAAGGTGAATGGGCCAGGATAACACTTTTGAACAAGGAGAGTTTCAGATATTTTAGAGTTGATGCTAAATTATAATGTTTTCTTTTGGTAATGAGAGCCAATTGCTCCTGGATTTGATTTTACTTTGCTCCCAGAAATACTGCATCCAAACATTAGTTTTGAAAAACCTCACAGAAATGCATGATTGACATCATAAGAAGTACCTAGGACTACTGCATAAATAGTAAACTTATTTGTGAAACAATTCTCAACGCCAAAGAATAATGCGTAAAAATCTGTTCTCTATGTAAGCCAACAGACTAATGAAAAGAATGTTTGTTTGTTTGTTTGTTTGTTTGTTTGAAAACATAGGAACTGTAGTTCGTGTCACTAGGTCTTTGAAAACAGGAATAAATTCGAAGTCTGGTGAACATGTTGCAGAAGAAAATGGGGATGTTGAAGTCCGCCGCAGTTGCAGAATTAGGCGAAGCCGCTTTAGTACTATGAACCAGTCCGTTTTGTTTGACAAGCTTATTACAAAGTAAGGACTTTTTATAGTGTCAAAATGCCTTGAGAAAGCATTTTCTTGAACAACTGTGGTGGAAATGAAAATTTTGTGAAACATGGTATTTCCCCACTTTTAATTTCTGATTGCAGCTTCTTGTATTATACTGGATAGCTCTATAACTACAGGAGTAACTTCAGGGATTAAAATGTTCTGTGGTGGAAAGATGGGACTTAATAGTTATGTTGAGTGTACATGTGGCTCTGCATAGTAGCCTGTTTATGTTGTTTACTGGAGTGTTTATATTGTTACTATAGTCATAAAACTTGTTGCTAAAATTCAGTTTAAAAGATCCTGCCCTCTGTCAACCAACCAGGTTTATATTGTAAGTTCAATATTACTATTGTTATCATTAAGCTTACAATATAAACATGGCAGACGAAACTGGGTGGGAATTTTTATTGAATTTTACTATTTTGATGTTGTCATGTTCCATTATTACCATATATTTTTATTGATGTGAAATGTCCTGATGCCAAATATAATGAAAAATAGTATAGAAGCACTCAAAATATGAGTAAATCTTTTAGTTCAACCTTAATGCTAAATAAAAATAAACATTCATTAACACCTGTGGATTCATGCTCTGATTTCCCACTCAACCAGCAACTGCTTCAATGGTTTCTTAGTTTTGTTGTAAGATAGGGTGTTATCTTTGTGATTTGTGCTTGAATAATAGAAAGTTCTGCTATTTCACTTTCAGGTGGGACTGTAGTGAAATTCTTTTATCTTGCTGCCATTCATTTCAAACCTTGCATATATATATAGCTTGCTTTGTTTAACTGATTTGTGTTTTAAAATATTTTTCATGTTGTGTTTGATTACATCTTGCACTTTGTCAAGCACTGCAGAAGCTGTACTACAAAAAATGGATGATATGAAGAAGATGCGTCGGCGACGAATGCTGGATTTGGAGGATCTTGGAGTGTTTAATGATGGAGAAGAGGTACATGTATATACAGATTGTGTAAAAGAATAATTTCTTGCTATTATTCTTTCTTTGTTAAATATGTATTTTGCAATTTTAACTTCAGCTTTGCTTACACCCTGAGCAAGAGGGATGGAGATAGAAAGCTTAAACATTTATTCCATAGTGTTTTGCTACTTTTATTGAGCTGGCCTTAAAGCTGATAGATTCATTTACATGTATGATATGTGTCATGGGATGACTTGAATTACATGTTTTCACTTGTTATTATTAGGAAAACCTTAATGTGTACTCAAGAGGAAAACCAAAAAGAGCAATCCAAAGGATTGATGAAGAAACCACTGATAACCAAGATGGAAGTGCAGGTTATTGTGCTACTTTTAACTTTTTAGAGCTATATTCTGTTTTATTGTTTTAATACAATGCAGTACAATTTCAGCATACTTTTAGGTTTTGAGTGGGTGAATTAGTATACTTCAATAGGATAAAATTATGCTTCATTTTGGAACCTTCCCCCCCCCCAAATGTTTTTATTGTTTTTCAGTAAAACAAAATACAAATTAGACCAATGTAACTTGTATACACAATGGGGAACCTTTTTGTTTATAGAAACATCCTTCACCTTAGACATTTAGAAAATGACATGTGGAGATGGTAGTTAATTACTCCAAAAATCCATTTAGTTTGTAGTCCTAAACTCACAAAATTTATTGGGATTTCTGAGGAGATGCTATTACAGCAGGCATCCTCACCCTTCGGCCCTCCAGATGTTTTGGACTACAATTCCCATCATCCCTGACCACTGGTCCTGTTAGCAAGGGATCATGGGAATTGTAGGCCAAAACCTCTGGAGAGCCGAAGGTTGGGGATGCCTGTATTACAGTCTCTTAAAATAACAAATTGTAATAGCTTTTACTGTAGTGAAGCTGTTATTCCTAATCCAAGTCTGGCAGTGTCTAACTGCACTTACAGCCCCAGAATCTGTTGTAAGTCAAGTAAGTTTCTTTCTTTAAGCTAAAGAGAATTCTGTTATTTAGAATCTTCAGAAGAAGGTGAAGACCATGAAGATGGAGAAGATAATCAAAAGCGTTACGACCTTAGACAGCGGAAAACAGTTGTGCATTATCAGGCCTCACCAGAAAGTAGGTGTCCACTATACCATCTTTCCCTGGAGTTTATTTACCCTTGCATATTATATTTGGAAAGCTTCGTTATTTTGGTATATAAACCTCTGTTTTGTTTTTGCTTTGTTTTTGCTGTCTTTACGTTTTGCCACACAATTATACATGTTTTCACTAGGTGACTACCAGAAAATCTTCCAGTTTGAATGATTGAGAAAGTCTTGTCCCAAAAATGAAAACACAAACTTAGTTCATGTTAGAACTAAACTTAACATATAAGTCCATGATATTCCCAAATTCTGACATTTTATATTCTCATCAATTAATATGTAAGGGAAAACATGTAACTGTTCTTACTTTGGTGTTTGTTAATAGAACCAAGGCACCAGAGGAAGCCCAAATTGTTTTATCCAGATGCTGCTTCTCCAGTGAGACGAAGATTTTCCTTCAGCCCTGCGGGATCAAGGAGTCCTTATTGTAAGAAGATTAACAGGTTTGTTGATTTGTTGTGTATTAGTGCTCCAGCATTATCAGTGCATGAATGTTTTCTCCTCCTGACTTGCTCAACAACTTGGCTATATGGTTTCAAATCAGCTGCACTTTCCTTCAGTTGTACTTGCTGTTATGACTTCTTCATCTATAGCAAATTGTGTAGAGCAAGGGTGGCCAACTCCCAAGAGAGTGCGATCTACTCACAGAGTTAAAAACTGGCAGTGATCTACCCCCTTTTGGGGGGTTCAGGTCAAACTTGTTGAGCTTCTTTGGGGGGGGGGGAGCCTGTGATCTACTACCAAACACATCTGCATGCAGCTTACCCACTTTGCTGATACATGGAATAATTTGGATGCCTTAACTGGCCGTGTAAATTAATTGTGCAATTTTTCACAGTGACTACTTAACAGGTTTTGTCTTCCAATTAAAACAGACGAAAACATGCAATTCACAATAGTGATTCTACATCTTCATCTTCTTCTGATGACGAGCAACGCTTTGAAAGGCGTAGGAAACGAAGTCGGAGCAAAGCATTAAGCAGGTATCCTGCAACTTTTGGACTCAGAATAACAATGTACATATTATATGTTATTATCTAGCTCAGTGGTTCCCAAACATTTTCTCAGTAGACCACCTAAAAATTGCTGAGGGTCTTGGCAGACTACTTTTTCTGCCTATTGTGGCAGTTGTAATGTGTTGTGCTAGATCAGGGTTTCCCAAACTTTGACCTTCAGCTGTTTTTTTGTACTACAACTCCCATTGTTCCTAGCTAGCAGGACCAATGGTCAGGGATGATAGGAATTGTAATAATAATAATTTTTTTTATTTATTCCCCAGCCAAGGCCGGGCTGAGGGCGGCTAACAAGCAATAATAAAAACAAGTTGAATGAATACAACTTAAAAACAAGATTAAAATACATTAAAATATTGAAACATTAAAATATTAAAATGCAGCCTCATCACAGGAGGAAAAAGGAAAAAGAAAGAGGGGGCGGGGAGGGAATCAAATTGGCTCCAAGCCAAAGGCCAGGCGGAACAACTCTGTCTTACAGGCCCTGCGGAAAGAAATCAGATCCTGCAGGGCCCTGGTCTCATGAGGCAGAGCGTTCCACCAGGCCGGAGCCAGTGTTGAAAAGGCCCTGGCTCTGGTTGAAGCTAATCTAACTTCCTTTGGGCCCGGGACCACTAGGGTGTTGCTATTTATGGACCTTGATGCTCTCTGTGGGGCATACCGGAGGTGTAAATTTGGGAACCCGTGTACTAGATGCTGCATGATTTTTAATGTTACTTTTACAGGCACACCACAAACCACCTGAATTTAACTTAAAATCACAGTTTGGGAGTCCCTGATCTGGATACTAGATGATTAAAACATTGTTAATGAGAAACCCAGAGAATTCTGGTTCCTCAGATTAAATAATTTGTTCAGAGGAGACACAGGACTGGATTTGACTTAATAATTGCACTAGCATGAGGCAGGACAATGAGTCATGCTAGTTCAACTGGGCTTCCCCCCCCCCTCCCCTGCACCCTTTGAAATCAGTGTTTGGGGGGGCAGAATAAAGTGTGGGGGAAGGAGAAGAGAGATTGTTCCGTCTGGCAAGCAGAAATGCTTTCACGGACAGAATGATTGTACAGCATTGAATTTCACCCACAATATTCATAACAACTGTTTTATGTTTAGCTAATGTAGATTCTACACTATTTTACAGATAGTATGGAGTAGATTTCTAATTTGAAATTACATCTCGTGGTACTTTTGCTAATTTAAAGGCAACCCCATTTCCATGTTTCAATATGAACTTGTTCCTTCTCTATTACTTAAAACAACTCTTCATTCTCAAATTAGGTGCCTTCCACTAAACTTTAGGAAAGATGAGTTGAAGGGAATCCACAAGGATCGAATGAAAATTGGAGCAAGCCTGGCTGATGTTGATCCAATGCAAATAGATTCTTCAGTGAGTGTTTAATTTCCTAGTACATTTTGTTATTGACCACTCTCTTAAAATAAGCACATCTTTTCAAGTTTTGCTGATTAACCTGAATGAGAGCTGTGTAGCTGTTTTGTTCATTTAAGTACCCATTAATTTTTTTAAAAGACTTAAGTAAGAAGGTTTAATTATTCACTTCTGTGTTTTGTTGACCTTCATTTGTTAATTCTGCTTCTCCTTCTTAGATCCAGTTTGATAGTGTGGGTGGACTATCTAGCCATATTTCAGCTTTAAAGGAGATGGTGGTTTTCCCACTACTTTATCCAGAAGTGTTTGAGAGATTCAAAATTCAGCCTCCAAGGTAGGAAGCAAACATTTTGTTTGCAGGATGACAGTGAACTTACCCCAATCGTAAACGTTCATCTTCTCTTCATGATTGCTAGGGGGTTTTTTAGCCTGCCCTCCACACAAGATTACTTTTTGCATAGTTAATGCCTTTTGCATAGATGTAGCATGTTCATACATTTTTTTCAACACAATGCCAGCAGAATGCAAGTTGCTTTTTTAAATGGGGAGAGAGGAATATTGAAATGAATTGTTGGTGGGACCCAGAAGAGGGGGAGGGGATGAAATCTCTCTTAGGCAGACAGAAACTCATAAGCATATTTAATGAGGTTAGCTTAAATTATATTATGATTAGGTAAAGTATGATATACTTTTGAAAATTATGAAACATTCTACTAACCAAAATACTGCAATTTCATACTTTTAATAGGGGCTGCCTCTTCTATGGTCCGCCGGGTACTGGAAAAACACTTGTTGCCAGGGCACTTGCTAATGAGTGTAGTAAAGGTGATAGAAGAGTAGCATTTTTCATGAGAAAAGGTGCTGACTGCCTCAGTAAATGGGTGGGAGAATCTGAACGACAGCTTCGTTTATTATTTGATCAGGTAATTATACTTTTATCTTACTCTATAGTGTATTCTGTATAGCGCCTTCAGAATTTCTACATTTGAGGTTTTGTTTTAGGCCTTTCAGATGCGTCCTTCAATTATATTCTTCGATGAAATAGATGGTCTTGCTCCTGTACGATCCAGTAGGCAAGATCAAATTCACAGGTACAACTTTGTTTTCTATGTTTGTCTTCAAATCTCCTGAACCTTTTCCCTGAATACATTACTTCTTGTACAGATACTCTTATGACAAGTCACTGTTTCCATTGTAGATTTGTAAGCTTTAAATTTGTGATGTGCTTAAAGCACCTTTGTATTTAACCAATTGCCTAAAGTTAGTAACAGTTCTTCCTGGCAAATGATACATAAACCTCCAGGTATGCAGGCAAACTTTTGTGTGTGTACTGCAACATTGGTTTAGTACACACACACACACACACACACACACTGTGAGTTGTGTTAGAGCACAAATTTGAGGTTCAGCAACACTCTCCTGTTTCTCATACCAGTTCTCAGAACTGGTTTATGTGTTACTTATGTGGCGTCATGACAGGAATATAAGATCTGCTAATGTGGAACATTTTGACAGTGTTGCCAGGTCTTGAGGAAGTGGCATGATTTTGTTGTGTTTGAAATATTTGTCCCATGTAACTAATTGACTCTCACATAAGATATTTTATCTTTGATGAGTCAAAACTTCATTTGAAATTTCAGTGAGTGTTTATAGGTTGGGAACAGCTTTCTATTACAAAGTAAAGTTATGTTTCCTTTTAAGTGGATCTCTTCAGTGGGTAGAAAATGATACAGGCTTGGACCTGAAGTTACTGCTGCACAAGCCGAAATGCCTTCCACTTGCAGATAAAATATGAGGGTTGCTTATTTCTCACAAACACTCAGTCCTCATCTGTATGCTGCCCCATAGACATGAAAAAGTTGAGTGTCCCCTGACCCAAGAGTCAGTTTTCTAGAGCAACAGGGATTGCAGGTGGTGCTAAGGACCATGGTTTCTTCCTTCTGGTTGTGCCAGCAGAATCTTGCCCAAGCCACAGTGGATAAAATAAAATATTTTTGTTTTGTTTTTGAAAGTTCAATCGTGTCTACATTGCTTGCACTGATGGATGGCTTAGACAACAGAGGTGAGATTGTGGTGATTGGAGCTACCAATAGATTGGATTCTATAGATCCTGCTTTGCGAAGGCCCGGACGTTTCGACAGAGAGTTCCTTTTCACCTTGCCAGATAAAGATGTAAGACTCAATTTTGTTCATGCATATTTGGCTTTAACCTACCCAGAGTCTATGGCAGGGGGTGGAAGTTGATTTCTACTGAAAATTGTTCTGGTAGGGTAATGTGAAAGGAGTGGAGAACACTAACATGTGAAAAGTGTGGGCATAGACAGCTGATGCCACTACACAAATCCCAAATGCATCCAGATGATATAGGTTCTGCTGTAGCAACTGGGAATTTGGTTTTCTATAACAAAAATGAATGAATGAATCTTATGATAGTAAAAATGAATCCAACAACATCTGGAGGGCCACAGGTTCGCTATCTCTGCTCCATCCACTATTTACACCATGCATGGTTTTATAAACCTCTGTCAGGTACTTCCCCTTAATAACTTTCTCAAACCTGAAAAGCTTGAACACTAACCTTTTTTTCCTGAAATTATATATGGGAGCATGCAGTAAATAGTGGGATAACATCCCACTGCTTAGGGCAGGCAGGTTGGGGTCAGAAGATGCAAAATTATTGCATCAGCCAGCTCTTCAGTCTGCCTCTAGTTCCCTCCTTGCTTTGTCTTGCGACTGAGCATTTCTGAATCCTCCTTACTCCCTCATAGTTGTTCATTTTTTCCTTGCCATCTCCAAATTCCTTGCTACTTTTAATGTTGTTTTGCTTGTTTTCTGTGTTTTCCTTTTTAAACCAAATTTAAAAACTCCCCACCCCAGAACATTTGTAAATAGTGTAATATTGAAAATGTTGGTTACTGTAACTAGAAAGGAAGATACAGTATTTGAAAGGGAAATATATGGGTATTCTTTTGAAACTAGATGTATTTGAAATACATGTTTGTGTTTTTAGGCAAGGAGAGAGATCCTTAAGATTCACACCCGAGAATGGTCACCTAAGCCATCGGAGATGTTCCTTGAAGAGTTAGCTGAAAAAAGTGTTGGTAAGATGATGATGATAAAACTTTTGACAGTTTGAAAATAGACTTCTGCCATCTCTGTAGAACCCTCTTAACAATATTTTTTATTTACCTGCTTATTAGCCAAAACACTGGTTTGAGCATTTTTTAAAAATACCTTGAAATTTGCAATTTATGCCATCGTTCCTCTATTTCTGATGAAGTATAACAGCGTTTTACTCCCAGTGGAGAACATAGGTCTCAATATTGAGTACAGTCAGTCTTTAGGACACCCCCCCCCCGAACAACAACAACCTGGAAACAGTCCAGTGAGGACTGAGCGTGCTCGGTGGCCATGGAATACGTTGTGTACAGAATGTTGTTGAATACTATTTAATCAAAGAATACAACTGCTACATATAACAACGTCTGCCATGCAAAGTAACACATCCATTCTTTGGGGATTGCTTTTATATTGTAGCACACCTAGTAGGCTAATGTTACAAATGCATGGTAGGCATCAGTTTTACATCAGCACTATATGAAACTTCTATAAAATATAGCTAATAATAATAATAAAAAGAAAAATAATTTTTTATTTATACCCTGCCCTCCCCGGCCAGGGCTGTGCTCAGGGCAGCTAACACTGAATATAAATTACAATAAAACGTAATAGGAAAAAAGAAAAAAAATTAATTAAAATACGGCTTAAAATAGCCAACTTATGATCTGTGTTTCTTATATTGCATGGAATTGGCCTAAATAACCTAGTTTTGAGAAAGGAATAATTATTTAAATTTTTGTATAAATCATGATTAGATCTTTGTGTGGCTTATAAGACTATTTGCAGGCCCTATAATTTCATACAGATGTGCTTTTCCTTTTGTAGGGTATTGTGGAGCTGACATTAAGTCCATATGTGCTGAAGCAGCTTTGTGTGCCTTGCGCCGACGTTATCCTCAGATTTACACCAGCAGTGTCAAGTTGCAGTTGGATATCTCTTCTATTAACATAACAGCTAAGGATTTTGTGGTGGCTATGCAAAAGACCATACCTGCTTCTCAGAGGGCAGTAACCTCACCCGGCCAAGCACTCTCCAACATTTCCAAACCACTCCTTGAAAATACACTTCAGAGAATCCTGGAAGTCTTACAGAATGTCTTTCCACATGCAGAACTGGCACAGAAAGGGAAGTCAGGTATGTGCACATTTATTTACATTAATCGGGGGGGGGGGATGAGTGAATATCGTATCTAATTAATCTGATGTGGTATACAGTACAGAACTGAAACTTGAAATTGTCCTCTCCTTTAAGAATTACTCTTTTGCAAGCCAAAAACAGAAAACTACTAAAACTTGTGAGGAACTGAAGCTTCAGATTGATTATTTAGCAAATAAATTCACCCATACATAAATTTGTTTTCTGTGCTAAATACATTTTCTCTAATATGCTACCATTCGAGAAAATGATCTCTTAGAAAGGGAACTGCAGTCTAGAAAGAATAGTAAGTTCTCAAACCATGACTCCTGCTTATGTAACCTATCCTAATAATATATAAGCGCCAACTGATAACAAGTGAAGATTCATGATAACTGGCTCAAATGCGGAGACTGGAAGAAATATGCCCAGGTTAGAAGCCCAAAACTCCTACCCTGCAAGAAATTTTCTGATTCTGGGCCAGAAGAGCAAGAACAGCAGTTGTATACCTCAGAACACACAGAGGTGGCTTTGGAAGGTACAGAACAATTTCTGCCACTCCCCAGAAGACAGAAAATATATTATCTCTGTTCAGATAGGGGCACAGCTGGGCCAACAACCAAAGCTGGTGGAAGGCACTCTGTGCCAGCAGGGCCATTGAACCTCAAGCAACAGTAAAGGATCCAGGAGTACCACCTGCGCCTTCAGAGGCAGTGTAACCGCATCAAGAGCAGTCTCCCATCCATCCAGTCTAGGGAACCACCCTCAGTCTTACCTGGATTGAGCTTCATTTTGTCATGAATCATAGCATACTTTATTTAAAATGTTTCTTCATCAATAATAGGTTCAATAGTATGAAAATACTTGTTCATACAATATACAACTACAAAATAAGTCTAAACAATTCAGTGCAACAAAATGCAACAAAATAAAAATAGATAAAAACCCATAAACTTAAAAAGCACAGTAAACCAAAATTCCAACTAAAATATAATCCAAAATTCCTGGGCAAATGGGAAGTTGCTGAAATAGTTGTTGTATTGGTGTTGTACTTCCTCGTTGGGGAGGGCATTCCAGAATCTGGGCACTGCCAGCATTTCATAGAATCAGAGTTGTAATGCAGGTTTTTTTTGCACAACATGGGGCTCGAACCCTTGACCCTAAGATTAAGAGTCTAATTGTTTACTGACTGAGCTATCAGGGAGTATTTGCTCTTCATTCACAGAGTTATTCCGTTTGTTTAATATCACTTGGCTTCTTGACATTATTAGTAAAGTTTCCTTAAGCATTTTAGGTTACTGCATTTATGCAGAGTTGAATCACTTGGATTCAGTGCACATAAAATGTTATCAAGGACAGGAATGTTTAAATTAGTACCAGGCCTTAGAAATCAGACACAATATTCCAAAGGAAATAATGTAGAGTTTTGTTTTATTTTTAAGATTTTGCTGGTCAGGTATTTGACAGTGACTTGCTGTACAGTGATGAAGAGGAACTACCAGTTTCTGAAACTGGACCTTCTCAGAAAATATATGATAAACGAAAAGAAATGTTCCTGATTTTTAGCAGGTAAGTGATAAAAGGTTGCTGTTGTTGGTTGGTCTTTAAAAGAAGCTTCATTATTTTCACACTTGAGGTGGTTGATGTCTTATGCTTGCTCCCTCATTCTCCCTGATGAGCAGTACTGAGGCTTGAAAGGTGGGCCGTCATTCAGTATTGACCTCCCTTCAGTGCTTACCTTAAAGTGGGGTGGCAGGTTGGGCTCTTTCTCCTTGTCTCTCCTTCTGCCTGCCGGGGGGGGGGGGAGGTTGGCAGGTGCCAAGGGGAATGTTGAATGCCCTCCTGAAAGTTCTGGAGAAAATGGAAGTTCCTTACTATGAATTTCTGTTACACAAGTCATTCCATGTGCCATTTCTGGGATCAGCTCTGGTGATTCTGTTTTGCCATAGCTTTGTAGCTTCTGCTAATGGCATACGTGGGGGGGAGACAGCTCCCTAAATCCCTGCCTATTTCCTCCCATGCTGTATATCACTTGATTTATTTTACTTGTGCTAATTTATATTAAGCTGTGGCTTAGTGTGTTTTTGTATTGTAGTTGGGGGGTGTTGGTTCAGGGGTTTTGGAGCAGCCCCCCCCCCCCAAATCTAGGGAAATACAAATTTGTTGGCTCTGGCTGTGGGTTCCAATAGGCTGTGTCCTCATGAGGAAGTGAGGTGCCTTCCAGGAAACCCAAAGGAAGAAAATCTCATGATAGGAAAATTCAATTTTCTCACTTCTTATAGAAATGCTTATCACCAGCCAACCTCTTGCCGACCAAGACTTTTAATAGCAGGAGAACCAGGATTTGGACAAGCCTCTCATTTGGCTCCAGCAGTGATACATGCTTTGGAAAAGTTCACTGTGTATACACTAGACCTTTCCATTCTCTTTGGAATCAGTGCCAAAACACCTGAAGAAACATGTGCGCAGGTATTTCAGCTTTGTAGTAGTGCTACTTAAGTGAGGCTAACAGAACAGAATTTTTCAGCAAATGCTGAAAACATTTCCACTTTCTGGTGGAAGACAATTCTAGAAAACTGGAATGTCAGATCATCTTCCATGTGTGGGTGGGTTTGCCCCAGAGGAATTTTTTTTTTTTAAAGTTTGGCTAAGGAAGGTTTGAGAATTATAATTATGGTTGACAATATGAATGCTGCTTTTCTTCAGTCATGCTTCATTGGGGTTTTTTTTAGCTCATTCATATCATGCTTCTATCATGATGGAATTCAAGGCAGTATTTCCATCCCAGCAGACCCAGAAAAACTTAACAGTACTTCAGGGTTGCTACATATTTCTTCAGACAATGCCTCATATCTTTTAGTGTTGTACTGTTTGCATCTGAATTGTTTATAATTAATCTGCTTAACAGATGACTAGTATATTTGATTTCAAGTGCCTTCCAGAAAATAGTGATGAATTAAAATAAAGATTAATGAGAGAGTCAAGAAAAGGGGTATGGACAAGTGACTATTCCTCACTTTCAGAAAATACCCCTGAGAAAATGTGTATTGCTAAAGCAAATTTGTTAACATTTGGCATTATGCTGATTGTTCCTTCCTGTTTTTATAGATTTTTGTTTTAGCTTGTACTTTTATGTTTTTTTCTGTTCTATCAGCCATTTTTGAGACTTAGTGCAGATAGGCAGGAAGTAACTACCCAAACTAAAAGTACCTTTTTGATTTTGAGAATCTGAGAAAATCTGGTGGGGGCTGGTCCCAAAATTAACAAATTTGGGGAATGGGAGCGGTTAATGATTTTGATTTTGGTGTCTTTCAGGCAAAAAAGTCATGATTAAAGGACAAATGTGCTAATGACCTGTCAGCTGATCATTTTTCTTGTATTTTACTAGTTAATATGTGAAGCCAAGCGAACAGCTCCAAGTATAATATACATTCCAAATATTCATTTGTGGTGGGAGACAATTGGGCAAACGCTGCAAGCTACATTTACTGCGCTGCTACAGAACATTCCATCTTTTGCTCCAATTTTGCTCCTTGCAACATCAGATGTACATCATGCTTCTTTGCCAAATGAGGTACTTTATGTTATTGAATTCATAGGGTATCTCTTTGATCCAGGGTTTTCTTTTTCTAACTTAAGCATTTGATTTCTTTTATAAATAATAAATAAAGATGAATGAGTATTTAATGTTTGCCAAATATTTCTAAACATGGAAGCAATTAGGGAATACTTAGGCTATCAAGAAAATTGCAGTGCTCCATTACTGCTTACAGAACAGAAGCATTCCAACACAACTCTAGTAAATTTTCAGGTAAAATAAATTTAAATTAGATTTATTTATATCTGCCAAGTTTTGAGCTAAAGTTTTTTTGTTCAGATCCTCAGTATTAGTAGTTTAATAGCCCTGGAACTCAGATCTTTTCTGTCACTTTTGATTCTTATTTCCTTCTCACAAGAACTTGTACATTTCAATATTATTCATTTATTTAAGGTACAAGAATTGTTTGACAAAGCGTATGGAGAAGTTTTTGATGTCTGCTTGCCTAGTGCTGACGAGAGAAGAAAGTTTTTTGAGAATTTAATTCTTCACCAAGCTGCTAAACAACCTGCATCAAAAAAGAAAGCAGGTTAGTATGTGCAACAGATAAAACTAGAAAGCCCTGTAAAGGTGATGGGATGTTGAAAATAACTGCAGTCAAAATATCTGCGCTTTAACTCATCAAAATGTTTTCTTTCGCCCCGTTCCCCCCACAGTTTTGCAGGCTCTAGAAGTGCTACCAGTAGCAGCAGCACCTGAACCACGACAGCTAACAGAAGAGGAGGTCAAACAACTTGAGGGGCAAGAAGAAGATACTTTACGTGAACTCAGAATTTTCTTAAGAAACGTTACTCACAGGCTTGCTGTTGACAAACGTTTCAGAGCTTTTACAAAACCAGTTGACTTACATGAGGTAATGCTTAGGATTTTATCTCTGCTCATCAAATAAATAAACAATGATGTGGCCCAAAGTAATTATCTCTGTATGTTCCTGCCACTTTATTTGGAACATATATGTTTTATCTTGCAATAATTAACATGTTCTGTGATGTAGTAAGGTAGTTATTTTGTCTAATGTGGATCTAACAGGCTGTACAAGTGCAATCAAAAACTGACACAAAATGGCATTCTAAATGCCATCCAAAGCTGATACTGCCTTTTCTAGGAATTAAATAAAATTGCAATGGAAGGCAAAGCCTGTTTGAAAAACTTCAAATTTAGAAATCTCTTATGTTCAGTGACAGGAAGGTGCCATAAATAACTTACAAATGCTGTCGAAGCTCTTATTTACCTGCACTGTGAATTTCCTTTGTACCACTCCTTCATTGTCCCATCTAGCTCCTCCATTTACCCTCCTTCGCATGCCTACTTCTCTCTGTCGCTGGCCCCTGAGGACTTGGTTTAACACTTCCAGTGTAAAAATAACATCTAGCCCATGGTTCACTCCCATTGCATTTAAAGTGCCTCTTGGCTTTTAAAGTGTATGTGTGAGTGAAAAGGAGTTGTTTGTATGCACAGCTTATAATACTGGGTGTGTGTGTGTGTGTGTGTGTTTGTCTGTATCTCTTCAAAATATAAAGAGTATTTTCAATGCTCAAAAGGGAAAGGAGCCCAGGGAAAGCATTTTCCTTGAGTGGCATGTAGGAGGCACCCAAGTTCCTATAGCTGGCAATAATAATAATAATTTTTTATTTATATCCTGCCCTCCCCAGCCGAAGCCGGGCTCAGGGCGGCTAACAACAATAAAACAGTACAAAAGTATAGCATAAACAACACTCTAAAATCATTCATTATAAAATTAATTAATTCAAGCCACTGGCAACCATTGGGCCAGAGCTCCGCGAAGATTGCCAAAGGAGGGAATCAGGCTGTGCCCTGGCCAAAGGCCTGGTGGAACAGCTCTGTCTTGCAGGCCCTGCGGAAAGATGTCAAGTCCCGCAGGGCCCTAGTCTCTTGTGACAGAGAGCCACAGCTAAGCACCAGATCGGAGCCACAGCCGAAAAAGCCCTGGCTCTAGTTGAGGCCAGCCTAACTTCTCTGTGGCCTGGGACCTTCAAGATGTTTTTATTTGAAGACCGTAAGTTCCTCTGTGGGGCATACCAGGAGAGGCGGTCCCGTAGGTATGAGGGTCCTAGGCCGTATAGGGCTTTAAAGGTTGAAACCAGCACCTTAAACCTGATCCTGTACTCCACCGGGAGCCAGTGCAGCTGGTATAGCACCGGGTGAATGTGATCTCGCAGCGAAGACCCTGTAAGGAGTCTCGCTGCAGCATTGTAACATACATAACAGGAACTAAACCTCATCTGATCTTATTGAGAGAATTTTAACATGTCACAGGCAGTCCAGTTGATTGACAAATTATTTGCTGCTGCTTCCTGCCAGTATCCTGATACTTAAGTTACAGTTTTAAGGCAAATTTATTAACATTAAGAACAACATAATGAGATGTCAAACATTCTTAAAAACATCAAGATTTCTGTTTTCTAGCTTAAGTGAGAGATTTCTAAGTTTTTTGTTACATTTGTAGGTACCAGACTATGTTACTGTTATCAAACAACCAATGGATCTTTCAACAGTTATTTCAAAAATTGACCTTCATCAATATCTCTCTGCCAAAGACTATCTAAAAGATATTGATTTGATCTGTAGCAATGCATTAGAATATAATCCAGACAGAGACCCTGGAGGTGAGTACAAAAATAGTACTGTATTTGTTATAGGAAAAAAATGTTATTAACTTACTATGATATCCAAATCAGAAATGTTAAATGACAGTTAATGTTTTATAAGCTGTACTTTCTTTTTACAGAACTCTTTTGTTGTAACATACTTCTATTTCGATAAATCACAGTAGTTCAGCAAGGAGTATAAATTTTACAGTATAATGGAAATTACTGATGAAGCTGCTACAAAGTATTTTTATTGTGTGTGCATTGTTAGATCGCCTTATCAGACACAGAGCCTGTTCTCTCAGAGATACAGCATATGCAATAATTAAGGACGAAATGGATGAAGACTTTGAACAACTTTGTGAAGAAATTCAAGAATCTCGCAAAAAAAGAGGTGTGTTATAATATTTACTCAAAAAGCAACTACATTATAGTTTATGTAAGAAGAATGTGCCAAATTTCCATTTCCTGCTGCAGCCCCTTAGACTGTTTCAAATTCCCCTTTCCAGGATCCCATATTCTTTAGGAGCCAGTGCTGTGTGTGCAATGTGCACACAAAGGGCTGGGGGAGATCTAAAAAGTCTAAATGCAGCCCTTTGGATTCCACATTCTCCATCCCCCCTGTGATTGCTTGTGTATGCTCTTCGCAATAAGCACATCTGCTGACTCAGAGATATTTACAGTTCTTTATTTTACATCTGTACAGGCAGCACATTACAATCATGCATCTGAATCCTCCGGGAGGCTTTTCCTCCAACAGAAAAGGCGGGGAAGTTTCATGTGACACCTCTCCCCCATCCTCTTTAACTCTCTCCTCTCCTTAGCAGACGGAACAGGCACCGCCTCACCATGAGTGCCGAACTTCCGGTGCGGTGCTGGGGCTCTGCTTCAGCATCGGAGAGCCTTTGCGCCTCCTGGCCCCCCCCCCCCACCCGTCACTTCCTGCCCACCTCCCTCTGACTGTTCCTGCTCCTCCTCGGCATTCTCTGGAAGTCCCATGACACCCTCTCATCTTCGAACATAAAATATCATTATAGTTCAGTAACGTTTAATAAAAGATGCCTACAAAAATTCATTTCTTTTTAAAGGTTGCAGCTCCTCAAAATATGCTCCTTCTTACTATTATGTAATGCCAAAGCAGAATACCTCCTTGGAATACAAGAAACTGGATTCTGAATTTGGTGAGAAACTGAAAATCCAACCAGTGCCTCTGGATTCTAGCTCTCCTTGCCCTTCTAATGGTAAGTGTTACTTACATTATTTCTTATTTAACGAACAATTTGTGAACTGATTTCAAGTTGTCAGTCTTGTCTTTAAACGAGAGATAGTGGGGTGTATCCAGTGTGAATCAGAGTAGACCCATTGGGATTAATAGACATGACTTAGATCCATAAATTTCAGTGGATTTACTCTGAGTAAAATTTAACTGGATAGTAGCCCAATGCAAGGACAACACACATAATCTGGAATTTTAATTGTGTAAAGCAATGCTGATCTCAGAATATTTTTACTTTATGCCACTGTATCAAGTGCCATCTCCTATTATTATTATTCCACCCATCTGACTGGGTTGTTCCAGCCACTCTGAGCAGCTCCCAACAAAGTATTAAATGCACAATAAAACATCAACCATTAAAAACTTCCCTGAACAAGGCTGCTTTCAGATGTCTTCTAAAAGTCAAATAGTTGTTTATCTGTCTGACATCTGACGGGAGGGCATTCCACAGGGCGGATGTCACTGCTGAGAAGGCCCTCTGCCTGGTTCCCTGTAGCTTCATGTCTTACAATGAGGGAACTGCCAGAAGGCTCTTGAAGCTGGACCTCAGTGTCCAGGCTGGTCCGTGGAGATGCTCCTTCAGGTATACAAGGCCGAGGCTGTTTGTGGCTTTAGAGGTCAACACTAACACTTCGAATTGTGCTCAGAAACATACTGGGAGCCAGATCCTTTAGGACTGGTGTTATGTAGTCTCGGCATCTGCTGCCATTCATGAGTCTAGCTGCTGCATTCTAGATTATTAAGTTTCCAAGTCACCTTCAATAGTATCCCCATGTAGAACGCATTGCAGTAGTCCAAGCAGAGGATAACCAGAGCATGTACCACTATGGCGAGACACTGCGCAGGCAGGTCTCAGCCAACATACCAGATAGAGCTGGTAGACAGCCACCCTGGACACAGAATTAATCTGTGCCTCCATGGACAGCTGTGAGCCCCAAATGACTCCCAGGCTGGGCAACTGGTCCTTTAGGGGCACAGTTACCCCATTCAGGACACAGGGTATCCCTCATACTTGCCCACCTCCTGACCCTCTCTCCCATTTCTCCACAGGAAGACTTTGGTCCTCATAAATAGCATTGTTGTGTTTATTTAGGAAACATGAAACTATTTTTAATATCTTGAATATGTTTTTAATTTTTGATTTATACCTTTGCTGTAGCCTTATCAAAGAGAAAACTCAGAAGAAAGAGCCGATGGTGCCAGGGTAACCTAGCAAAGCGGAAGAAGACTTCTCATTTCAATAAAGAGAACAAAGCTCCGGGAGAAGAGCAAGATGAAGTAGAGAGTGAAGGAGAAGAATGCATTGGAAATCATGACTCCAGCATGGAGCAAACTGAAGTGGAAGAATCTGAAGCTGTGCTTCCAGACCAGCACACAAATAGCTCTGAAAACAAATCTGATGCAGAGAATGGGAGTGACCAATCTGCCAGTAATGGTGCTAAGTGTAGGTCTGAGGAGAACAAGGATACTAACTGTTCAGAGCAAAACAGAGGATGTAATGGAGATCTAACAGAGAATTCTTTAAATAAGGATATTAATGGTAAGTGGAGAGTCATCTGTTGGCATTATCTGAATACATAATTTCCTTTAGTTACTTAATTATTCTCCCATCCCCACATACATGCAATTCTGAGAGATGACCACACCAACAACTCTGGAAATATTTTCAAAACAGTTACGCAAGGTGAAAATTTCAGTGAAATTTTGATCATGCCCGGCTAATTGGAGCAGACATTTCAAATGTATCAAATTTGACTTTTGTTCAAAACCTTATGTTTGAATTCTTGTGTTTTTTAAGTTACCTTTCTTGCGACTTTGCAGATACAGACTCCCTAGCCTTAGATTTGCATGACACATTTTCTCATTTAGCTGAGAGTAAATCCTATTGTACTCAGTGGGAATTGCATTCAAGTAAATGGGCACAGGGTTGATCCTGTTATATAACTAATGGGTTTCATAATTACCTGGCAAAATCTTAGCTGTTGTGACCTAATAGAGAACTTAGAGCAAGGCCAACATATTACATAGATAGATCAAATTACAAAATGAAACAGTTGTGTTTAAAAAATCGTCTGGTTTGAATCTGTTTCTGCTACTCAGTGGAAATGATATTCTTTAGCGAGAAAGAACTTGGGCTCGGTTTTGAGTGTCTCAGAAGCCGAACATTTTAGTTTTTGAACGCAAAAAACCCGGAAGTATTGCTTTCGTTGTCGAACAGCTTCCGCTGCATGGTTTTCATTTTTCTTAGATTATTTGGTTGTTCTTATTCTAGATTCATTTTTGTTATTCTAGATGTATGTATGCTTCGCATGACTCGTGCAAGGCGTTCTCAAGTGGAACAGCAACATCTCATTAGTGTTGAGAAAGCTATGGAGATTCTTTCAGAGCAGACACCACCACTCATTGTTGACCATGGAAAACTTAATGTACGTACACATTCTCTTCCTACTGAATACTAAATAAGAGATTAAATGCATCTAAAAATTAGGTTAATGTGTGGCTTCAGATGTCGTGGGTGCATGCTTTGGGGCAGGTAATATGGCAAAAACTAGCAGAAAATTCCTTTCTATGAGTTGAGCAATTAACTTATTTTAAATTATCTTCAAGTAGTATTTTGTTGCTAATGAGCTCCAATTCCCAGCTGGAAAATAAATGCTGTAACTCATTTGTTAAGACATTGTTGCTAGTCTAGTGAACTGAAATTCATGCATGCTTAGTATTTCTTGGACCCAAATTGGAATTAAATTTTAAAGAGCTTGTAGCAGTGTGAATGGGAATAGAGAAATTCAGATACTTCATGCTTATACACACCAGCCACTTAGACTTCTGCATTGTACCTCATGTCTCAGTGTGTTCTTTACAACACTGTACAATCAGTGGTTAATAGAATAAAGAAAAAGGATTGTTATTGTTTTAAACTCATCTTTTCCAGGAATTGCTGAAAACTGTTACTGAGAAAAGTAGGAACTACACTATACTTCAGTTGGAAAAACTTTATGCCTTGCTCAGCCAGTGTATTTATCGACATCGCAAGGACTATGACAAAACCAAATTGTTGCAGGTATGATATGTTACGGGTGTTTTCTTGTGATCCAATTGCATTGCTTTATAGATATCAAGACACTTCAATTTGTTGTGTTTTACATTAAGTTTGCTACTGTTCCATTAGTCTGTTTTAATGTCCTTTTTGTATGCAGACTGAGTAAGTCAAACTTCACAAATATACTGAAGCATTTGACTCCATGTTGCAATTTTCAATTGAGGTCATAGTCATTCATGCCAGTTTTTTCTTAAGATGTTTGTGTTACTTACAATCTACGTATGTCAAACTGTTGGCTTCTAGAGTACCTTTCAGATTAGCATATATCGTGTCCTTATGTGATGGGTTATTCCATGGCAGTTGGGTTTTCCCTGTGGATGCCTTTCCATTACCACAGATTCTCCTCAGTTTTAAAGCATCACTGAGAACTGGAGATACGACTGCTTTTTAAATAAGCATTTTGTATTTCATATGCACAGACACACCACTGTGACCCTGTTAAGTATCCTGATCTAGACAATATGGACCAAAGATTTTGAATGCGGGGGTGTAAAATTGGCGTTGGCATTCATCTGTCTTGTGACAGTGATGGAGTGTGCCTTTGGAGGGTGAGGTCAAGCTGTTGGAAGGTTGAAGCACCTGCTGTGGCTGTAGAGACCAATGTGAGAGAGACATCTTTTGTCATAGGTGGGGCAGGTTAAGGCGTCCAGTTGTGCTGCTACAGATGCACCATGGCGTTTCTTCTCTTGGTGAAATGTGTTAGGCCTTAATGTATTATAAAAGAGCAATTAGTTCAAACATAATGTAAAGCAAAACATAACTACTAAAGTCCAGTGATCTAGCCTACTTTGCTCCTGCCTGCTAGCTTGTGTGATAAATGAAACACAATCCCTAGTATTTGTTGCTCCCCCCACCCCTAGCATGTGGGGGGAAAGTGACTCAAATCTGTGCATTCACAGTAAGCTATTAACAATGTTTTATTTTGATATGTGAATGAAGCCTAAAATACCTAAAATAAGAGCTCTCCCAATGATTATTGTTCCTCACCTTAAATTGAAATACAATAGATGAAACTGCTCTTTCCACTGAAGGCTTACAATGTAAATCTGCAAACATCACATCTGGAGAATATAATTAGGTTACAAATTCATTTTGGAGAAAAGTACCTAATAAAATGCTGTTCGGTTTTGTCACTGATGCTATTATTCATTTTCAGGAAATGACAAGAGAAATTGCAGCCTTTACTTAAATCTGCTAATGAAATCATCTAGTTTGAAATGTTATCCCCTATAAATTTGGGATCAAATACCTGCATATAACAAGCCTAAATGTTCGTGATTCAACTCAATATGGATGTAAAAGCCATAGACATTGAACAAGCTGGATGAAAGAACTAAATAATGCAAGTGATCTGTCCACCCTAACAGTTTTCATACAGTATGCTTGGGGTTTTTTTCTTCTCTTTGAAAATAAGTTTGTAACTTTGTGGTGCTAATGTGTGTTCTTTAAAGAAAGAGGTTTGGTGGAAGTTTTCATTAAAGTTTTGAAAATATTTACACACATTACACCACTTTTCTCTGTAAAATGAATACATGCTAATTTATGTCAAAATGTTTTTCAATTAAATCATGTATATATGTTGAACCTCTATTAAAAAAATATATAGTTGGTGTTCTAAAATCTCACTTGGGTTTAAAACGAGTGATGGGACATTCTAGTATTCTTATTTCCTCAAGTTTTTAACACAATCTATATTTCTATCACTGCACTAATTCTCGTGTTAATACAATCTGTAATCTCTTTGTTGTATAATATATGAATATGTTAAATCTTAATGGACAAAATAAATTTCTGTACTCTTTAAAAAAGTTGGCTGGCATACCTTTTTAAAGTTACTATTACAGCTTAAGACATGGATTAATCCCTTCTTTGTTTTCTCCTGTTTGTAGTTTCTCTTTTTTCATAAATCCCAGCTCTTATCAGCTTCCCCCCTTCCCTCGCCCACCTTGCTTTTACTGTTGTGAATAGCCTTAGTCAGGATTGATTAAGTCTTCTTCTTCTGGGAAAGACCTCGAGTCCCATGTGCTTTAAAGCTCCTGCTTCTAGGCAAGCCAGTTGCCTCAGTGACAGGCAGCACCCAGTCACTTGCTCTTCTCTCCATGGCTATGTTACGACAGAAGTACCTTTGAATTTGGGTGGGGGACATTGTCCCAACAACATCTGCTTGGCAGACTAGATGAGACAATTCAGAGCACCTGTTTGAGGGAGCTTTGGGTTTTGGCAGGGACAGCTCAAGCAGCAGTGATGGAGCTTAGTAGTAGTCACACACACACAAAAAACCCCTGCTAGACAGATGCTTGTCATCCTCCCTCCCAGCTTTCCCCATGAGTCTGGTGGAAGCTGGAGTTTGTTTTTGAATGAAGACGACTTTTTGGAGGAGTGGCATGAAATTTAAACTCATCCCACTTGCGTATGTGTCCTTGCCTGATCGGTTTATGGTAACACATTAGCCAAAGGGATAAATGGCAGTTTTGTGCCACTCGTATATAATACACTCTCTGTATATGCTGTACTTGTGCTGTGTCTGAGCACCACATGAAAAATCAGTCCTAGTTTGAGAAAATACGTAGAAAGCATAGGAAGACAGGTGTATCTTAAGGCATTGTTTCCTGTCTTACAAGTTCAGATCTTACACTTCCTTGAAAAAGAAATCAGATGTAGGCCTAACAGTTAAGCTTTAAACTTTAGATGTGATGCCTATGAGCTGATGGAAAACAATCCTATCAGTGGAATGGAGTGAGGTGATTTTTAGCAAATCATCCTGTGGGGGCCCTATACCTTCTTGAGATGGGCGGACGACTCTCCACAGATTTAGAAGGGGTGTGGGGCACAGCAGGGAGGGATCTCCAAATATTGCCTCCCTTGTTCTGCAGCCAAATTCCTTTGTGTCAGCTGATAATTGCCAATGGATACTACTCTTAGTATTTCTGTCTGGGTTTTTATTTACATAGGGAATGCAATAGGGAAAAAAGCAGCTGGAGAAAGGCTACACTGGGGACTTTTTAGTAGAGAAAAAAGGAGCCATGAAACGTATATAACATGCATGGTGTGGGGAAAGCCAGTAGTGTTTTCCTCTTGAGCAACAATACTAGAACCTGGAACAAAACCCGAACTGATTTTTGCTGCGGCTGACAACCAACAGAGTCCTGTATTCTGCAATTCTATGGAATATAGAAAAAACAGGGCGCTCATCGCCAGCCAGCGGGAGCAGAGCGCTTTCCCACCACCAGTTTGTTGTTTTTTAACCACCCTAGACAACAGCTCGCGAATTCCCAGAAAAGCCTGAGCCGCTGCACTCCTCCTCTTCAGAAACTTAAAAGGCAGATCCTCGTGCATGTGCGTAAGAAGGTGGCGCAAATAACGCAGGTGCATTAAGTAAAAAATAAAATGTCACGTGCTGTTCTGCTTTTCACCCTCCCCTGCCCTCGCGGCGCGATTCCCTATGGCCAGCGCCAAGTCTCTCCGGGGCCAATCAGAGGGTTGCTTTCTGTTGGGTCCGCGGCTTGCAACTTGGGGCTGTGACCCCACCCACTCCCTCGTTTCCCACAGTCCGGGGTGGAGGAGTTGAAGGCGTGGGGGAGAGAAGCCCTCTTGCAGGGTTTCCATTGGCTCCGCCCTTTCTCCGCCGTTCCTTCCGGCTCCTTTCTCTGGGTTGCCTATGGGCGAATGTGAGACTTTTTGCACACATTCGCAGTTTGCTGCGGCGCTTCCCTTCCCCCCTCCACTTTTATTGTTTTTTTAAATAGAAAATATTCATTGATGTCATCGGGTGTAGAGGGAGGGAGAGGAACGAACCTCTAATTTTCATGCTGCATGGGGGGAAAGTGAACGAGGGCGGTGGGCTTCTCTGTTTCTATTTTATTTTTAAAGTCTTATTCTTTAAAGTGCTGGCTTCCAGTTCAAAGTTCACAAAACATCGCTTACCCCTCCTCCCCCTAAAAAGTGCAGTAGGTTTTTCTCTTTTTTTAAAATGCAAGATGGCGGACTTGCACTGAAGAAGCAGAAATGCAGAGGTCTCTAAAAGCTGCTTGCAAAATATTGCAAGGTAGGGATTTGTTCGTTCTTTAATAATCTTCCGGGTGAGTGTTGCGGGATGGCGAGAGGGGTGAGGGTGGGGGTGGCTGTCCCTACAGGCGTGAAATGGCCAGCAGACTTTAAAAAGAAATAAATGATGGGCTAAGTTACAAAAGCGTTTTCTTCTTCCATCCAGCAGTCCCACAGTCATCGCCTTCGAAGCTAGCACATAAGAGATGCAAGCTGGCCTCTCCTGTCCCTCAGATCTTAAAAAAACACTCTCTTGGAGTCGTGGGGCGATGAAATGAGAAACCCTGTTTTCTGCTTGGTGGCCCTCTATGTTATTTTAATTTTTGTGTGTGGCACTGTGTGAGAAAACGAGGGTTGCTCTAATTAGGAGGATAAATCATTTGGGGAAATGTAACTAGAAATAATAATAAAAGAAAACCACATTGAAGTGATGGCTCTCATCGCAAATGGAAAATAAATATTATTGTTGGTGGCAATCTTTCAATATTTGTTGTGGCTTTCTGGTCAATACTCCTGGCCTCTATTGTTTGAGGGGTGCATGTGGTGTTTTGGCTGTATAGTTCTTCTGAAGGAGTTAGGAAACTGGGTAGCAGAGAGGTGAAGGTGGTAGTCAAAATTTGGGCCCTGTGGTGAAAAAGAGAGAGCTTCTTAACTTAAAAAACAAAACAAAACAAAACCCCCAAATCCTGTAATGATCCTTGGCAGTTCCATTTCTCTCTGCATTTGCCCTGAAAAAACACAGGGTGCAATTATTTTATCTAGCACAGATTGTACAGATAACCGTGTGCGTGTGTATATTTTAGGTTGGGAGTAAGGGAGCTTTTTGTGTTTTTTACTTGCCCCTTACAACATACATTGAGGAGGGAGTGGCTCATGGAGGGGGGAGCATAGCTGTATGTGTGTGTTCACCAACAGGCTACGGGGGAAATTAAACCAGCCAAATTAAATGTGTCACATTTGTGCTGCACCATTCCTCCGGGGTGGAATCTGGGGCGATCTTGCAACAACCCCCTTGAGGGTGAGGTAAGCCTGGCTTGCTCAAGCGTATTCAGCTTTATGGGTAAGTAAGCAAGGATTTGAACCTCTAAATCTGACCTCCCAGCATCTAGCCACTGTACGAAAGTGTACAGGAATCGTAGGATTTAGAGGCCCAGTTTGCATGAACAAGTTACCCTCTTTGGTTAACTACTTGGAGGTTTGTGGAATTGTGTGCAAGCCTGCAGAGCTCTCTTTCCTTTTGACTTGAATTAAATCTACACTACAGCACCATTTGCACGGCGAGCACATGAACATTTTTATTTTTCAGGCTGCCTAATATCTCTGCCCTTGTCGTTGTGCTAGATGGTGATGCTCCTCCTCCTGCCCCCAAGAACAGATGGATGTAGCGCTGGAGTCTCTAAGGAGACTTAAAATAAGTTTATAATTGCAGACAATCCCCTAGGCTTCCGAAAGAACACCTGAACTCAGCAATAAGCGCTTTGCTGCTAGGGCTGGTTTAGCTTTTGGGGTTCCTTAGCTGCCTGCCCAGTCAGCTAAAACCTTTTATCATCTCTCGCCTTGATTTTTTTCCTCTTCCCTTGTTGTGCGTTTGCCACTTCTTCCCAGAACTCTGTTGTCAGATTCTCTTGCCTAACCCTCTCCGGACACCCCATTCTGCCTTCCTGTCCCCTTCTTCAAGCAACACAGGAACCCCCTTAAAAAAACACAACAACATAGGAGTCAGACCCATTGGTCCATCTGACTCTTGTTTACTCCAAGGTTACATTGAGGCCATACAATTCAAAGCACTATGGTATCATTTTAAATAGTCAGGGCTTCCCCCCCAAGAATTCTGGGAGCTGTAGTTATGGGTGCTGAGAATTGTTAGGAGACCCCTGTTCCCCCACCACCACAAAGCTACAGGTCCCAGAGTGTAAGAGTCTCCACAGGGAATCTTAGGAATTGTGGATGCTTCTAAAGGGAGGTGTTAAAAATGAGCACATTCAATGTACCCAATAGCCTCAAATCACTGGGCATCCTTAATCACTGTTTGAATGAAATGCTCTACTTTGCTTTGATATAAGTGGGTAGGCTCTAGATCAGGGATGGAGAACCTTTGGCCTTGCAGATGTTTGTGGACTATCTCTCCCAGCATCCCTGACCATTGGCTATACTTGCTGGAGCAGCTGGGTGTTGTGGTTCAATGACATCTGAAGGGCCACAGGTTTCCCCTGTATAGAGGAAGGAACACAGATTGAATATTGGGCTTTGCTTGACCTCTGGGGCTACGCTGGACATTTGCCATGGAACTTGATGGGAAAAGCACCCACCCACCCCACCTCCCCTAATGGGTCTCTCAGATTTCAACCAACCATTGTGTTGTCAGATGCATCCAGTGCAATAAAACAGAGGTAGGTAGCCGTGTTGGTCCGACACAGTCGAAATATATATAAAAAATTGTCCAGTAGCACCTTAGAGACCAACTAAGTCTGTTCTTGGTAAAAGCTTTCGTGTGCATCTGAAGAAGTGTGAATCTGAAGAAGTGTGCATGCACACAAAAGCTTATACCAAGAACAAACTTAGTTGGTCTCTAAGGTGCTACTGGACAATTATTTTATTATTTTTTAATATATAAAACAGAGTGCGAGCTTTGCAGTCTGGTATCTCTAAAGTGGTACAGTGAAATTATCTAACCTGCAGGTCCTGATTAGATGAACTTATGACAATGGTTCCCAATTGATGGTGCGGACCCTAAGGATTTATTTTTTTTAGATTTTAGTCTTTAAAATATCAAGTGGCATAGAAATGAAATTATTAAAAATAATAAGAAACACTTTGGTGGGCGGAGGGCAGGAATGGCACCATTGTGTGTGGCAACCACAACCTAGGTTTTTCAGCTGCCATTTGGTGATGAGCCTATATATCTGAGTGTCTAACACGGCGTGTAACCCACCCAGGGGAACCACATGGCACATACCTGTCAACTGTCTGGGACATCCTCTTTTGGGGGACAATCACAGCACGCCCAAACATGCAAAATCGCAGCCAGACATGCATCTTGTGCGAGATCGCGGTGCCCAAAAACCACATGTGTTATATGACTAAGGCAGGCATGCGGTCTGGAAAACGCACAGCCTAGTATTGCACTGGGACAGGTTGGCAGGAATGGTGGCACCATTCACATAACAAAAACTACCAACATTTTCAAAAGCAGGGGGGATCCGTGGCTTGGCTTTTGGAAAACGGGGTTCGCAGTACAAAACTCATTGGGAACCACTGTTCTGTGACATCCGTCTCCTGCCCCACAACAGAAATCTAATGAGAATGCTTTGCTCATCTGTTTGTGGAATTATCCTGAACCACTTCTCTTGACGGAAGGTTGGAAGAGAGATATGGATGGTGGGTTCAGAGCCATCACGTTGCCCAAATTTATGCCCTTCCTCCTGTTAGGGAAGGAACAATAACTTGGCGTTAGAGCACTCATTTTGCATCTGTTTGTCGGCCACTTGTGACCATGTAAAGATGCCTGGGTGTCAGGATGGGCCTGACATCTCCACCATCTGGAGGTGATCCTTGGATCTTTACTGTTTTTACACACCAATACCTCATCCTGTGGCAGGGACGCGGGTGGCGCTGTGCGTTAAACCACAGAGCCTAGGACTTGCCGGTCGGAAGGTCGGCAGTTCGAATCCCCGCGACGGGGTGAGCTCCTGTTGCTCTGTCCCTGCTCCTGCCAATCTAGCAGTTTGAAAGCACGTCCAAGTGCAAGTAGATAAATAGGTACCGCTCTGGCGGGAAGGCAAACGGCGTTTCCGTGCGCTGCTCTGGTTCGCCAGAAGCGGCTTAGTCATGCTGGCCACATGACCCGGAAGCTGTCTGTGGACCAACGGCGGCTCCCTCGGCCAATAAAGCAAGATGAGCGCTGCAACCCCAGAGTCGGTCACGACTGGACCTAATGGTCAGGGGTTCCTTTACCTTTACCTAACCTCATCCTGTAGAAGTTATGTTTTATCTGCACAGTCAGAATGAATTTCAGGAACCAAGAAGCTTTTCCTGTGCAGCCTAAACAGGAGCAGTGAACAACATTATAGTTAATTGTTCTCGCTTGTCTTCACTTACCCCCATCCTACTGCCCTGCCCACAGTTGTGAAGAATATTCTTAGGTTATGAATGATCTGTGTCACCATTAAGAAAAAGAGGTCGGAATAGGCCAATATCTATGAGGACTGTCCCTGGATCAAGTGACTTTTCTTCTTTAAGTTCTCAAAATTCTTAACTTAGCTCAAGGTTGTCGTCTGAACAGATGTTTAGCTGAGAATCCATCACAGTCAGTCCACCATTTGAAAAATAAGACTTTAGAGCCATCTTGCCCCAAAATGGCAACTAGACATCCAGTTTTGGTGACTGAAACCTTAGTTTAAGGCTCCTAGCTTTTATATCGTGAGTTTCTTAAAACTGTTTCCCCTCTCCTGCCTCCTCCCACCCCACCTCCAACTTCCAAATTTCTTCCAGTAGCACCTTAGAGACCAACTAAGTTTGTTGTTGGTATGAGCTTTTGTGTGCATGCACACTTCTTCAGATACACAGATTCCAAATTTCTAAAATCAGAGCCTTAGTTTCATGCATAGGTAAAGGTTAAGAGAACCCTGACCATTAGGTCCAGTCATGGCCGACTCTGGGGTTGCGGCGCTCATCTTGCTTTATTGGCCAAGGGAGCCAGTGTATAGCTTCTGGGTCATGTGGCCAGCATGACTAAGCTGCTTCTGCCGAACCAGAGCAGCGCACAGAAACGCCGTTTACCTTCCTGCCGGAGCAGTACCTATATATGTACTTTCACTTTGACGCGCTTTCGAACTGCTAGGTTGGCAGGAGCAGGGACCGAGCAACGGGAGCTCACCCCGTCACGGGGATTCAAACCGTCGACCTTCTGATCGGCAAGTCCTAGGCTCTGTGGTTTAACCCACAGCACCACCCGCATCCCTGGTTTCATGCATACATCAGTCCAAAAACTGACCTGCAAACAGCGTCTAGTCGATACAGATTCATATTGAAAAGTACTAAGCATCATTTTCTGCATAAGTAGAAATTGTGACAATTAGGAGTTTGGTCACTTTATCTTGTGTATTAACCATTTGGTGGCGGTAGAGGAGTAAGGCTTTAGAATAAAAATTGGTGACTGGTTCTTGCAACCAAACCTGCAAATGTTATGAACGCACAGGGTATTTTTTTTACTTTACTGTTCTGATTCCTATATGTACTTAGCCTGGAGCATATGTGAAGAAGGCGTTTGCAGGATGTTGAGCGGTACAACAGTGTGGTTTGGGGGAAATGCCCTAAATCAGTGTTTCTCAAATTTGGGGTCTCCAGCTGTTTTTGGACTACAACTCCCATCACCCCTAGCTAGCAAGAGCAGTGGTCAGGGATGATGGGAATTGTAGTCCAAAAGGAGAAGAAGACCCAAGTTTGGGAAACATGGCCCTAAATTATTTATTTAGTCCAAGGACTACGTTACTTTCTAAGCAAACTTGCCAGCAGGGGCTTGGGCCAGACCAAAAGTAGGGGGAAGTAATTAATGTAAGATTTCTCCTTGTGCACAAGGCTGGTTTCTACACCCACTCGCACACTGCTCACTATCGGCTGTCCTGGCAACCCAAGAGGTCTTATCATTGTGTCAAGGACAGATTCCAGCCAGACAAAGCATTCAAGGAGGATGCAGAGCATAACAGAGCCGTTGCTTAATGGTAGAACACATCATTTGCACTGGGTCAGTCTGCAGCATCTCCAGGTAGGACTGGGAAGGACTATGTGTCTGAAATCTTAGAGAGCTGCTGCCAGTCAGTGCAGACAATACTGGCCTAAATGGCCCATTGATCTGGACTCTGCATAAGGCAGCTTTCTGTGCTGCTAATATTAATAAAACAGTAGCTAAAGAGTTGGATCTGGACTTACGAGTACTGATGAGAGAAATAATCTATGCCTGGATTTTTATTTCAATGAGTTCACATTCTATGTCCTTTTAAATGTGTTTGTGTGAGGAGGGGTTATTGGTTTGGTTGGTTTTTGTTTGTGTTTTGTATTTTTATGCTGCAAACCGCCCTGAGATCTTCGGACTAAGTTCGGTATACAGTTGTACCTTGGATCTCGAATGTCTCAGCTCCCGAATGATCAAAACCCAGAAGTGAGTGTTCCGGTTTCCAAACGTTTTTCTGGAAGCTGAACATCCGACAGGGCTTCCAATTAGCTGCAGGAGCTTCCTGCAGCCAATCAGAAGCCGTACTTTGGTTTCCAAACATTTTGGAAGTTGAATGGGCTTCCGGAATGGATTCCGAGGTACGACTGTACAAATGTAATAAATAAATTAAATAAAAATACATTAGGCATACTTGGAGGTAGGTCTGTTGAAATCAAGGGGGCGTTAGTCTACGGTTACCAGATTTTTTTCAATGAATCCGGGGACACTTTTCAACTTCAATAGATTTTGCATGGGGGCTGATCTGTAAATCCAGGGACTGTCCCTGGGAAACAGGAACATCTGGTAACCTTACATTAGTCCTGTTGAGTCATCCCTGAAGCCCCATTCATTTCAGTGGGTCTGCTCTAAGTATGGCCACGTTGGGCTCCAATGCAAAATCCATAAAACAAATACAACAAATTGTAATGCTAGGGATGAACCGAAATGGATTGAAAGGGTCAGCAGGAAGATATAATTCCAGAGGTGCAAGGGCATTTGGTTTCACACAACGGAAGCAATGCATTTTAAAATCTTTCTTTCTTTCTTTCTTTCTTTCTAAATGCAGGTGGTAGACGCCGAAGTTAAGAAGCTGCTGCTTGTCCTTTTATCCTTTGCACTGCAAGTCGCCGTCTTGCCTTGTTGCACTACAGAGATGCTGCTAACGGGCTGAATAATGCTGAGAACCTGCCATGTGATGACAGAGAACCAAAAGCCATTATCGTAACACAATCCTCCAGGAAGCTTGACTCGGAGCGGGAGCCGCGTCAACTCAAACCTGCCAAGTCTCTTTGCCGCAGCAGAATGGCAAGTAAACGGAAATCCACTACGCCCTGCATGGTCTTAGCGAGTGAGACAGACCCAGACTTGGAGGTGGTCTCTGACGTGGAGGAAGGACCGGCTGCGATCACGCCAGTGGGGAGCGTCTCGAGTGACGAAGACTCTCAAGAATATGCGGACTCGGACAATCAGCCAAAAAAAAAAGTCGAAGGGGGTTATGAATGCAAGTACTGTACGTTCCAGACTCCAGATCTCAATATGTTTACTTTCCACGTGGATTCTGAGCACCCGACCATCGTACTGAGCTCCTCCTACGTCTGTCTAGAGTGCAAATTCGTCACCAAGAGGTATGACGCCCTTTCGGAACACAATATGAAATACCACCCCGGAGAGGAGAACTTTAAGCTCACCATGGTGAAGCGTAACAACCAGACCATCTTTGAGCAGACAGTGAACGATCTCACTTTCGATGGGAGTTTTGTCCAGGAGGAGAAAGCGGAGGAGTCGGAAGCTTCCGAGGGCCATCTGTCGGGCATCTCGATCAGCAAAACCCCAATTATGAAAAGGATGAAGAATAAGAACGAATCAAAGCGGATCGCCGTGTTCCACAACGCAGCGGAGGATGGTGCCGCGGAGGAGAAAGACGCCGATTCGGACCCGGAGTGTGAGGAAATCGTAGAGAAACCGGCTCCTGCCGTTTTGGACCCCAGCCCAAGTAATTCACTGGCAGCAGAAACCATTAGCACGGTTGTGAACCCCACCACAGTGATCCAGCCTGCGCAGGTGATTACTACCATCACGTCTCCGCAGAACTCAAACTTGATTTCTAAAGTCTTGATCCCTATCAATAGCATTCCGACCTATAACACTGCTTTAGATAACAACCCCCTCTTGCTCAACACCTACAACAAGTTCCCGTACCCAACCGTGTCTGAAATCGCACTTCTAGCCACGCAAGCGAAATACACCGAGGAGCAGATCAAAATCTGGTTCTCTGCCCAGCGCCTGAAGCACGGCGTCAGCTGGACGCCGGAGGAGGTGGAGGAAGCAAGGAGGAAGCAGTTCAATGGCACCGTGCACACTGTCCCTCAGACCATTACGGTCATCCCAGCACACATTTCGGCAGCCGGCAACGGCCTGCCGTCCATTCTGCAGACCTGCCAAATAGTTGGCCAGCCAGGCCTGGTGCTCACGCAAGTCACGGGCGCCGGCACGCTTCCGGTGACTGCCCCGATCGCGTTGACGGTGGCCGGAGTCCCGAACCCGGCCCAGTTGCAGAAAGCGCAGGTGCAAGCGACTCAGCCCGTTACCGAAACCAAGCAGGTGGCTGCCATCCCGGCCCCTCAGCTTACCAAATCGGAGGTGGTGGCGGCGGCAAACGTGGACGTGGTCGGGGGACGTACGAAGAAGACCAAGGAGCAGCTGACGGCGCTGAAGATCAGCTACCTGAAAAGCCACTTCCCTCTCGATTCCGAGATCATTCGGCTCATGAAAGCGACGGGCCTGACCAAAGGGGAGATCAAGAAGTGGTTCAGTGACACCCGGTACAACCAGAGGAACTCGAAGCACAACCACTATAACCATCTCAACAACGACTCCTGCACCATTGTGATTGACTCGAGCGACGAGACGAACGAGCCCTCAGCGCTGGTGCAGCCGCAGCAGAAACAGTCGTGGAATGCCTCTGACCTCAGCCCCCAGAAATTTAAGGAGAAGACTGCCGAGCAGCTTCAGGTCCTCCAAGACAGTTTCCACAACAACCCTGCTCTTACAGATGATGAACTGAACAGGATACGGTCGGAGACCAAGCTGACCAGGCGGGAGATTGACGCTTGGTTTTCGGAACAGAAGAAACCTAACGTTCCGCAGGACGAAAGCGAGGAATTGGCCGAAAGTAATTCAGGAAGCTTGAAGGAAGCATCTGCTGAGGCATGTGGTGCAGAAGGAGCTGGAGCCCAGAAGTCGGGGAAGCTGTCTAAGAAGTCGCCGGAACAACTGCACATGCTCAAAATGTCCTTCGTCCGGACGCAGTGGCCATCCGCGGAAGAATACGACAAGTTGGCAGAAGAGACCAAGCTCCCCCGGACAGAAATTGTTAGCTGGTTTGGAGACACGCGTTACGCCTGGAAAAATGGCGGCTTGAAATGGTACTACTACTACCAAGGGGCCAACGCAAGTGGTATGAATGGCCAAGGCTATTCGAGGCGGAGGGGGAGAGGACGGCCAAAAGGCAGAGGGAGGGGAAGGCCCCGTGGGCGGCCGAGGGCCAACAAACGGATCAGGCCTTGGGACAGGACGCCGATCATCAAATTTAAAACTGGAAAAGCCATCCTGAAGGATTATTACCTGAAACACAAATTCCTTAACGAGCAGGACCTTGACGAGCTGGTGGCCAAATCGCACATGGGATACGAGCAGGTCAGGGAGTGGTTTGCGGAAAAGCAGAGGAGAGCCGACTTAGGCCTTGAGTTGTTTGAGGAGGAAGATGACGAGGAGGAGACATTGGAAGAGCAGGACGACGAAGACGAAGGTGAGGCTGAGGAGGACGAAGAAACAGACGACAGCGACAACTGGGAGCCTCCTCGACACGTTCGACGTAAGCTCTCAAAATCGGACTGAGGTTCCAGTTCTTTGGTCGTGGGACGTGGCTGTGTGGTGCCAAATGATTGACGCTGTCCCTCCAGTCCTGGTGGCCCCTATAGATTCCCTCCACTTTTGGAAGGGGGGAAATGAGTCATTGACTCCTGTAGCAATCGCCTATTTGCTCCTTGGTTGGCTGAAGTGAACAAGCAGTTCCGGGATTTGGAATTTACAAATTTGGCTCTCCTCCACATCTCTGCTGGCGAGGCTGCACCACATAAGGGACTGTTGGTTTAATGGCCTTATGTTTGATTCCAAAAATCCTTTAAGGGTGCAGATGATTTTTTTAAAAAATAAAATAAAATAAAGAATCCTCTTAACCACAGTAGGAAAATTAACTGCAAAACGATGTTTGAAAAACGTGCTTCGTGTTGCAAAACTGCATGTCTATTTTCCTTCCTCTGAGCAGAAGGACAACTTTATTTTATTTTCCAGAGAAAAACAAGATGGGTTGGGGGTAAAGGATACCAAAGGGCAAATAGCAGCAAAAGCCTGTGAGGATGGCTTGCAGTTTTTGTGTGTTTTCTTAGGACAATAGAGGAAAAGGAGTACCTTTGTTACATCCGAAGCCTGTGTGCTAGGTTTACAGAAGTCCTATTGAATGTGTCTCTCTAGCTGTGTTCAGGGAGCTTGGGTTGGAAATATGCTTTTATATTAAAACTAATCAGTGTATATCATATTTAAATACTAGATACGATTAATGCAGCCAATACCAAAACTTGTCTTTGACCGTGCAGTTCTTTTGAAATCGCTAACAATAATGGCTTGCCTCCGTACAGAAAGGTTCCCTAAAAATATGTATAGCAGGCTTCTTTAAGGAAAAGAGCAAAGCTTAAAAAACAACAACACAACAGCCATCTTGGTTTTTAAAGAGCAATGGCCAAATACTTTAGCCTGGGGGAACCTGACAGTTCCCAACCTAGACATCATCTCCTCTACTTCTCTTCTCCATTGTGACTCTTCCCACCCATCACACCATCAAGCAACTTGGACTGGGGAGAATCGTCCTGCCCAACCTGTAGAACAGATACTGTTGGGACTCCAGTCCCATCAGCCCCAGGCAGCATGACCAATGGTCAGGGATGATGGGAGTTGTAGTTCAGCAACAACTGGAAAGCCGCAGCTGGCATCCTGTCTATCGTGGGAAATACACCAAGAAGCATCCTCTGGGTCACGGTAGCTCAGTGGTTAGAACGTGGTGCTGATAACACCAAGTTTGCAGGTCTGATCCTTGTAAGGAATGCCTGCATATTCCTGCATTGCAGGGGGTTCGGCCTTTCTCCACCTGTGGGTCCCCAGATGTTGTTGGACTACAACTCCCATCATCCCTGAGCTCTGGCCTTGCTAGCTAGGGGTGATGGGAGTTGTAGTTCAACATCTGGGGACCCACAGGTTGAGAAAGGCTGAACTAGATGGTCCTCCGGGTCCCTTCCAACTCCAGTAATTCAAGATATGCCACCATTTTGAGGTTAACCTCTCTGGCGGAAGGCCATTTGCCAGCTTAGAAGGGGCACCATTTGCTTTCTTCCAGGCACAAAATGGGTGTAAGGGGTTGAATGGGAATAATGACAAGAGTTGGATGGCAACTGCCAATTCTTGGTTGAGAAGAACAGTGGTTCCCAAATTCCCCTATCAAGGAACTTGTGGATTTGAAGTCCCCCGCCCAGTATAATATAACACCAAGCAAAGCAGCTCAGCTAGTGGAACTTGCTCTGGGTCTGTAATCCTGCAACCAGGCAAACTGAGCAGACAAGGACAGCTGGAACCCCAGGTGTCTTGGCTTGTGTGCTGTGCTTTAAGCGGCATAGAGCAAAAAGAACACAACAGAGGAACCGGAGGCCTGTCTCCTTTTCCCTTCTTGTGGTCCAGCAACATTGCCCTGCAAATTCTGTGGCTGCCCGCAAGCCACATACAGATTGGGAGTCAGTTGTAGACCATGCAGGCTGTCAGAAATGGAGATGAGTTGACAGGGGAGCTTGCAGTGTCCCAGCAGATGTCCAAAACCTCCAGTTTAGGGACCTCGAAACAGGTTTGCAAGCTGGAGAGAAAGCGCCGCCTAAGATCCATACAAGAACACTTCGGGTTTATTTTTACAGCCTTTTTGCTTTGCCAGTGTTGGAATTCATACACGGTTTAAAATTGTGACATTTCCTGCCTTTCCAGCACTGGGTGTGTGGCTAAATCTCCTGTGTGGTTCAACGTTGCCTCATTTGTCTTCCTTTGCAGTTGTAGCTCGAGCAGATGAATTTGCACAGCTAGTTGAACCAGACTTCATGGTAACTAATTCAGGCAGCCAATTACTTCTGCAGCTTTGCAGCGCAGCCAAGCATTCTTCTTTCCAGTTCAGTTCTTTACCTTATTTATTTCCTTTAACTTGCCGGGGGGGAAATCCTTTGTGGCGTTCAGTATTAGCCTCCAGAAAGCTGCCTTTCCCCAAACCTTTGACAGGCCAACTTAAAAACCATGCACTGGAATTATTTGTCAAAATTAGCCAGCTTTCAAACGGGCCTGGTCCAATGCAGAGGCAGTACTAACGTCCTGCAAACCATGGTTTACAACTTCAAAACCAGCCTTGAATATATGTGTTCCTCCTCGCACCTTCCATGTGCACCGACCATAGTTAAACACAGTTAACCAGGTTTCAGGTGGCGCTGTGGGTTAAACCATAGAGCATAGGACTTGCCGATCAGAAGGTCGGCGGTTCGAATCCCTGCGACGGGGTGAGCTCCCATTGCTCAGTCCCTGCTCCTGCCAACCTAGCAGTTCAAAAGCACATCAAAGTGCAAGTAGATAAATAGGTACCGCTCCAGCGGGAAGGTAAATGGCGTTTCCATGCGCTGCTCTGGTTCGCCAGAAGCGGCTTAGTCATGCTGGCCACATGACCCGGAATCTGTACGCCGGCTCCCTCGGCCGATAAAGCAAGATAAGCGCTGAAACCCCAGAGTCCGCCACGACTGGACCTAAAGGTCAGGGGTCCATTTACCTTTACCTTTAACCAGGTTTTCTTAGGACAGACTCATTCCAAACTATCATTTCAAACTGGTTTATGAGAGGACTGTTGTTTTGTATCTGCACATATGAAATGCTAAGTCATGGTTAAAGCCGGTCAGGGAAGGGAGATGGAGAGTTGCTTCAGAAAGACTGACTGCTGATCATAGCTGTCAACCGTCCCTTATTTGGCGGGAAAGTCCCTTATCCCAGCGCCGTGTCCCGCTGCTGTCCCTTATTGATGATGTCCCTTAAATTTCCCGGGTTTCAAAGGAAGCGGCTCCTCTCCCTCCCTCCCTGCCGGCCAGGGAGGAGGGAGGCTCTAACTGTGTTGCTTGGCTGTGTTGCTCACCCAATAAAGAGTCTAAGAACGACTGGGGGGTGGAGCCTGCTGCCTTGTGCCAATCAAATTGACCGCGTTGCCTGGGGACTCGCCTTTGCTCAGCGCTTCCCAGCAGAGAGGTGACAGTGGTTTTCCTTGCTGCATCCCCTTTGCTGGGTTGCTGCGCTGTGGGAACCACCACTTGAGGCTTCGTTTGGCTGCTGGCCGGGCTTTCTGCCTTTGGCTCGGAGGGGCTCAGAAGTTGAACATACCTGTGCCCTGAAAATCCCTTATTTTGGCTGCTGATCCCTTATTTTCAAATCTGTAAGTTGACCACTATGCTGCTGATGTGTAAACCATGGTTTACAGGGAGCCAGCGTTTCATTTTCACTTGTTTCCAACATCCAATCCCTTCTCTCAATGCTTTATGCGCAGGGGCTGGTGGTTGTGATTTTGACACTGTTCAGGATGCTGACTTGGGCAGTATTTGTGGAGAGGGCACAAGAGGGCATGGTTCCTGTGTTTTGTGCTTTTAATGTGGGAAAGTAATCACAAAACTATTTTCCCCTTAGTCTTTCATGTGACAAACATTTCCCCTCCTCACAGCAGAAGCAGGTGGTTTGATCTTCGGTCTCTCCCCCCAGCATGGTTAAAAAAACCTGCTGTCTCCAGGACACATCTGCAAAAAGAGTATTGTGAAAATGATGCAGTTAAAACAAACTGTCACAAGGATTTTGCCATCTTTTAAGGGGGTGGGACTTAAAGATGAGACTTTGGGTCCCTTCCAACTCTATGATTCCAGTTCAGTGGAAGCGAACATCGATACTGGCACTTGGTTTTGAAGCTATTTTGGTTCTGGCAGCATGCCATAGGAAATAAATCCTCTCGGGGGTGGCATTTCTTTATGAGTGGCAATTTTTGTTTGTTAAATTGCAGGCTGTTTCACACTTCGCCATCTCGAGAGAGAGGGAGGGACCTGTGTTGAGCTGTTGGGAATAGTCCCATGTATTTAAAATGTAGTCAGGCAGTTCAGAAAGCGGGTTGAGTCAAAATCTCTCTCTTGGTTGGCAAGACAGACTACAGGCCACCTATTAAGACATTTTGGGTGCTTTTGAAAATTAGGAGACAATGTATGTCTGTCCCCTAAGCATCACCACCAATTTAAGAGCAAGGGGCACATGGATTAAAAAATGCCATGTCTTCACTTCTTTCATCAACCAAAACTGGAGAGGGTTTGGAGGTCAACGGGGAACTCGCAAAGAACTGTCCACTCTGCTCTAGAGAGATCAACTCCATATTTGAGATCTGTTGCCTGAGGCTGCTCATACTAGATCTCTTTTGTTTGCTATTTTTGTTCAAGTGTGTTGTGTGGGACCCAAGCAGCTTCCCTTTCCAGCAGCAAAAGCATTTTAGCACTGATTAAATAAGCCCTCCGATGTAGTGATGCCGTTTCTGTTTGCATTCCTGTTTTTTAAATGGGGGTGGCGTTTTGTTTTGTTTTGCAAAGCTTCTTTGGCCTGACGATACCCGTAGGATGTTGTTTCAGCTTGCATATGTTTACAGCCCAGCTTTCCCCAACTCTGCTTAAAAAGGAAAATATTGAAAAATGATAGCGTTGCAAGCACAAGGTTGCGAGGTGACGACCAGCACTGTGATGAGATGAAGCGTGGGGCTGCCTGTTATGTTGCTCTTTTTCAGAGTGGCTTCCTTCCTAATTTCTGGGAAAAAACTTGTCAGCAATTTGCTATTTTTCCTAGGAAGTGTTTTGGGGTATAATACAGGGTGAGAGAATTGCACTGAGCCCCTCAAGGGTCCCCAGATTTTCCTTCCATGAAACTGCTGCCGCTTTTCCTGTACGTACACTAAGCATATTATTTATCCTGATTTGCAGTTTGCAATTACTGTGTTGCGATTTATTCGGGATATGAGAATGGTGCTTTGGTAATTGCCAGTAAAGATTTGAGCAAGTTGCTAAATCTGTTTTTCCTGGTTTATCGTAATAGCAGGTGACCCACTGCTGTTACAAAAGTTTTGGGATTTTTACTTGACTGGTGCACAGTTTTCACCCTTCCTTGCTTCCCAAAGTGATGAAGGGGGAAACACGTTGGGGGGGGGGCGGGCGGGAGGGGGAGAGGCAGGTTTGCTCATATATGGTTTACTGTGAATGACAGTGGTCAGTTACCTGACCTTTTGTGAAAGCAAGAAAAGAACTGGACAGACCTAACCCCAGGACTGGAATACGCCACAAGGATTGGATTGTCCACGATGTGCCAAAGTTTTTAAAAAATAAACACTTCTTCAGACGGCAAAAGTTCTGCACTGTAATATGACTGGTTCAATGACAACTTGTACAAAGAAGGGTGGGGAAAATCTGGTTTTAATACAGACCGTTTTTATTCTGCTACGCGGAGGGG